ACACTCACCGACTGTCGTGAAAGTGACAATACAGAGCCACATCGCATTTTGGAACGATATGTGATTTTCACCGGGTTGATACTCACAGGCTCGAAAACTCCAACTGCCAAGGAAGAAGAAAATGCTACTGAATATCATTAAAGAGCGCATTGGCCATATCTCCAAATAATATTTGATTACAAAAATAAAATCAATCGATACTCGATTGAGGTAACCCAACGATCGTGATGTTGTATCATGAATCACTCTTGAATGAAATAAAACGACGCGAGCTAACAAGTAAAGGCGACAAAACACTTAAAGAAAAACATTAGTTCTAGTATAAATGAGGCACAAACTGATTTCCGACATTGCCTTACTTGGCAATCCAAGAGCCACATCAATATGGATGTACGACAACAATTTTTTGTCTGTCTCTTCAGTGCCAACAGTAGATGTGCTCAACATCTCTGAACCATTACGCGCGTGCCTTGTTACTGAAAATTGTTGAGGAAACGGGTGAATAGCACAGATTATTACTTCCAGTACTATCATCACTGCTTGAATCAAGGTCAAACCAACACGCCAATCGTCAATTGAATTATTAATACAATACAGATCCAATTCATAATAATGATAAACGAAAGCAAGAACAATCAACAATACTGATGATATAGTAATTATCAGTTTCAGAATCAAGACGATTTCGAAGTAATTAGAACCACTAGTACTAAAGATAATTTCATTTTCAATAATCATGAGAATTATTCCAAACATGCCAACAAAACACATGATATCACTGATAGTTGAACTGAATGAAAATAATACATAACTTCAAGAGAGAAATTTTCTAAAAAAGAATGGCAATCTTACCATTGATTGTAACGCATTTTTCGTTTCATTAATTGATGACTGACATCAACTAAGGAAATATTTTTAGTTTTTCGTTGCTTTTTATATTGTCTCAAAGAAGATTCTGAGTCCCTTTGCATTGATGTTTCCACTTGCGAATGCTCATCTGATGGAGACATGTCATGAGATAGAAGAGGCAAATCAAGAATCATTTTTGGAGACGATTCAACTGAACTGAAATTAAGGCGGTACAAATAAATCCGAGATAATTGCTGAAATCTATTACATAGTCTCCGCACAACGTAAACATGAGATTAGAATGAATTGTCTGCAATCATTATGTGCCTTCATCGGTACGAATTCTCTCTTATTTCTATTTTAGTGTCAATTTGTTTACTGTTTTTCTATAGATTTCACTTCACTCTCCTATTCGAGCCTATAAGGTACTTGATTTCATACTGAACTCAAAACGAAAAAGAAACACCTAAACGAGTAGCTGCCTAATTCGACTTCGAATATAAATGCAAAAAAACCACTTTCATGTTTTCACACCACCGTCAGAAAAAGATTTAGTTTTTATAAATTATAAAATTTATAAATTGACCTCACTCCCATGTATAATTCAGGATAAGGATAAAGATTTGTTTTTTTTTGATTTATAACAGTCATAAATTGACTTCACTCCCATTCACAATTCAGGATAAGGATAAAGATTTAGTTTTTATGATTCATAAAAGTTATAAATTGACTGGTGTATATATGTATGTAGACGCGTATGCCCAGGTCGAACATTCCAGCCACCAGATCCCGTGGGATACTTCAGGGAATATGCGAGAAAGTCACCATATCCTGCAGGAAAACACGGGAAATCGCTGGAACATGGAAGCAGTATTCCGGTTAAAAATACTGCCTGACTTTTCCAGCGGATTCCTGCCAAGTTCCGGTGGTTTCCGCCAGGAATTGATCAAAAATCACCGGAAAATTTCCAACCGGAATACTGCTTCCACAAAACCAACGGAACTACCCGAAACCGGCCATTTCCAGACCGGAATGTTCGACCTGGGTGTCCACCTTTCCTCACATCCGCACTCACGCCCTCAAGCACGATAAAGAAATGCATTAACATCATGCAGCTAACATATGAAAAAAGATAGATTTTGACATTAAGAGCAAACCGTAACTGAGGAAATGTATCCCATATCGAGTGCAGGATTAGTTGCAGAGACATTATCACTCGACTTTTGTGTCCGTATTCGGATTCTGGACCAAGCATAAAATACGTATGCTAATACGGCATTAAAAAAACTCACTAGCGATTCAGCTAATTTATAAATTTTATAATTTATAGAAACTAAATCTTTATCCTTATCCTGAATTATAAAGGGGCTGCCAGTTTGACGATCTTTTTCTTTTGTTTTGGGATGATTTTCAAAGGGTCGCGATTTTTTTCGTTTATTTTCGAATTGTAAATGGCTATTCAGATATCGATTTATATTTGAAGTCGAACTAGACATCTCATGTCTGAATGGGGAGTCTAGAGAGTCTTAGGGGTCTTCGATGAATTCAGATTGAATCATTGAAGTGAATAATTGCGAAGATCCTCTGGTACCTCATTTCTTTTTGAAATTATGAGCCTGCTTTTTTGCACACTTTATATTGAAATCATATACCCCATTTTATATCGTATTTCACGAGTTTTATCTTCACATTTTACTTCGGTCATCATAACAGTTCACTATAGCTAATCTTTTGTGTTTCACAGATTTAGTAATTGTCTAATGAAACCTTTTAACTTGTATCTGCAAATGTAACTGTTCTAACGCAAAAAAATAAAAGCAGTCGTCAGCTTACATTGAAAAGATTTTAGGACAATTGTTGTAGAATGAAGATTTCAAACACAATGAAATTACTCTTCTGAGATTTTGTATCACAGAATGTAGGAGAGCATGAAACTAGTGGTTGGTTGCAAATTTCTACCTTATACATTTCGATACCTTTTCGATTATATTTCATGACAAGAGAGAATGCATGTAACTACGTGGTATATCTATATTTACTATTCTTTTTTTACAGTAAATAAAGTAAAGTAAAGGTAAAGTAACAGTTACCATGAATCGTTTTGTATAGTGTATGAAGCCATTAAGATGCTTTAGAGTTTGTTATAAACTCGATTTCTTAAAATGTCTCCTTTGTATCAGTGTCATGTTACTGTTAATCGACAGCTCATTTTGTTAGATTCAGTTCAACAAATATTTTCACAACGGAAATGCATTGTGCTTCAATCGCATGCAGATCATATGTGTGAATAGTAGTAATAGAAAGAAGTGAAACGATAGTCATATCAATATTATTTACATTGTTAATCGACATAAATTTCATACGCGATAATGTTAATCATGCAGGTTCGTTTATCATTTCTCTAGTTTTTTTCAAAAAGATGGCATCTCAGCTTTTCATATAGTCAACGCATGAGTTTTTCTCTTTTGATCGTAATGTTGACAGATAGTTCTATAGGTTTTCTTCATTTGTGAAATATGATCGAAATAGATTATTGTAGTATACAAAGTAGAAATATCCATACATTCCAACACACTACACAGACCGTCACAGACCTATTCGTGACTGTGGTATACTTTTGGAAGCATTCTCAGCTATTATATATCAATACAATTCCATGAAAACACATTGAATTTTTCCTTATTACAGTCCTACCGGTTTCAGTAAGAACTCATGAATCGATGAGTCGCAAGATGTATCAAAAGAAACAATATTCGTGTGACTGTTAACGCGAGCTATATTGTTTTTCATATTCTAATTTCACAGAGATCGCGTCAATAGCTTTCTTTTTTCTGGCACGCCTTCTTTTTGAATAAAACTAAGGAAAATGATCAATGAACTCGTGTTATTAGCAGTATTTAGATCAGCATAAATTTTATTTAAGTGCATAACCAAATGAAATTGATTGCATTAGTAAGTATGTAATGCTACCTGAAGTTTTCGGTTGAAGTAATCGTACTAGTGCTGAAATAAAATCAATACAAAAGCCACCCAACGTCGTTTTCTCGATGTTTACACACAATAATCCGAAGTAATTAAAAAAATAGAAGCATTATCGGACATATACAAACGGTTATAAGGATGCAGAGAGTTTTACTAATGTACACAAAAGACAGAAAACGAAAAGATTGGCATTTTCGTTTTATTTGCACTCAGTCATATTGGACAAGAGCTATTCATTGGTGTAATACTCCCGTTTCGGTGAATTGTTTTGCCATGCCATGCCATTTCTTTTCAACTTAGGTATTGGCCTTATCTCTCTGCCCTTGATGTTTATCTGTCTTTCATTTTTCTTCGTTCTCTCTGAGGATTGGGTATTTAAACGTCTCCTCTATATATAATCGGTGTCATTGATGGCGTCAATAATCGAATTAAGTGTAATACCATCAGCACTAACATTCCTTCTATCAGAAATTGTCACAATTGGTAGCGAGTGCTCACATGCTCATACGTTAATATTTAACTACAGCATATATTGCTTGATAAAAGATACAGCAAATATTCAAGCATTGACTACAAGCAACAAAAATCTTTTGTTTTATATATTAATTGATTGCGATTACTCAAAACGTAAATATTATCAAACATTTGTCACTATTGAGATTGTGATTAAGTGCTCGGTGAGAGACAACCCAGTCAATGGTGTAGCTGCAGAATAAATGTAAAATGTTCCGTTGATTTATTTTAAATTTAAAGCTTTCTTAGTTTGCATTTGAATTTCGACATTCCTACTATCGACACTGCCATTGAAACATTCATGGATTTATTCTGTGTGCTTAGCTTTTCTTCATTCAACATCATTACAATCTGTGTGAAGCATTCATTTTGATGGTAGCGTACCCAGTTATATATATATATATAGGTATATCATATCTAAACCATGTCTCAACTTGAGGATATGTGATGTAAGTTTGGATGATTGCAAAGTAAGACACCCACACCCCACACACCCAAAGTCTAGTACTGTAGCTCCTCTCGAATAGGAATCTGAAAAATGGCAGAATTTATGAAAACAACACAGATATTCAGTGATACCTCTTAATTAATATGTTAGTTCGTTTAACTAGCAACCCTTATTGATTCAGTCATGAAGTAAGAGACTATTTTGATAGTTAAGACCAGCTAAGACTTTGTTTTAAAGCAATAAAATATCCAGCTTCTATCCACGGATCAAAGAAAAGTGGTGAAGTAATGAGCATTACTGCCATGGTCTGTAACCATCTGAAAAATTGTTGTGTTGACTGAACCGTTCTTCTCCTTCGGTCCCAGATAATCTCTATCGTTACGAGGACTGCATGTAGAAGAAAAAAGGCCAAGTTCTTCCCCGACCATCGACCAGTGGACATGACGAAGAGTAGCTCATGAAGAATACCTGATAATACAAACGATATCAGGCCACGTATTGTATTACTCATTGTCTGACTCACTCCAACCCAATTTGGTATAACAATAAAGGATATTCGGTGCAATAGGTGTTTCACAAAGAGATTCCAACGACGAGACCAAAATTCACGAATACTACACGAAGTAAATGGAAAAGCGGGAAAAGTTGCTTGCACCGGTATTGTCCATATGATAGCACTGACGCTGAACGTGATATTGGTGACAGCACTAATCGAAATATAAAGAATAAAAGAGAGTAATATGTAACGAATTGGCCAAATCCAAAATGTGAGTGATGACAAAGCCAGAGACAACCATGTATCAGGAATCAGATGCATGAGTATGCGAAGAGTAATAAATTGAAAAACTCCTCTGAGAAGCATCGTTGTATTCATGCGATAAATATCGTTGATGGTCAATGATGATTGCTTCTCCGTGGATGAATATAATTGTGAGTAGCTGGTAAAGTCTATTATCAGTTGTTTGATTGGTACCGTTCTGATTTCATTCCAATCACGAGCAAATCCCCATTCGAGAAATTTTAGCACTAGAATAAGACTAGTAATAGCACTCAAGAAAAGTACGTGAACGCTAGCGAAAGGCCACGGTGAGTACCATTTTAAGACCAAGGGCAAACTAAATATGATTAGAGAACAAACGATACATATGCCATGAAACAAACGTTTAGAATTCCAACGTTTGCAGACCAAGAAACCAATAACGAATATAAATATAATACCAGTATCGAGGAACCAGAGTTCAAAAACGCCGATTTCAATCATTGTTCTTGATTGAAAAAGATTAGTAGAGTGCTTCTATTCAGTTGGTACACCAGTGATAAGAAATACAGAAAGAAAATATCAGAATCTATAAAAGAAAAAGCGAAAAGAGCAAGGGATAGAAACTATTCGAGAACAATCATTCCTAACACCAGCAAGCACGTTTTATAGCGTCTACCATGATGAAGAGAGTAGCCGTTTAAGCTTGTTTTCAGTGGGTAATGATGAGTGACATAAGAATAGTGTTCTTTCAGCATATTATATTATCTACGTTTCTTTTTTCGCACTACACATTTTTTCTGTATACGTACACAAAGCGATACAAATCATACATTTTAAAGTATAGAACAACTCAAAGGTTCGAAAAAGAAATGACTCTAGCTACTATTATTAGCAAAACAAAAATCGGTGCAAGAAACTAAAAGAGTATAATATCAACTATGATCTTGAAAATGCGCTTCAAAATCTCTCAATTATTAATAATTGGAAGGTCACTTTTTCAGATACTTCATTTGAGGTGACAAAAGAAAACAGCAATTTTAATGATTGTCGATATCTCTATATAATTATGGTTATTCTTGAGAAATTCCTTTTAAAATTACCTTTAGTATTGATCGAGAAGTTATCGTATGTTATAGAGAATGTTTCAGCGTTTTACTGTGAGTATCAGCAATTGAATGTAAGTACGTCTAAGTGACGCCGCTTGTACTCGATGAATCTTGACATGGATTAAGACGGTATATAATTACACTTATCTGTACGATTATATAATACTCATTCTGATTGTCTACATATTGGTTTCCGGTTTTAAACTATTTGTCTTAATAATAGAGCAGGTTTATAATCTGAAATGTTTGCCGTTTCGATATTTCTTCTAGTACTGCATAAAAACTAAATGTGTCTGTGCAACATGTGACATAGATAGAGCAGGATCAGTTGCAGTTATTTTAAAATGTCTACTGCATATTTGAAAACTATCAAGTAAAACTAACAGAACGTAAATATTTCCTTTTCGTTTTTAGCTTTCTCAAATGAGAAGTTCATCGAAAAGATCTTAATTGGTGAAAGAAAATATAAATAGAACAAAAACATTACTTTACTCGCTCAATTTCAAAATAAAAAGCACTCTTGATTACACGCACCCATAGCATTTCTGAAATGAGATGAACGAGTAAAAAATTAATTATATGAGTAAAGAACAACGTGATAAAATTTATATGCAAGCCATGGTCCAGGTAACGTTGAAGCAAATCTATTCTTATGCGTATTTGTATTTTTCACCTTGTGAAGCAGACGTATAGTCGATAAGTAAAGCGACAAGACGTAACAAGTCACGAGCGTGATCACTATTCGATGTCGGTCAAATTTGTTTAGTCTCACTATACAGTAAAAAACAAAAGTTAAATGTGATAAAAATCAGATATTTTCGAACGCGCAAGCAATCCATATGTGACACATCTAAACCCATATACAAGCTAATTATTAAGTTGCATGAAGAAATAATATAATGCGAAAACAATCCGATAGATGCTTCTATTATCAGCACATTTAGTTTGCTTTTCAATGATGTATGCATACTATAACACTTTCGCGGACTTCTTCATAGTTAAACAAGGATGAATCAATGTTGTCTACGATATGCTGATGATAATGTACAAATACAGCACATTGCTGAGTTCGACGACAGTATCAGCAGCTCATCTAATCTTCATAGGTAGTTACATGATTCATTTATATATTGTCGTATTTAAATAACACTCCGTTATTGTTGATAACAATCGATTATCAAGTATTTGTATTTTCTTGGTAAACAACACACTCGACGACAAACAATTTTCTATTGTATTAGGTATATTAGTAAAAATAGGGCATGCACTCGTATTCTCTTCTTAATCTTGATCAGCAGTGTCACATATCCCGAAAATTGGAGATGCACCAACTTTTCCCCCCTGGAGAAGATGTATCTACTGCAAGAGATGTGGATGTGAGTGCGGCGGATGTACATCTCTAAAGGACATCAAACTTCTCCGATGGTGCATGACCACTACTCACAGCAGTGACTTGAATTCTTGTTATAAAAAGAGAAACAACAGATAACAACAAATATCGATACGAAATATGCCACAAAAACAAATTTGAGCAAAGCATTCAAATTTATTTCGTATGTATGAAAAATTCACCTTTCTTAGAATCGCGAACAGTTGCTAATCAATAATGTGGATCAGCAACTAATACAAGACATAGGATTAATATATATAGATAGCATGTTTAGTCCTTGTCAATGACCATCGCTCATAAACCAGAGAGAAGCGAGAGTCTATCTGCTTCAGTACTGATTCCAAGAATCTTTGCAGCTTAATAATGTATGATACTTTTCTGATTCCATAGAGAGTATTTTATTTTCGATTGTTTTCATTTCAGTCCAATACTGCAGTACGTTGAAATCTAAAACGTGGACTCAAACTGAAAACCAGCATTCGCAACTTGTGATTAAAAAAATTACGTTTGATTAATAAAAACATTTTGGTTTTTAATGACATCTATCGAAAAATAGCGAATAGTTGTTTACAACTCATTGTACTAAGAAAATCAACGTAAACCAGCGGTATCTTCACAGTATTGACAACGTCAATTATGAAATATCAATATGTATCGATATTTTATTAAATCGTTTAAATAAAAGCTGATATATATTTTTTTGTCACGAGATCTTTTCAGACACAATTGTATTTTAGTGACATCCGAACCCTCGCATTGATTGCTGCGTTGAACTTATCAATCCACAATAACGATGTCACTGACTGCAGAATCAACTGATTTTTCATTGATATGATAGCTTTTAGTTTTTTTTTTCTCTTCTATCCCCTTTCACGTATTTTTGTGTCTCGTCCATTTACGCGATTATCAAAAATTGACTATCGATTAATCATGAGTTCTTCTATTATGTAACACTTTGTTTGATTTCATTTATTTAGAATTCACAATGTCTACTTATACGACATCAGTTGATACGCAAGATCGGCTACTCGAGCGTCCGACGCATGAAACTTCAATCACTGCTGTGAAAGTTAGTTTTTTATGACTGCAAATTTATTTGATTTCTTCTATTGTTTTTCTTATTTTAGTCGATTCCGATTTCTACACGCTATGGTTATGTTTTGGTAACACAACAAGGTACAAGTGGTCGTCCAGTAATGGTCACTTATCATGATGTTGGATATAATTGTATGTTATTATTGACGATAATGATTGTTTGAAAATATGTGTATTTTATTTTTGTCTAGCTGCAACACAGTTTCATCATTTTTTTTCTTTTTCTGAAATGATCCCAATAACAGAACATTTTACAGTATATCATATTAATGCACCAGGGCAAGAAGATCGTGCTACTCCATTGCCATCTACGTAAAGATCTTGAATGAAATTTTCAATTATTTTTCTATATGCTCTATTTTTAATTTAGATCTGTTTATCCTACAATGGAAGAATTAGCTGAAACTGTCAATGATGTATTCAATCATCTAGAGTAGATTTTTCTTTTCATTATTAGTCAAAATTATTATATTTGATTTATGAAATTGTTTAGTATTAAATCTGCAATTGCCTTTGGTGTTGGCGTTGGTGCGAATATTTTAACACGTTTTGCTGTTAGTATTTATTTTTAAATTAAGTTTAATTTATTTTAAAAATAATTTTCATTGTTTTTAGCTGAAATATTCATCGAAGGTCTATGGTCTTATTTTGATTAATTGTATTTCACGTGGACTCAGTTGGTTTGAAGGTTTTAGTCTTAAAGTAGATCTATTTATTAATCATAAAACGACATATATATATATATATATAGTACTTTTATTTTTATAGTGGCCAACACAGGATATGCCTCAACAAACATGGACTGATCCACTTTTGACCTATCTTACTTGGCATCATTTAGGTTATGTAAGTATAATCGAGCTTTTCTTTACATGTATATAATGATTATGAAATGTAGGAAACTCAAATAACTCATCCAGATCTAGTCCAAGCACTTCGACGTCATCTGGAAGAAAATGTTAATGCTAAAAATGTTATTAAACTTCTTAATTCATTTTTAAAGTAATTTAATAATAATTTTTAGTTTTTTGATCATTCAATTTACTTATTTTTGTTCTCTTAAGACGCACACCCATTCTGATGGAACGACCGAATGAATCGAATAAAAATTCTAATCCACCGAAAAGTTTGAAGTATGTAAAAGTTATATTTTGTTTTGTTCAACAAAATACTCATTGCTTTCATCTTATAGATGCACAGTTGTTAATATAACGGGATTTTCAGCACCGCATAAAGATGATGTTATTGATACGAATGATAAATGTGATCCAGCTATGTCTTCCTATGTTGAATTTGCTGATTGCGGTGGTGCAATACTTGAAGAGCAACCAGCTAAAACAGCTGAAGCTATTCGACTTTTTCTTCAAGGTCTTGGCTATAGTAAGTCATGAAAAAGAAACGTTTCTTGTTTACTTTTCTAATCTTTGTTTAGTATCGCATTTGAGCATTCCGAAATATTCAATTGCAAATCGTTTAACAGAACAAGCTGCAGAATATAAACGTCGTAATGGGCCTGCGTCGCGAGCACCACGCCGTACTAGTGCGCCATTTGATGCAGCTGATTCAGGCCTCTATGGTAATGATTCACATGGGGAAGATACAGATGATGATCAAAATGATTATGGTAATGAACTTCAACTGCGTGTTGATTCATTCGAAGATCGTAATGTTAAAATATAAAAAAAAGTCAAGAACCTGTCAAGCATATTATACTTTTTACATTCTCGTTTATTCTTATTCCTCTATGTCTGTAACAGTGATCTGCGCTTTTAGTCGCTTTAAAAAAAAATGATTGTTCCCAAATTCAATCTAGATGTGCATGTTTTTTTTTAAAGAAGGAAATTGTATAATGATTGTAATCAAAAGATCTTCGCTCTTGTCATCTCGTTTTGTTTTAAATCTAAATCAGTGCAAAAGGTACATTTCAGTTTTGTAGTTTGAAAATAAAGAATGTCTTTTCATCAGTATGATGATACTTAATGAAAAAAAAAAGAAAGATTTGCGTTTACAAACTACGATATAAGAAAAAGAACATTTATAGATAAATATACTGTGCACTATCGAACGATATATAAAACAAGGTAAAATAATTCGTTGACGCAAAAGAATGACCTTTGCTCTTTATAATCAATGCTATAGCATACGCAGGTAGATGTACTAATGAAGATAAAGCGTCGATCACATGTGTTGATACGATAGATGAATATACGCGAGTAGATTTTTTTCTTCTGTTCTATTGAATTGACATAAAAACTGTAAAATTAACATTGGAATATAGAACACGCATTACGTAATGAATTTTATACGTTTGTCATGCAAAACGAACTTCCATTGAGTTACAGAGTAACCTACAATTATTCATCAGAGGACATTCAATACTATATTATATCAAAATATAAATATTTAATAAATAAATGAATGTCACTGCAACTATTGGAAGGATCTGATATTCATAAGTATGAGTATTGAGAACAGCACGGGAATTTTGATCAAAAGTATCTATTGAGTAAAAGTCAATCGGAATTTTATTTATTAAACAAGAGTAACAGTAGATGGAAAGCCTATGTAAATTTTAGAAAATACTTCTTTTTCATCTTTACAACCACATTCAGCTTAATAACAATTAATGATTGTTTATGAGCATGACTGCTCAAAAATAATTAAAAGAAGTTACATTTTCATAAAAAAAAATTGATGCTATAAGTTATTCTTATGATTTCAAATTTAATCTTTGTATCGTTTTCACATTTTAAACTACTGTATACATAATTCACTGTTGCACTATCTTTATTTAATATTTGAATAATTTCCAATGATTCATGTGGCGCATTTAAATATTCATTTTGATTGTGCTGCTGTTTTTTAATATCATTTTGTAAACACGACTATTAGATATCATAGACGCAGTAAGTAATTCATTTAATGTTTATTTAGAATCAATAAAAACTTTATCAAATAAAAATCTAATAAGACGCTTTTCATACGCATCCGGATGAATAACACTAAACAATAATCATATGCTGATATTTAGAAGAATCATAAAATTTTACCTATATTCAGAACCTCGTTTCGGATCACGAAGATTTTGCATTGTATGTTGCATATGTTTAAAATTATCATATGTTTGTAAACAGTCAATTAACGCTGGATAAAGAAGTACACGTCGACCATCATGTGTTACACCAGGAATACCTTAGAAAATAATTATAGTCTAAAATTATTTCTAGGCATGATACAAAAAAAAAGTAGTTCGTTGTTCAGTCAGGCATTGCTACTCTCATTATTCTATAATACGACAATGGTGTGACTTTAAGCTCGCTCATATAATTTGGCTTATTTAATGTTATTATTTTTAAAAAAATATTGTTTAAAGCGACGGTACTCAAAATTAAAAAATCAATATTTTTGCGCTCCTCTCTTGAAGTGAACTACAGCATTTCTTTTAAAAGATATCGTAATCTCGTACATTTCTATACACATCACATTGAAACTTGTTTATGTAATTAAAACATATCTCTAAGTGCAAAAGCTTGCTAACGAAGTTCCACTCACCACTTACTTCGAAAATAGAGGTAAGTTTAATAAAAATTGACTAAAACGGATATTATAACTAACCTAATACTGAGCCAGCTATTTCCTTGTCATTGAATGTATCTTCATGCGCACAAGCAATAAGATGTAACGGTTTCATAATGAATTTTTCGATTGACTTTGCATTTGTACATTTTAGTGTTTTATTTGTTTCATCATGATCAGAAGATTTAATATCGTTTCGATCGATACTTATTGCTGCAAAAAGTGCACTTATTCCTAATTGTGGTTTTGGCTTTGAGATTTTTCTAGTGGGTTCTTTATCTTCAGTATATTCATCTAATTGATGAATACCTAACATAAGACTGAAGTCAGTGATCATCAGTTTTCTTAATTCATATATATCAGATTCAAGTGTTAATCTTAATTTTCGATAGATATTATGTGGAATATAAATACCATCTGGGTAAAATGATTCAAAATCGAGATCTTTTAATGCTTTTAAACGTTTGGATGGTAGATTGATACTTGAATATCGACCGACACTTGATCCTTTGAGGTCATATATTTCATGAACATTGAGAGCCGATGGTAAATTATTCAACATAACAACACAATAGATTTCTGATGAAAGTGTTGAATGTATATTCACTGAATATAAACCAACGTATCGTGTCATTAATGAAGATGTATGAGTATAACGCATACAAAGTCCAGATAGAATTCGCATCAAATACTTTGCTTCATGATCGCGTAAAGTTTTTATAATATAAACCTTAATTTGCAATTAAAGAAATGAAATGCCGATTCAATTAGTCTACTTACATCATCGTATGTTTTGTACATTTGTGAACCTGACCTACCGGTATTAGCAAAATTCAGGAATTTGTCATTAGAAAAGGATGAATGAAAATCTTTTGGTGTAATTCCAATCATTGAACGCATATATTCAAATGCAATAGGTGCAAAAGTTGTAACTTCCATTGTTGTAACTGTTTCCAAAGTTTTGCCATCGGAAGAACGAGGTAATTTATATCGGTGTGTTCTTGTTGAACGAAATTCATCGCCCAGTATACACGATGATCGATCAGTTTCACTTAATGTTTCAGCAAAATAAATTATAGCATGCCGAAGCGTTTTACCAATTTCATCAGAATTATTGGTAAAAACTAAATTTTGAATAGGAGTTTTTATATACGATATCACACCTGTTTCTTTCGAACTCCACTCGTCTATATTCAGAATATTAAATGTATCTGTCTGTTCAGCCATTTTAATTTAAACGTTCATCTGAAAATAATTGAGAATAGTCTTGTGATTTATCATAAAGCAGTTTCCCTTATAAAGAGATGTACTCTTTATTGTAATCAGAGTTTATTTTTTAGATCAGCATAAATCGAAAAATTTACATTTCGATTGATCTCAAAAACTAAGAGAACTTTGCTATTGTGGTCATTATTTCAAGTATCTCAAAGTTCTTTGTAAGAAACGAAAATTTATTCTGTTGAGACACTGTCCGACTGTATTTTAAATAGCAGCAACTATTCAGGATCATTGGTGATATGAAGATATATGGTGATAACGAGAAAAAGAAAGTATCTTGAGATGATACTACAGAGTACGACCATTGGTTAAACAGATTCAAACACAACATTGACATACCAAATACCTTATACAATAAACGATACGAAAATAATTGAAACCTTTTTTTCTACATTAGATATCATAATCCACAATCATTCATTCTAAAGCAATATAGTGTTACTATATTTAGTTTTCAACAGTTTTTGTTCTTAACGACATCTGCCGTTTGAAAATTCAAATACTATTTCGTTTACACTTTTATCTTTCAAATCTCTTGAAAAAACATCGACTTATACGAAGAAAGAAAACTTAATTGAAGTCTGCTTTGCGATATGTATCTGCTTTTTAACTAAATCTATTCATTTATTCTTTTATTAGTGGACATAAAATAATTCAATAGCACAGGTGCTTCCATCTGAAAATTAATCATTTACATCGTTCTGTTATTTGCTTATTCTCAACTTTTTCTTTCTTTTCTATGTTGATAAATGCCCATAAACTTTTGATCGATGTATTTACCTATAAAAAGTTGTGTTAAGCATTAGAGCAACATAACCACAGTCGCGTTCTGATTGTATGCTACGGTTTTATATAATCCTACATTATTCCAACACATTACCATCATATTGTGACCTACCTTGGTTGATATATTTGTTGGCTTACTGTCGTTTTTTTTGTATATCTTGCCGTCGTTTTAAAGTAACTGATAACAGATCGGGTGGTTTTTTTTTATACGTGGGCTGTGAAACATTTTTATTCTTTTCTTTGTCATCTTTCAAATGACAGCTGTAAAATGTTAATCATTTCACCTTTTATCTTAATCAACGTAAACGAAAATTGAATGGAGTGCTTTCGTGTTAAATAAACGCTCGAATTTGACGAGAACAACTGTGTCAAATAACATATTCTTGTAATCGACAAGAAAATCGTCACAACAGTACATTTGTTTTTATTGCTTGATTGTATTTGATTTGTTTTTTCTCTTCTAGATGAATATTATTGACGATTTACCATGTTATGACTATTACAGTGAGTCATCGTAACAAAGCTTTTTAAATTTTTTATAGAACAACGAAATGAAAATATACTATTAATTCTTAGATCTGATTGAATTTAAATTGATTTTTGTCCCTTAGTTTTTTTGTCCTTCATAGATAGGTATACTAAATATTAGAAGATAAATTCTTTGTAGTTGCTGAACCTACGATGAGTTTACTAAATAGAATGATTCATGTAAGATCACGGTTTAAATATTGTATGCAGAAATTAAAATATCGACAGAGAAAAACTTTTCGACTTTTAAATGACTGGCGAAAAGACTCAGTTTCGAAACTTGAAAACTACAATCTTACAATGTTGATGATTGAAATATAATTTCTAATATTCTTCTTATTCTTTTACATAGTTCCATCAGAATGCTATATAAACGCATTTGAAGATTCTCCTTCGACTACTCCTATACCAAAAGAATTAAATACAGTTGACATTCTTTTACCCAATGGTCTTGTTGCTTGTATTCAACAAGAATCAAATCAAACATTAGCTGAACTTCGTCAAATACTACGCAAACGTTATGCTGTAACATGGCCGTTCAATTTTCTTTCTATAGCACACACTTCTATCCACGAAACAGGCGATTTACTCCTAGACGAACAACAATCACTCGATACGCTTGGTCTTGTTTATCCATTTTTACGTGTTAGTGCAAAAGGTGAACTACCAACACCATTGTGTAAATGGTTATCAAAAAATGATCAATCAGATGTCGAATCTCTTACACAATTTATTGAACAATTAGTTGAATGGCGTGATACAACAATTCCACATGAAATTCTTCATGCGCCACCATCAATATCTCAAACAATATTATCAAATATTGATTCATTTTTTGTTTATATTGAACGACTAGATAAATCTTATTGTTGTAAAGAAGATACTACATGTGAAGAATTAATTGAACTTATTCGTAATGATGATAAAAAGTCAACAATGGACTATTATAATGCTTCAACAGAATTAATGTTAAAGTTTTCTTATCGTAATGAATTTTTATTAAAGTCAGAACCTTATCCATTACTTCAATATACATATATTCAAGAATGCTTACAAAAAAATATTCAAATAAATTTACAAATAATTCATATTGAATTACCAAGAAAAAGTAAAAAAATGATGCAAATTATAAATAACGAACCGGATATATTTCCAACGAAAATAAAACCAATAAAACCAATTGATCTTATGAAAGAAAATGAATTAAGTACACAATTGTTACCACTTCAACCATCGTCCTTATTATTTAAATTTACTTTACGTCTTCGACCATCGGAAAATGCTAAACAAACATTATTTCAAGTTCATTCAGGAATCTATTATGGACGTCGATGTTTATTTTCATTTGAACAGATGACATGGGACAACACATTCACAGAAGAAAAAACTCGTACTACAACATTACCTATCGCTAATTTACTGCCGGGTACTTTACTTTGTTTTGCATTGACAAATAAACAATCGGAAAGTTATTTTCTTAATATTAGTTTATTTCGTTCGACTGCTCGTCTACTAAATGGTTCATATGAATTTACATTTAATGCAGTTAATCCAACACAAAACATTGCTAATATGAAACATCTTTATCCCGATGGTTTTATTGGTTCATCATGTAATGAATCAACACCAAATAATTATGAAATCAAACTTAGATTTGATTTTCAACCCTTACGATTCTATGATAATGATGAAATTTCAAAAAAACTAGCTGATATTGCTATGCCAACACCAACAGCAGTGGCTACAGCTAAACAACAACAACATCATGAATCGAGCGCTGATGTGGCCAATGGAGAAGCATTGAATTATTTATTAGGAAGTCTCAATGATGAGGTATGAATGATTTTCAAGGGAGTTTATTTTAACTCATTTTATTTTCATAGACACAATATATGGTGCGAGAACCTTCTTGGCTGTCGGATTGTTCATCAGCGCCCATAGATGCTCTTCCTTGTGTTCTACATTCTATCCTTGCGGATATTCATCGTATGATCCTTTCTGATACCAATAATACTGCTAATACTACAATAATTTATGAAAAATTCTTTTCAATGTATAAATTAATTAATTTATGGCCACCAATGTCATTCGAAATGTGTTTCTTTCTTCTCGATTGTACATTGCCCGATGCACACATCCGATCTTATGCAGTTTCACAATTAGTACGCTTGTCGAATCATCTATTTCTATTCTATTTACCACAAATAATTCAAGCTGCAATACAATTCGAACATTATATTGATACACCATTAATACGTCTCATTCTTAAACGAGCACTATGTCATCGTGCTATTGGCCAAAAATTATTTTGGACATTACTTAATGTTAATACACGTAATGGTCGTGTTATGTTTGAACTCTATAAAACTTATTGTGGCTTAACAATAGCCACTGCTTTGCAAAATCAATTAGTATTGACATTAAAGTTAAATAAAATAAATCAACGAATAAGAGCAAAGAATATCAAAGATGCATCTGCTATGCAACAAGCATTAGTTACACATTTACGTGAATCAGATAAAAATTCATGGCGTTGTGTATCACCATTAGATACAGGCTGTTTTCTTGGTTCATTATTAACTGATGAATGTAAAGTGTACGATTCATTTATGCGACCATTTAAGCTTGTTTGGGAAAATGCATTAAATCCAACGAATGAACGTTTTGAATTGATTTATAAAATCGGCGATGATCTACGACAGGATGTATTAACATTACAAGTATTTCGTTTATTTGATTCGATTTGGAAAAAAAATAGTATTCTCTATCCAAACGAAGATTTATCTCAACTTCATAATGTTCATATGACATTCTATGATGTTATGTGTACAAGTGACACAACAGGATTCATTCGTATTGTACCTAATGCAAGTACAATTTTAAATATTTATCATAGATTTAATACAACAACAACTATTAAACGTAATGTTATTTACGATTGGTTAGCTACGGAAAATAATACTTCACAGAAGTAAATAGGCTAATTTCGACATTTCTTTCTTCTTTCTAAGAAAAAATATTTTTTTGTGTTTGTTCAGAATTCCATTAGGAAAAACAGCACGTCGAACTAATACGACTGGAACGACAAATGAGCCAATGGACTCGTCTGTACCGAATTCTGTTCTTGTAAAATTTCGAAAATCATGTGCAGCATATTGTACAGCTGGTTTCGTTATGGGTCTTGGTGAGTTATTTTATTGAATAATTATTTTCATCTATAAAAAAGACAAACATCTTCTATAGGTGATCGTCATCCATCAAATATAATGTTAACGTCGGATGGCCGTTTATTTCATGTAGATTTCGGTCATATATTAGGTGATTACGTTAAATTTGGAAATATATTTCCACGTGAAACAACAAGCATTGTTCTTGTCGAGCCATTTCTCTATGTGATTAATAATCGTAAACAAAATGATACACCTGACTATCGCGAATTTATTCAAATATGTTTACTAACATTTCGTTTATTACGCGAAAATGCCACATCTCTATTTGGTTTACTTTATTTAATTATTTATGCACGTTTACCTTTATTGAACAGTATATCTAATTTAAACTATTTACGTCAATCGTTATTTTTAACTGGAGAAAAACCATGTGAAACAAAACATGCGATACAGGCATATAAAAGAAAAATTGAATCAGCACAGAATGATACTAGACGATTCTTAGATTGGATTGCGCATGCTTTTGTTCATAAACCACAACGATAGTGTCAGATATTTAAATGAATATTTTTTTCTTCACAGTTATAAATATATATATATATATGTGCGTAATAAAAATGAATAGAATGTTTTTCTAAAAAGTGAAATCTGTTCTACTGCCATAAAAAAAGTCATGCTATCTAGTGAATAGCACATTATGCAGAGCTCGATCATTCTCATAAACATAAGGGTTTTAAAAGAAAAATGCTACTAATTATTTCTATGTAGATAGGAACAAGAATTTTTTCTAACGTTTTATTTGAATCTCCACTATGTTTTCATTTGACCGATATAAAAACTGCACTGAGATTTTTTAATTATTGATCCAACGCTTCGAACACAACAGACTTGAATATTTCCTCTACTTGTAGATGATCCCAGTTTACGAACAAATGTTTTCCACATGTAACCTTAAAATTTTAAATACGAAATTCAATAGTATATTGATTCATTGTGAGAGTGTAGTATTTATTAATTATAAATATCACATAATTGTGCATGTGCAGATAATAAAATTTATACTAATCATTTGATAACATCAAAACAACGAACATATATAAATTTAATCGCGTCGTTCCACGACAACAAAACACAAACCATATTTATTTAAACTCCCTCTCTCAATTACAGAAAAAAAGCCACAAGTGAATTTCAAACAAAAAAAAAATAATAGTTCATATTAAAGCTAAATATATACACTAGAACACTCGTTTAAAAAATTGTCATTAATTCATGTAAAATCTCATCAGCATTATCAATCGTACATCCCGGCCATCTGAAATAAAAAGCAAAAACAAAAATAATTCTTTATTAAACAAAAAAGAAAAGATTCAATAAAGTTTTATTAACCGTGATTGTAATAAATGAATAATGTCCGGTGCATGTTGATCATTGTCTTCAAAGAAATCTCCATATATTGATGTAGGATACTGTTGTCGAGTATCAATGGAAACTACGCAGGGTTGTTCTTGTTTTTTTAAACCACTATATAAATGTAATTGGAAGTAATTTTCATAAATCCAATTATTTAAAAGATTAATATTGCTTGAAAATACAATAGCATAACGACGATTTAAACAGATAAGCCATACAGGTACTTTCGGTGTACGAAACATCGAGCCTATTTCTTGTTTATGCCAAAATGAATCGTCTTCATGTTTTGACCAATAGAGAAATCCTACTGGAGACCGGTTTTTTACACCATGCTGAGGTTTTTTCTAAATACGTAAATACAGTCAATGTAAATATTTATCAGAAATAGTTCTTTTTTCATACCATTAAATTTCCATCGGAATCAACGTCAATAACACCATTGTGGAAGTAATGTAAAGCTCGTCCAGTTAATGCCAATGTCACCATTTGAATTGTTGATTCATCACGTTCCCCTACTAAACGTGTATGATCAAGATCTTCAATTAATCTATATAAAATCAGATTTCTTTATATTGTACAAAATTTATAAAAAAAAATCCTCTCTGACTTTTTTAATGTACGTGAAAGCATAAGACTATAGAGAAATAGAATAACACCATTTTCTTTCATAAACTAAAATAAATGATATGAAATTATGTGTTTTTTTCTTCTTCGTCTGTTAGGCTGGTTACATACATATGGTAAACATTTGATAATAAATGAGCGAAGTTTTCCCAAATCAACAAATTCAAACATATGTAACTAAACAATTATTCTTTCTTGAATATTTATTTTTCTATTAAAACGTCTTTTTCTTACTCGTTCAGTTATTCGATCAGGTACATAATGATCACCATGATTAGTAAAACATGCATCACCAGAATATGGAATACAAACTGTTGCTCCTCGATATTCACCCGCTTGCCACAACATCTTTTAAATAGAAGTCGATAAAATGTAGAATTATGAAGTTTTTTTTTCCATACCTCAGTAAGAGCATCAACAAGTGCTTCGGTTCGTGCTTCAACACTGACAGAAATCGATCTTAATTAATAGAGGAAAAAAAAATAGATGAATTATTTGAATTGAAAAATTATTACAGACCGATGTTGACTTCCGGATAGAACATTTTTCAGTAACAAATGTCGAAGAACAAATCCTTGAACACATAAAATAAGGCCGCGAGCACCAGTCTAAGAAAATATGAATTCTTTTTTATAATTTGTTAAAATAAATTCATTACTCGATCAGCAAGAAGACCATAATTTAATGGATTTGTATAATCACGAAACGAAAATTTGGCAGAAAGCCAACTTTGACTGAACGAATGAATTGTTGAATTATTGGCTAGCAGACGAAGAGTCTAACAAAAGAAAACTAAATCTAATCAAATAAATTTCTTGCTTGTTTTTATACTGAAGCAGTGGCCAATGTTATTTGATCGCCTTGAGAATAAAGTTTTAAACTAAGACTATTACCATGAATTTTAATGTAATCATCTAAAATATGATTTCAACTATTTTGCGCATCGCATAAAATTCTTTGTTTACCTTCGAATAATTTTGGTCCCTGTGAATCATTTGGTTTCGCTTGAAGAATCGGCTGAGAGAGTAATGAATCAACTCGCTAGAAAACAATTTCCAAGAAAATGTTGTTTTGAAAATATAAATGAAAATTTTTTTTATACATTTTTTAATTCAACTCGGCTAACTTCAAAATAATTCACTAAATTCAATAATTCTTGGTCGGTTAACTCGCCATCATGATGAGTTGCAGTAATCTGATACATCGTTGTTGACCCTTGGGTTTTGTTTGAACCACCATTTTGAGTAACCGCCGGCATTATAATAGTTTTTTTTTTACAATATAACTTAATCTTAAAAGAAAATAGAAATTCTTTCACTAACACATTGAAAACTTCTGTTTGAATATTTGTTTCGTTTCACTGATTCCCGAAAAACTCGGTTAACTATGATTAAAAAAATTGTGAACGGTTTCCAACATTATCGACCTCTTACCTTAGCGCACCCCTACATTTGCACGACGAAAAATATGAATTGTTTGCTTCGCAATAACTTCTTTTTTTCTAAGGTTAAGACAATATTTTTTTGCATTCCTCATCAACCGAATCATTGCTCAACAATGATCGAGAGAAAAAAACAACGAATAATTTCTTTTTCTATGTTTGAGAAAAACTTGACACTGAATTATTTACTCTAGATAAATAGTTACATTTCTATCACAGATATCCTAATCTGAATAACTACCAACGATGTAGAATCTATAACATGCGAGGCTTCTTTTTCTAATAAAAGTCATCTCATCTAGGCTATTTCTGAAAGAATAATTTAAAAAGAAATGCATTTTGAATCAGAATTTTATTTTTAAACAAAAATAAATCGACTCTTAGAATGAACCGAGTTTAAAATCACTTTCATTACAATATAAAATTACATGACAACGATACACCATTTTTCTCCAAACAACCATTGGCCAACACATCTATGCACTAATGATCCGCAGAATGCATTCTCTGGATTTGTCAAGTATGCTTCATAATGAAAAGAACAGGACAATGCGAAAAGGAGGGAAAGCGAAAAAAAAAGCGATGATTTCTCTTATGTTAAAACAATAGCTGGAACCAGATGGTGCTTCGATATAATTTGCATGAGTATCATCATAGTCATTATCATCTAGAAGTATCAGTTTGTCTTTTTTTCTTTTATTTTCAATCATGTTAACTCGTCGGCGTTCTTTTTTGAAATATCTAGTCTTAATTCCAACAATATGGCTTCTTGCAATAGTTACATTATCATTCCGTAGTGATTCACCATCATTACCTCAATCAAATAATGATATTCCAATTAATGTTGTCAATCAAATAGTATCAGCACCATCGTTCGTTGATCGAATTCGAAATGTTTTACCGTTTATCTATCAAAATCCTGATAATGAACATCCATCAGAAGAACATGCTAAAGCTCGCGAACAACAACGAGAAATGAATGCTAAAGTACAAGTAAATCCACCTGAAAGGAATAATCATAATGAACGAAATGCAAGTGGTCCAGGTGAAATGGGAACAGGAGTACGAATACAAAAAGATAAGCTATCCGTAGAAGAAAGAAAACTCTACGATCAAGGATGGCAAAATAATGCATTTAATCAATATGTTAGTGATATGATTTCAGTAAGAAGAACTTTGCCTGATGCTCGTGATCCCGAGTAAATGAATTATTTAGAAAATTATTTTCAATTGTTTTTGTTTTGCGTGACAATTTTAGATGTAAAAAAGTTGAATTTCTTCCAAATTTACCTGTTACATCGGTCATTATTATTTTTCATAATGAAGCTAGATCAACATTACTACGTACTATTTGGTCTGTTCTTGATCGATCAGCAGCTCATCTATTGAAAGAAGTCATAGTTGTCGATGATTTTTCTGATAGAGGTTTGTTTTATTGGTAAGTTTTAGATGGACAACTAAAACTTTTTTTTTTTACAAGAATATTTACACAAGCAGCTTGAAGATGATATTAAACCGATGGATAAAGTTCGAATACTTCGCACGAGTAAACGTGAAGGTCTTATACGAGCTCGTTTATTTGGTGCTTACGATGCAAAAGGGCAAGTTTTGATCTTCTTGGATTCGCATTGTGAATGTGCTGAAGGTAGATTTATACTAAGAACTCGATTTTTTTCTATATAGATAATCTTATTATTTAGGATGGCTTGAACCATTGTTGGATCCAATCGCACGAAATCCAAAAGCATCTGTTGTTCCGCTCATTGAAATCATTCATGATGCTACATTTGAATTTCATGTTACACCAATTCAAAGTATTCAAGTAGGCGGATTTGATTGGAATCTTATTTTCAATTGGCATATGACACCAGCGCGAGAAATGAAAAGGCGAAAAAATAGAACTGATCCAATTAGGTAAATTTAAAATAATAAAACTGCGTGATTATTTTTTACTTATTCTAGGAGTCCAACTATGGCTGGTGGTCTATTTGCTATCGGTCGAGACTGGTTCGAACAATTAGGAATGTATGATCCGGGCATGGATATTTGGGGTGGTGAAAATCTTGAACTGTCTTTTAAGGTCTATTGAAAATTTTCTTTTTTTCTTTTTAAGATAATTTTCTGTGTTTGTAATTCAGCTTTGGCAATGTGGTGGTGAACTCCTATGTGCACCATGTTCACATGTTGGACATATCTTTCGAAAACGTTCACCCTATAGTTGGCCAAAAAATGTTAACGTTGTTAAGAAAAATACTGTTCGCCTTGCTGAAGTATGGCTAGATGAATATAAAGTAACTATTAATAGAACAAAGAATCTAAATATTTATCAAGTTATTTGTAGCAATTCTACTATGAAAGAATTGGCCATGACCTTGTAAGAAGATTTTATTTAAAATTTGAATACGGTATGATCGATTGCTTTTGTTAAAGGGTGATTATGGAGATGTATCTGATCGATTAAAAATTCGTGAACGTCTTCAATGTAAATCATTTAAATGGTTTCTTGATAATATTTATCCTGAACAATTTATTCCAGCAGAGAGTTTATATTTTGGCGAAGTATGTTATACAGAATTCTTAGAATTCAATAGGCTAAAATATGTTTATCTTTATTAAGATTCGAAATCATGGGAAATCAAATACATGTGTTGATTCACAAGATTCTGTTGATCATGGCAAGCCAATTGTGGGTTATCAATGTCATGGACAAGGTGGCAATCAATTTTTTCTTTTTTCAAAAACTAATGAAATACGACAAGAAGACAAATGTTTGGATTTTTCTGGTACAGCATTACATGAAGCTGGAAAAATTGTGTTTTTGGCATGTCATACAATGCAAGGAAATCAGATGTGGTTCTATGAAGTAAATCAATTGTTTCGATCGATTAATTTGTTTTTGATCTGTTTCTTTTGTTTTTTTTTCAAGAATGATATGATACGACATTCTTCAGACCGTTGCATTGAATTATCAGCAGTCAATGCTAACGATATTTTTATGTCTGGATGTGATCGATCGAATATATATCAAAAATGGTCGTGGAGAAAACGCGCACCCAAAAATTGAACAATTCCGATTAATATAATTGTTATTTATTGCAGTTTTATTTTTTTTTTTGTTTTTCTTTGGTGCTGTTTTTATATTTTTCATATTGGTGTTTGAAATTCTATGCATAATTGTTATTACACATAAGATCATTGTGTTGTCTTTTTCCTCTAGATAAAGATGATGAATACTGATGGTACAACAGGAGGAAATAATATTGGTCTTACACCAGCAGACGATCAACAAATGATAACTTCAGCTGATCGTGAAAATTATATAGCACGATTGTAAATAATCAATTGATGATGATTTTATTTCAGAACTAAATGTTATTCTATTTTAGAACGCAGTATTTAGGTGGTAATAGAGAAATGGCTAAATATTTGGATGATGATGCAATAGCAAAAAGTGGTGGGAAAGCGGTAAATTAATTTCATTTGCTTTTATTTCAATTACGTTTCCTTTATTTAGGTACTATATAAAAAAACTCTTCAAATATCCTTACAACAACGTAGTCAACAAATACAACAACAACAACAACAACAACAACAACAACAACAACAACAACAACAACAGCAACAACAACAACAACAACAACAACAGCAGCAGCAACAGCAACAATCAATGATGAATTCACACGTGACTAATCATTAAAATTCTATATGAAATGTATATAAATCCTATCGTTTTTAGCAACAGCAACAATCTATGTATATGACGCCTCAACCAACTCCTATGGTTGGAATGTCCCAACCACAACAGCAACAACAACTTCCTTCGTATACAATACAAGGACCGTCATCAACATCGATGATTAACAATGTTAAACAAGAACCTCAAACACCCATGTCTAATATTCAAATGAGACCCAATATGCAAAATTTTTCTATGCAACAGCAGCAATTACAACAACAACAACAACAACAACAGCAGCAGCAGCAGCAGCAACAGATTAAACAGGAACTAATGGCACCACCAATACCACAACAACAGCAACAGATTAAACAAGATTTAATGATACCCCCACAACAACAACAGATTAAGCAAGAATTAATGATACCACCTGTACAACAACAACAACAACAGCAACAACCAGGAATACAAATTCAACAGATTAGACCCCAACAGCCTGTGCAATATAGTCAACAACAACCATCGCAGTATAGTCAACAACCACCAGCACAGTATAATCAACAGCAATCATCACAATACAATCAACAACAGTCATCACAATATAATCAACAACAACAACAACAACCACAATATACTCAACAGCAACAACAACAACAACAACAGCCCCAATACAATCAACAGCAACAATATAATCAACAACAACAAATACCCACCCCTAGTCAACCTACAAACATTACACCTCAACAACGTTCCATTGTTCAGGTAAATTAAAATGACAAGTTCGACGAATATCAAAGTTGAAACTTTTGTATTCTATAGCATTTACAACAAGTACGCCAACAAAATCATCTCAATCAACAACAGCAACTTGAATCAGCTAACTCTAATCAATTACAACAACAGCCACCACAATCATCAGTATTGCCATCTTCTTCATCTTCATCTGGTGGTAGTTCAGATGAAAGTAAATCTCATTCGACTTCATGATAAATTTTCTCACAAAGTCATTTTTAGTCTTGCAACAAATTCTTACAAGTCCAAATCCACCTAAACAACCATTAAATGCCGTTCCAAGTGTCGCACAAGCAAGATTACGAACTGTATATTATAGAATAAAACACTAGTTTAATCAAAAGTAACATTATTATTTTCAGATGAATCGAGCTGTTCGTAATCCATCCATACCAACATCTCAAGTTCTTCAACAACAGCCAAGTCCAATGACACCGTAAATTACAATATATTTGCTTTTTTTTTATAAATATTTACCAATTCTGTTTTCTTCATCAGTGGCTCTGATCCCATGATGATTGGTAGTGTCCCATCACCTCATTCTCATCCTGGTATGATGCAACAACCACAAACACCAGTAGGACCACCTGGCCAAAGTCCATTAGCACGTTATATGATGGCTCAATCTCCACAAAATAGTATCTATCGTCCACAAATGTCTCCAATGAATATGATGAGTAAGATTTAAATATTCTCGTAGCTCAATTTTTTACAGTTTCAATAGGCTTGTTCATACATTTTAATAAAGATGATTTCACAGAACATCTTTCCATAAATAATATAGAATTCATTAAACATTTATCCAACCTTCAGTTTATACCTGTCGATACATATAAAATGACGCATGTTTAGTCAACCCTAGAACTCGAGGAGAATATTATATATATATATATATAAAGTGTACAAGAATTAGACATGAAGGCATTTGTTAACATTTTTTCTTTGTGATATCTTTAGATTATCCAGTTAGCCCAACAGCAATGATTGATGATGAAATGCATTATTTATATAAATTTTTCACTGATCGAATTCATTATTTAACTCGAATAATGACTAGATGCCAACAAGAAGGTAAAATCTTTGGAAAAAATACAATGACATAAATTCAATAGTTTTCACCCGTTAGGTCAACACGATAAAGTAGCTAAATATCGACAATTACATGACCAAATGGCTGTTTTTGTTCGTAATCCAATTCCAGAACATTTAATGGCTGCTCGTCGTCTCAAAGAGCATGTTGATCGTTTACTTGACCCACGTATGTTTGCACCAGTCATGATGCCACCTATGGTCGATATGACTGGAATGGTACCACCTGGTGCTCATAACAATGGTCGTTCGATAACAGGCGGCGTATTTGAACAATGTCAACGTGCTATTATTGATTATCTTGGCAAAGATACAACATTAAAATATAATGTTTCAAAACGTTTTCTAGAACCACTAAGTGAAGTTCTTAATGGGGTTCCACATAAGTATGTAGAAAATTTATCATAAACTATTGTGATAGAGAACCCATTGATAGTTCAAAACATTCAGTATATTGTTCGAAAAAATAGCTCAAGTTCTTGGTAGTGCCACATTGAAAGCATTCACACGAATTCCAGTTTTTTCTATGTCTTAGCAGATATGCAAATCGGAACAGGAAAAACAATATACCACTGGCATTTTTTTTTTTTTTTTATCAAATATGAGAATTGTTCGAACGGAAATTCTTCCGTTACAAATTGATTACCGTTTATTTATGTCTTTTGTTTTGCTCTTTTAGAAATATGCGATTAGATACAGAATCAAAACAAGTCGTCGAGCCATATTGTTCGTCGTCAAATATTCTCTCATCGAAATCCCTCGCAAAAATCATTGAAAATGAATTTGCTCACTTATCTATGAATACGTTTACCTACGAATTAAAGCCTTTGTCTGATAAAGTATCATCGTCATTATCATCTCTGCATGATATAAAAGATTTGTCCATTTGTGATTATGAACTAACCTGTCGATTTATTGAAATGGATATGCCTGTTGTGCCACCATTAAAAATGAAATTAACAATACAATATCCCAATGAGCCACCTGAAGTACTTTCATTAACTTCAACTACATTAAGTTTTACACCAGCTAAACTTGAAAAATCAGGTAAATTTGAAAAAAATATTGACCTGAAACAAAAAACTGTTTTTTTTTCGTTTTTAACAAGATGGTCATTCATTTTTTGAATCAATATCTCGAAACTTTGTATATTTTTTATTTAAACTACCAACGCAACATACTGTTACAGATATTTTAGAGATATGGGTAAGATTATAGATTATCAAAATAATCTATGTAATTTAATTTTTTCTAGTATACTTCCATCCAAACTGCTTCTTTATCTCAACAAGAATCGTAGAGAAAAAAGTATTTGTCTGTTTTTTTGTAAAATATTATATATCTGTAATCATTAATATGTTTTTTTTACGTGTATGTAACTATTGTTTGTCTCTCGTGGAATGAATGTATGCTCTTTTTCTTGTTACAATTTTATTTGTGATGATGTTGGGCAAAAAAAGAGAAAAGTCAAATGTGTTATTTGGAGAAAAAACAAGATAAGAATAAAAGTAATTTAATGGTCTTAGTCTTTTTCCGTTGTGCATTCGTGGACAGATGTGTCTAATGTCGTACCAGTAACGACTAAACATAAGTTAGTAGGATTCTCTGTTGTATGAGAATAAGCAACATGCCACATCTCATCAACTGCATATTTTTCGACGATAACTTTCATGTAATTTGTATCAGATGGTACTGTTAGCAATTCATTTTTATTCATTAATATTAAATTACTATCAACTAGATAGGGCTGACCAGAAGATCGTATGCAAAATAAAATGAGCCTAACAGAAGTTGTCGCTTCATTGCTAATACTTATAACAATATCTAAATATAAAGAATATTAAACAAATGCAAACAGGACACATAAATTGATTGCCAGTACCCGTTTCGTTTTCACGCAATTGAAGAGATCGTTCATTTTTCATATCTCGAGCTAAAAGTCGTAGAACTAAAATCAAATAATGATGTACATGTCTAGTGTAGAATGTAATAAAATAATATCGGCTTACGGGTGCCAAGTGACTGTTGATTTCTCTTAAACTCATATTGGTCTAAACAGAATATTCAAAATGTAGTTTTGAAATTTTAGCAACAGTCAACCTGATTTGCCCTCGGAATCGATTTGCTCGTCAAAAAATTACAGCAGGATTCGAAAGTTAGTTAAACAAAACAACATACCATGTCGAAGATTTTTATATGGATTTTGTATTTCGTCTTGTTTTGCCTCTGAAGAGCATTGAAAACTAACATTATCATTAATAAAATAAAAACGCTATTGAAATTTACTTCGAAGGTTTCGATCTATAAGTGAACGTTTATTCAATCGTTCAGCTGAACTGGCTATCATCAATACCAATAGCAGAAGTATGACATTCATTTTCATACTAATCATTTTGCGACTACCTGCTTAACCGCCGACAATGTTTTACTCTGCAGTGTATGCGCATTTAATCAGTTATCGTTTACACTTCAGTGAATTACCTATTCTTTCTCTATTTGCGGATCAGTTTCATAATATACTTAGTAGTATACTTAACATAGAAATGGGGTAGCGTACAAAAATGTCCTTTGTTTTTTTTTTACAAAGACGATATTACAAGGGGGAAAAGCGATTTATGAGTTTCATGATTTTTCTGAGTTTAGCTGATTTAAAATGAGTTTGAGAAAACGAAAAATTTGCTAAACTAACTAAAAACTATTCCAAATCATAAATTATTACTGAAAATCATTCAAAGGCACCGAAACTCACGCAAACTCATTCCAATACAGTTAAGTTATATTGATTGTAAGTTGAGTTTTACTGTGATTTAAATCAGCTTTTTCCCCCTTGCGATATTATCTATTAGAATACATAATCAGTTTTAGAGTAAACATCATACGTTAAGGTGAATATATCGACCCGATGGATTTAGGCTGCAACACTAACTCTACTTAAAAATTGAAAGAGTACGCCATAACAAACTTTTACTTCTCTTTTTGTTGCACACGCTTTTATCCAAAGAAAAGTAAACTATTGGACCGCGAATGCTATTCGCAACAATGGAAAAAAGATGTATCCTTCAGTAGATTGTTTGGTTAACTTGACAATCGGAAGGAAAACTCGATGTAAACATTGAAATATCTAAATATTAAAATAAATCTAAATGATATTCAAATTGGTGCTACGTCACTCAATAAGTTGTCTGGTTTCATAATGAGGTCATAGCTTAACCAATTATGTAAAGTTAATGAGATCAAGTCAGTTTATTTTATATTTGGAATTGATACAAACATTGAAAAAATTGACATCATAGTTGCTTTTATTATCATCTATCATGAAAAATTATCTTTAGTAAATTGTCAGTTTTATCTTGAAATCAGCTCAATTATCTTTATCATAATGCCAATGATTGAAACAGCAATTAGACAAAGACTACTTAGATTCTTATTTTAGCCTGGAAAATAATGTTTGGATGTGATACGATCAAATAATTGTAGCTAAGCGTTACTGATCGAATTTCGAAAAGCCGTAGTAATCTGATTTACGACATGATATCCATGACTTGTGTAAATATAAATTTTAATTTTCGTCGAAATCAGAGACCTAAATAACTTCCTGGCTATTATAAACGTTTCCTATAAACTTCTGACTTTTGAAATAGTGATATTACTATCTTGTTTAAATTTCTTCAACACGAAGAACCATAATTGAAGATTTCAAAAGACTTCTCACATCAAATAAAGCTATTTTGGTTCAACTTTTTGCTTCTCTATTTTTATGAACGTCTCAATATTAGTTCTTCTTAGTTTTATTAACAAAAATGTCATGCTCCGAATTCTGCGTAGCATAAAATTACGCTTGTTTCATAAAGACATTAAGAAAAATGAAATTGACTCGTTTCTTTCAAAGACTTCTACACAAGCTAAACAAGTAAAGTTGATAAAAATCGATATGTGGGTTTCATGGAATCAAGCTAAACATGCAAATCAAACGTTATTGTACACATTGGAGATTCACAGATCCTATAAGAATGTGTCATCGATCGACATTAGCACTTAGGAATACTCTTCATCTTAAGTTTTCAATATATGATGAGATTCGCACAAATAACGACGCTATAATCGAGAAATGAAATGTTTCATCACCTGGAACTCTATCTACAAAACTATGGAACATTATATCTATAGAATAAGATATAACTTAATATGATGATCATTGAATTCAACGATTCTACGTTTATGTGTGATTTTTCTGCCTTCGATAGGATCAAATTTTGAAGGTAACAACAACACTTTAATTTATTTATGCATGACAAAATGATTTTCATTATAAATTTCAGTAAAAGTTCAAAAGATATGAATTTCATTATGGTGCCACTAGAGGTCTGCGGTTCCAAAAATTATCCGAAACCGCGGTTCGGTCTCGGTTCCCAATTATTTCAAAACAGCGGCTCCGGTTCGGTTCCAAAATTATTACATAGGGAACCGTGGAACCGTTTACCTATCAAAGTGTGGTTGTGATATACAATATGTAGGATATTGATCATGCTTGCTGATGTCGCTGACCACAAAATTTGCATCTCCGCATCACGATCAGTATAGAATGACGCCTGACATGAGTTGTGAATCGTTTCTTTTTCAATAGTAGCTTGACAGAAAACTTGATGTAAGTGATTATATAAAAGAAACGGTTCCACGGTTCCTGAGTAATTTTTTCTACGGTTTCGGTTCGGATTCGGTTCTCAAAAAACTTTTGAAGACCGGTTCTGGTTCAATATTTTGTGGAACCGCAGACCTCTACGTGCCACCTATAACTGTGACTTTTTTTCATAAGATTCATCTTCATACTTTCAATGCAACAGGAAAAATAATCAAACCAGTTCAAGTTCATGTGCTACACGACTAAAGGGGAGATTCCATGTATACAACTACTCAAATCTAAAAACCGAAAATAAATAATAGTTATACAAATAATATGCAATGAAATGAAATTGTTTATTGATTTTATTTGATATGAAAGCAAACAAGTAGAAAAGTTCAAGTTTAATAACCGGCCCGTCTTAACCCGGAAACCCAACTGCGAAGTTTATCATATAGACATTGGAACATTGCTTCTACAGTTTGACGTGATCCTTCATATGTGGTCAAATCACCATCGTGATGCGTCAACCAGTAACTTTTGCCACATGATCAACATAAGCCTGAATAAAATTCAATTGAATAATGGAACATCTAATTCTACTTGTATGTCGAGTACCATCAGGATATTGAGCAGTTCATAAATCAATCATATCTAATTTGACTGATTCTCGAAGGATTTGAATATTTTCTTTAATGTTTTCAGGTACTGGATAATTATAGTCTTTACAAATTTGGCTATCTCGACCGATGAGTGCTATGGCTGTTTCAAAATTGATAACGAATTAATATCTAAGGAATAAATCAATAATGTCTCTATGAAGACATAAAACACTATTATTAATGACTTGTTCGCCTCGTGCATGTTGTTTGTCGGCACTGTTATCTTTAAGTGCATTGTCTTTTTTCTTCTTTAGTTCATCTAAGATAGTTCTCAATAAACTTAGAATTACTACTTTTCCTTCTTGCCGGTTTTTTAAATAATATTTTCGACTTTCTCTTTATCGTAATCACGTGCAACATCATGTTCAGTTACCCATTCAGCTAGTTGCTTTGGAATATAGTTATTTTTGAATGGCCAACAATATCATAGTTTTTTAATATTTCTATAGATTCTGTAGCATTATTATTATTAAGTAAAGCGATTAAAGCATCATTAGATATAGTACTCAAACTAATAATTTGAAAATCATCAACTGTTGATAGAAAAGCTTTTTCTTTAAATGTATCTATTGTTGAATTTATATCTTTGAAGCGTTCAAGTTCTTTCTTCAATTGTTTAACAACATTATTGATTACCTCAATAGTTGGGTGATCAGATACCCCACTTGCAATTAAGAATGCTACATCAACAACTGTCAATGCAGCTGATGCGACCGTTACAACAATGGCAACTGTTGAAATTGATTTCGTTATGCTGAAAGTCGTCTGACCAACTGTTAAAGCATCATCTACAGATTTCCAACTTGATTGGGTCTACAAGTAGAAATATAGACATTGGTTTCTATGGAAGATTTTTCGTTGAAAAACTGACTGATTGAAAAAAAAAGAAAGTTTTTCATAAAAGGACTTCAGAAAATCTGTATTTAATAAACAGCAAATAATGGAGAAAAAAAAACCTACAGTTGAGTCTAGACCAAGTATTTATACATATTGTTCGTAGAAAAAATTTCAAGTGCCATTATGCATATTTTTGTCTTATATTTCTATTTTATATTATTTTCATCAAAATAAAAGCCAGCTTTTTATGTCGCTGATGATAGAAACATTTATAGAGAGGGAAGACATGATATTGAGAGTGTTGTTCTCTCAATAGCAAAGATTAAAATAGTTTCTCGAGAATAAATAATCCAGTTGATTTTCATGAAACGTAGGGCACAATACCATTATATTCTTCTGCTTCAGGGAAGTTAATTTGTATAAACCGGTTGCAATTATAGTTTGTTTTTGTGCAAATTTTATGTGGATAGGATAGGTTGTCACTGTTGACTTTATGCAATTACATAGCATCGCATATTGTAACATCCTTTATCTTTGCTTGTTTTTGATAAGAAGATTTCTCTATCTGACTGATTAAAAGAATCTTGTCATTCGACAACAAAAATAAAATAGTTGCGATTTCTGTGGTGAGACATCTTGAGGTTTTCTACGTACTCGTCATGTTTTTCTTTGTGACGATTAGTCTGTTTGTAAATTATATATCATTGAAATTAGCCTCTTCTCGTTCGCATTCAAATTCGCCGACTATTGACTCAAAAGTCTTCGAAGAATTCAGTCGATTGCTTCTATCGAAAGACGATACTCATAGTTTACCGGCTGTATTAGTGGATTTGAATTCCTTCGATAGAAATGTCGCTCTGCTGCGTTATCAGATGTCTGCACATCCTAAAACAACAATTCGTATTGCCTCAAAATCATTGCGTGTACCTTTCTTATTGCAACGTATTCTATCCTCCGGTCTACCATTCAAAGGATTGATGTGCTATGCTGTGGAAGAAGCTCAATTTTTATCCAGTTTAGGATTCGATGATTTATTGATAGCGTATCCCTCACAACAGCTATCGGATTATAGAATTTTGAGAGATTTACATGATCATCAAAAGAAAACAGTCAGTATTGTTGTTGATCATCCAAAATCGATCAATGAATTGAATGATTACATGAAAGGAATCAGTCGACCGTTTCCAGTTATCTTAGAATTTGACGTCTCATTCAGAGCCTTAGGCGGGCGTATTCATATAGGTGCACGCCGGAGTCCAATACGAACTATTGCTCAACTCATTGAAATGATTGAATTTATTCAACAACTACCGTATCTTCACTTAGAAGGTCTCATGGTCTATGAAAGTCATATTGCTGGCATGGGTGATACAAATCCTAATCATTTCTGGTTGAATCCATTGATTCGTTACGTTAAACGTATGTCGATGTCTCGGATTCAACAACTTCGACGAGAAATGAAGCAACTCTGTTCAAAATATGGCTTAAATCTATTAAATGGAGGTGGTACCGGCAGTCTAATGGCAGCTCTTGAAGAAACTACTGTTCTAACCGAAATTACCATCGGTTCCGGATTCTTTCAACCTCATCTGTTTGATCACTACCAGCAAAATCAAGCGATGATCAACCACTTTCATTCTACATTTGTACCATCGTGTTATTTTGCTTTACCCGTTGTACGTATATCAGATGAAGGTGAATGGGTGACATGCGCTGGCGGTGGTTATGTCGCATCGGGTCGGCCAGGATGGGATAAAGTGCCACTACCAGTCTTTCCAGTAGGATTATCATTGAATAATAATGAAGGAGCCGGAGAAGTACAAACGCCACTAAGGATTGATCCGAATCTTAGGAATGAAACGATGCACTTCTTCGAACAAAATCGAGTGGTTTATTTTCGGCATGCAAAAGCCGGTGAGTTGGCTGAGCGATTTAACTTTTGTTTCATAGTAGATGGTGGGCACATCATTGAAATAGTTAAAACCTACCGAGGATACGGACAGTGTTTTTTCTAATTGATTAATAAAGCATATACGAAATAAGAACTATCTAAACGGTATGCTAGTCTCTATACAGATGTGCAGCAACTGATGATGGCTGTCAAAAGACTATGCATCCAATGATATGAATAACAAGTGGTAATACATTCCAAGAAGGTGATATCATACTATTTATCTATTGTGACAAGAAACAGTTTGTTCAATCGGATGAAAAACTATGATATCAATCAGAATGTCTGTTTTGGTTAGTTTTTTAAAATTTTCTCTGATAATTCGTAAGTTAATTTTCAGATATTGCAACAGTTTAATTATCTTATCTTACTTATTTTTGTATTTAACTGGAGTATTGTTCAACGAAAAATTTTGTTGAAATCGATTAGACATCAAAATTTAACTATTCGGGGTAGAACTTATCACATACGTAAATACAAATAAGGAAACAGTTCATTTCGAATAGATCTTGCAAAGCAATATGCTTTTCTTCACGATGAAACGCCATTGAGTTCGTTCAATATATATGCGCAGTAGTCAATGATAATCAATTTCATTCGGCGTTGATTTTCAAATGTAATTACTGACAAATTAGAAAAGTTTACACTCAGATTTCATATTTCATTTCTTAGTTAAAAAAATAAAACGCTACAGAGTTTTATGATATTTTATCGCTTGTACAATGACTATTGTGAAAATTTTTAAAAAATACTATGGAACTACATGAAAATAGCCCGGCTATTCTAGAAATAGTTGAATAAAAAAACTATGTTTAAGAAATATTCGTTCGAAATCAAATATTATGATCTTGACGTATTCTAATCAACCTGTGTACTACAGAAAAGTTCGATACGACTTATATCTTTCCTTTCGCATTGATCGTCGATAATATCATGTTTTTTAACCAATTTTATTTTTCACCTTAAATATACTCTCCTATCGATTGACAAAGATGTTAAATTGAACATATGAATATGATATTGCCTATTTTAAAGATGCTAGCTTTGCTGTTTCCAATAATCACCAGGGCGGCCTATACTATGTTATTGTCGCAGTATAAGTTTAGCTTCGAATTCAGTGGAATTAATACGAATGTAATTTCACTTTATTTATCTATCGTAGACAAAAGAATAAAAACAAAATCAACACAATTTTCATGGCATTTTTTGTCGTATCGTTAAATATTTTATCTCGAATTACTAATTTACCTAGGGTTCGAGTGTCGTCAAAGGTAGTAAGTTAAAAACATCTAAAATTCATTCGTATTTCTATCAACGTAAAAACGTCCAACAAAAAAAAGCCGAAAAACAAATCAATAACTTTGACAATTCTGTTTAAAAGACGGCGACAAAAGTTTTACATATTCATCGTAATTGCATTTTTCTATTTGTGGTCGAAAAGTTGAAAAATATTAATAAGCGGATGACAGTCTTATTTTTACTGAAATATAAAAAAAATTTCATGCACAAAGCAATCTTGTGTCAAGTATTTTTTGAATATTTCTCCACTTTCTTTTCTGTTTACATACAAACAGAACAAAAAGAGATTTTGTTGTTTTAAATCAGTGAGGCCTATTACTTTTCTTCTTTTTCTTTGGTAGCATTGTATTATTTATTAGAAAACAAATGGCTCAACGTCCGCCAACAATGACTGTCACGACTAGTCTAGGAGTCACAACTAATAGAGGACAAACTGTACGGAAAATAAGCGAATCGGTATCAAATTTAGCACAAGACGAACAACGACAACAAAACTATCTCGAACGTCAGCGCTTATTATCTCCCAAAGTCGAACGTTGTCTACAGGAACTAGTTGAACGTGTATCTAAATTTAATTCTGCATTTAATTTTGATTTACTTGCACCAGCTTCATCGGATCTATTATCTTATTTCATGAATGACAACAAAGAATTTTATTTTGATTTTTATCTTGTATGGAAAAATCCAGGTAAAATTAAAATTGAACGTGATCGATCTTCGATTTGTTGTAAAATAAAATATGTCGGCAATCCCACGCGTTGGTCTCGTGCTGAACAAGCTCGTCTTTTAATATCAAATGTTGATAAGAAAAAATCTTGTTATTTCAACGGACGTGTTATGCGCGATATATTTTTTGAAACACTTCATACTATATCTCCTGATTTAATACGTTTAAATTTTTTTGAACATTTAATCTATTTTGATTTAATTATTCCTGTGGCATCGGATAAATTTACATGTCATATAACACTTCTTCCATGTCTACATTTATCACAAGAGAATGAAGTTTTACTACCATTCGGTACACTTCGTTGGTATCCAAGATCACTCATATGTTCCAAGGAAAATCCTGTATTGATTTCTCTTCAACAACCATTGCAAAATTTTTCAATTCGTCGTTATATGTCCACAAATGATATTATTGATGAAACATCAAAACTTACAAAAGAAGATCTACAAGTATTCGCACGTGTTCGTACTATTATACGTGAATTATTATTAGCATGCACATCAGAACATATTGATAGTGTTGAACAACTGCAATTACCTTTCGAAAATGATGATAATCAAAATAGGAAAGGTTTCTTTATATCACATCGATTAGATCGAAACTGTAATATATTTCCAGCTGGACAATATTTATTAAATGATATAAAAGCTAAACAATTCTTCAGAGAACTTTTACGAACGAACATAAAAATCGCACATGATGATCAAACAAATAATATTGAAACACGGATTTGATTTTTTCATATGATCGAACTGTATTGTGTTCGATAAACTTGAAAATATTTTAATTAAAATTTGCATAGTTTTATGCGCAGTGAGGGCATCTTGTTTTGGTCCCGCTGGGATGAAGAGAATTATTTTTCAACATTATCGAAGATTTTTATTGTCGCTCTGTATGTCTTTTTTCATAAAGACAAGATTACTTTCAAAAGAGACCTTATTTGTTGCTATTAATAATATTATTATTAGAACTTATAGGAAAGCCTACAGATAATAATTACTCTTACTAGATATTATACATCGATTTTTTTCAAACTTGATGGAATCGCAAGTTAGTGACAAAATTAGATCTCAAGGCAAAAAGAAAAATAGTGTTAGTTAGTTTTGTACTGTGTCACCATCACTACAGGTAAGCTAGACACATAAAAAAATGTACATGGTATCAAAGCAGCATCTCTTCTATCATATAATGTGATAGATATAAGTTAGTATAGTCTCTTTGATCTCAAAAGTCATGACGTGTATATTGACGAGATTTATATAGTATAATTTTTATACGTAACTTAATATGATTCAATCTAAGATAGGTGTTGTTTATCATTCTTTCCATCTGAGTAAAATTTATTGTGTCTAACAACATTCATTATTGAAGTGCGTTAACAGTAGGTGGTGATTCATAAACAGAAACATATTTTAATAAATCTTGTCTTTTACGATGAGAGCAGCTTCATTGTATTATTTTTTACTTTAATTTTGCTACTACTGCGATTGTGCTCAGAGATTCTCATTCTTGTAAGTAGTTAATTATATATATATATATATTGTAGCAAAGGTAAACAGTTGCTTCCATTTGTTTGACATTGGTATCTCTCGAGATAGATGCCTACTTGTTACTCTACCTTGCCACACGAGTAGCTGTTGCACAGGAGTCACGAGAGGAGTGGCAAATTAACATACAAAGCACCGTTTGAACTCATTTCTTTCTTCAAAAATAGATATATATATATATATATATATTCCCATCTCATGCAGGTGAATGAGAGTGACATCTAGCGACTTAGAATTGCATCACGAATGTTGCTTTTGTTTTCAGATTATCGGTATAAAAACGCATATATTTTTAATAGTTTCGTGAATAGAAAAATAATTATTGTTCTTCGTGTTTTTTTCCTAATTGCGCACGAAGGTTTTATCAAGTTCTTCATGGCCGTCGATTGGTTGGGTTGGGTCGCAACGACTATACCTTAAAACCATCATTGAGCTAGTCAGATGATCGTTATCATCAATAATCGATTGTGAATTTTGATTAAAAAAGCTTATGTTCTCCTTTTTTTTAGACCTTTCTCGTCGTTGTTTTCCATCATATTCGACCAATAATGGAACACGTACGATTGACATAAAAAAAAATTCTTTCCAGTTCTATTATAATTTTCGCTTTTAGGAACGTTCATTTCAAAAACAACCAACAATCTTTTTAAATAAAAAACAAAGCACAGCTAAAGCTAGTAAAACAGGTCGTGCCGAACGTTATACACGTAATGTCGGTTTAGGTGTGAAGACACCACGAGAAGTAAACAAATAAAGAAAATCATCTATAATCCACTATCGTTTTTCTCTCACGTAGGCTATTGAAGGTACATACATCGACAAAAAATGCCCATTTACAGGCAATGTTAGCATCCGTGGCCGTATTCTTACTGGTACTGTTTTAAAACTTAAAATGACACGAACAATTGTTATCCGTCGAGATTATTTACATTATGTACGCAAATATAATCGTTTTGAGAAACGACACAAGAATATGTCAGTACATTTAAGTCCATGTTTTCGGTATGCAAATGTTATTCTATTGAAACTTTTTTTTTTAATGAATATTATCTTTAGTGATGTTCAAATTGGTGATGTTGTTACCATTGGTGAATGTCGTCCGTTGTGCAAAACAGTTCGCTTTAATGTACTCAAGGTTGCCAAAGCATCTGGTTCGAAAAAGCAATTTCAAAAGTTCTAGACAAATTCAAAATCAATCACATAGCAGCGACGCATCTAGTGTTATTTTCTTTTTGTGTTAATTCGTTGTTTATTGTGATTATTCGTGTCTTGTGATGAGAATAAGAATTACAAAACAAAAAGAAAAACAAAAATGCATAACATCAATCTTACGAAAAATTATTAGCACTTTTTTTCTAAGAAGTTGAAAATGTTTTTCCTTTTTAGATTATTTTAATTTTGAATATATCAAACGAAAAGTAACAAATATTAAATTTTACTTCATAACGCATCGAGACATAGTAAACAATAGACGGAGTGTAGTGTACAAAAAGTCTATTTACTCATGATCAATAAATTCATAGTCATATGACCTGCAGAAAACAACTTTTTTCTTTCTGCGTGGAAGAAAAGTTGTTTTCATCATTTAATTGATTCGACGAAAAAAATAACAACTGAAATGCTTTGGTAATTTTCTGCATATTTTATTTTTGCTTTCTCTCATCTGAAAATCCCATATGATTTAAGAATCGATTGTAGCGCTCATGGTTGTGAGTTTGTTTTCTTCCTCTCACTCATTTCATATGCTCTCTTCAATTTCTTTTCGTTCTTTCTCGAATGGGTATATATTTTTTCTACTTGCACACTCAGGTATTCATTTCGTTGGCGCGTGCTTTTGTAAGAGCATTACTCATTTTTAACTGCGTTTGCTTTTGCTTCATCTCCGTCGTATAAACTCACGAACATTTTTAGATATTCGCTTTGTTTCAATTTCTTTTATTAAAATAAAAAATGTCTTCGGATCAAGTCGACCACGATAAGCAATCTCCTGTTGAAGTGATCGATTGGAAAGGATTAGTTCAATATGTAAGTTAATTTTTATAGTTATTGTGTAATTATAATCTATTGCGTTTTAGACCCAATTTTTATGTCGGGGTTCGAATAATAAAATGAAAATATGTTTAATTGATGAAGAACAAGAAGAACTTTGTATTACAACTCAAGATGAATTCGATTTAAATGTTAAAGTAAATAGATTTGAGCTTTTTTCGAATATCAATAATATTAATGAAATTATTTTTTAGTATGCTCAAGAGCACGGCATTAAATCGTTAACACTTGTTATCTATATTGATGATAAACATGTATTCAATGGAATATATCATATTGAAAAATCTATTGAGAAAAAACATTTTCCCGTTGATAAATTACTAATACTTCAAGATAAAGTTCTTGCTGAAAAATGGTACATACCAGTCAAACAAGACGAAGCATTAGGTGTTTGCCTCATAGCAGCCATCAAGATAGCTCAAGAAGGTATTTTGAAATTATGGAACAAATAAATAAATAAATAAATATCGAAATTCTCTAAAGGTAAACCAGAAGATAATCCTGATTGCAAAAAATTCATTGAAGATATTGTACCAGAAGCATTTTATAAAGTAAATAGGAGTGAATTATTTATCTTGCATTAATTTGTATTGAATTCTAGTTACAAACTACTAAATCAGTATTTTCATGGCCACGTGAAATTCAATTTGGAATTTTTGAAATGACGGAATTATTCATCGATTTAATGGGTATTCGTCTTCGTTATCCACCCGTACCAATTAAATTACTAAATACACTTGCTTTAGTTAGTATAAATGGTTTTTGTTTTCTACTTGTATGAATCTTCTTTCAAATAATTGTTTAGACATTTGACACAACTACAGCATTTTCTCAAAAACATAAAAATGAACCATTACCAAATCGCCGTGCATATACATTAAAAGATACCGATTTTCTACGAGAGACTTCGAATAATGAAACATTTGGTTGGCTTAGATCAATTCTTCAACGTGTAGGTTTTGGAAAAAATAGTTATATCTACATAAAATAAATTGAAACTATTTTATTATAGTTTATTGCACAAAATGGTTTACAAAATATTCGTTTACAATTCGAATATATCGATTCTTCGAATTCAAAAACAGCTGCTATGGTTTGTTAGAATATGTAGTTTTATGGTTGTAATAAATTTTATTTTAGGAATATTGTGCACTACTTAAAATATTTTCAAAATGTAATCTATGTATAGATGCTCATCGTTTTCGTTTAATTTTTGCTCGATCCATTCGTCAAACCGTTCAATATCTTCAAACACAAACAATTTCTGATGAAGTAAAAAGAGAAGATAAAAATTTAATTATAATTTAAAAACTTGTCTTTCTAGTTAAGAGAACTATACGAGACATTACTTGAAATTTGCTATAAATATGAATTAAAAGATGAAATAACTAAATTACGTACATTACCGTACAATTCAAATGCAGATGAAACATTATCAGAATTTGTCGACAGTTGCTCAGAAACAACGCCACTTATTGAGGTAAATACTAAATACATATTAAACTTAAAAAAATCATCTGTGGGATTTCACATAAGTGTTGCTTCGGCAACCGCTTCACTTGATAAGATGAGCAAAAGGCTGAGAGAAAATTTTCTCTGCATGTATCTTAGAAGCTCATCGATTCGTATCAATTTTTAGAGTAGAATTTAAATTGAAGTAACGCTAATATTCATTGTATCATTATGATCAATGGATTTTCCTTTGGATTTCGAATTACACGAAATTCTTATCGAGTGACATAATGAGACAAAAAAATTTTCTCTATATTACTGAAGCAGTGTTCGACACGACGATCATAATCGACTCCAGAAACTCATTAAAGAGCACTCTTTTGATTTTCTCTCAGTTCTATGACGTACTTTTAAATTTAATTATAAGACTAAAAATTCTATATTTAGAAAATTAGTTCACTATTCATCAAACACAGGATTTTTTAATTAAATTTACACATCATCTACTTTGCGTCTTATATTGATTTTAATATCTATGCCATACAGTATGCTAGAAGCCATAGGGGCTACAAATAGATCCTTAATTAAGTACTAAGTCAGATGATTATTCAATTTTATTTGATAATATCATACTTAGCTTTTAATATACAACCTCAGGTATGAACTAAAGAGTGTTTACATCATCAAAATGAAAATCCACACTGATTATTTATCAAAATCAGATATAAGTCTACGTTTTTTTGGAATACGAATCAAAATTTCATCTAAAGAAAATCCCGATTACTCTATCACGAAAGTGAAAAACCTAATAATAGAATATACCAATAGGATAAATCTATCTTCTTTCATTTTTTAAATAGATAACAGAATCTACACCAAGAAAATCTAAACATAAAGAGTGTTATGAAACTCTTGCTGAAAATGTTCGATTAATGACGATTAATAATAACGATGCAGAACGAAAAGTAATTTGTTCTGTTTTTTTGCTCCGCTTATTAATTAGTTTTTCTATTCAAAGAATATTAAAAAACAAAGAACAGATGAACAATTATCAACACCATCATTTACTCGTAGCCATGTCATAGATTGTATTGATGTACGTTTGACAGTGAAATCAAGATCAGTTCTAATCGATTTTTCTTCTAGGGAATATTAAGTTCAACAGAAAAACGTTCACTTAAGCGAAAACATCATCGTGATCAACATCGTTCAACACTATCATCAATGAGTGCTGGTCATGCAGTTAAAAAAGAACCAAAACGTTCAAATACAATAGCAATTACATCGAATACAACTTATGATCGGTATATATATATATATATATGATTTTATTTCTGTTTTAAAATAATTTGTTTGCTATTTTATATTAGATCGAATTCTGAAGATATTCTTCGTTATTTTACACCGATGAGATTGAAAATTGCTACACTTTATGATAATCTTCAACTAGCTATAAGTAATGGTAATATGCGTGAAGTATTAAGAATTGAAGAAAAAATTAAATTACTTCGGTAAGAAAAGAAATCTCAATTGAATAAGAAATTCATTTTTTCTATTTTAGTCCATTTTCTGCACGATTTATTGCTGATGAAAATACACCTGATGGTACAGCCATGAAACCCGGACAAATATTTCGTAAAGGTTGGATTCTTCTCAATGATGGTTCAATGCCATGGGACAGTACTGATATTCAGTTGATTAATTTAACCGATGGCATTCAAGTTCTTCAACAACCCGTTGTTCCAACAACAGCACCACATGCACGAGCTGTCATTACTGTCGATTATGTGTGTGCAAGTGAACCAGGTACATATGAAAGTAAATGGATTCTTGCATATCGTCAACAAACATTTGGTCCTATGATTTGGTGTTCAATTGAAGTTAGTCCATGGTCAATAAGTGAACATGATTTCGGTAAGTAATTGAAATTAAACGTAAAATATCAGATTTATATTCAATTTTTTTTCTACTTAAAGAAACAATAACGCATTCAATCTCATTGAATGAATTGGATTATGTTCACGTACCATTACCAGCTTGTTTTGATTTATCGAAACCATTTCATATTGACATGAAAACGTCAACTCATAGTTCAAGTCATGTAAGTTTATGTGATTCAGTTATATAAAAATGTTTGCACAGGATAATAGTCTGTACTAATAAAGACTAAATTAGCGAAGACTATACAAACAGATGTGAAGATTTTTCAGTAGAAAAATAAAATCATTTGGGTGTGAATAGGATTGAACAAAAAGACGATGAAAAAGTAATGTTAAAAATTGATAAAATTAAAACGATTGTTCTATGATCAAAAACAATATCGTGTTGTATTTTTTAAATTCATGTTTGTATTTTAGTCGAATTCTTTTTCTCACAGCAATGATTCTGCAGAATTACTATCAACATATTTCAATACCATCGATAGTAAGATAGAATATTTGAATTTTTTTGTTTGAACAAGTTTTGACTTTTTTTCTTCTTAGTTGACGATCTTCGCAGTTCATTTTCTAGTGACACAGAAAACCTTTCGAATCTAATGAACTCACCAACAGTTGTATCTGAAAAAGATGAACAATCTATCGAAAATCCAACACCCGTAATCGATTCAACACCGCCAACAGAAAACTCACCATCACTTACACCGCCTATTGTTTTAAATAATAATGAAGAAAATCAATCGACACGATCAAAGTATGTACAGTCTTTAATACTTCATTTTGACTCCTAGCATTTTATTTTAGTCAACCATTTGATTTCGTTGATACGGTTGTTACAAATGTGTTTAGCGCTGCTAAACAAGCAAGTTCAACAGCGATTGCTATTTTTCATACATTACAGGCCTATGAAGAAGTAATAAAAAGAAAAAATTATTTAATTGATTTAAAAAAATATATATATTCGTTTTCTATTTCAGCCAGTAGCATCAGTATCTCCTCCTGTTCGAGAACAAGAAAAGCCAACGTTGTTCAATTCGTTCAATCCAAATCAAGTAGATAATCATGGTCTGTCGGTACTTAGTAATGGAACTTCAACGAGTATTAACTCAAGTTCGTCATCTGATCCAATGAAAAAATTAATTGAGATGGGCTTTGCTAATCGGGCTAAAAATCAACGTCTACTTAAAGCAAATGCTAATGATCTAGCTAAGGTTATCGAATTATTAACAATTGAAAATGATGATACTGATTGGTTTTCTCATCGTCATTAGAAATTACAAATTTTATCGTGTATTATAATGTAAAAAGACTTCATTTTTTTCTCCGTTTTCTTTTCTTCTAATCAAGTTTCACATCCTTTCAATGTATATTTCCTTTTCTAGCTATTATGAATAAGCGGCTGTTTTCTATATTGTAGTTACGGATGTACGAAGTACGCTTTTCTATTATTCATGATTATTCGCTTAACTAAAAATTATGAAAAAAAAAAGAATAATTAATCCCGAAAACTTAAACATTGTGCGTTTGCGTGTGTTTATTGCATATTCATTTTCAACAATAAATATCACTTTTTCTTTCTTTTCATTTTTCATGATTATCTATCATGACTCGGAAGGACACCAGAATGATAGAAAACATGAAGTAGAAAAATGAGCAAGCAGTCAATTGCATCACTTTATTCCTATTTTAGATCGAAATTTTCTTCGTGGACTTCTTAAAAGGATTGTGCAAACATGTGAGTTTAGTGTAGTAATGTCTCGTGAAAGATATGTTTTAGTCATGCATGCACTTTTACCGGAAATTCATCCTGCTTTGTTTGTTGCGCTGAACCCCTGCGCATCTTGAACTATTCTTGATTTCAGTGCATGTTAATTCATAGTCTTGTGAAATCTCTAGGTTACGTCATAAATCAATTCTTGAAACATATGGTTTAGTATCGAATGAAAAATCATCATCGAATACAAAGCAATATACAACATACGATAAACTCTATCCACCTTTGCGACAACGAAGCGAACACGAGCGTCCACGTTCAGTTCAATTGAAACCGCAAGAATATCTTCTATTCATTGTTGCTGTTTTAGCAATAGCTGCTCTAATCGTTTACAATATCTATACGAACTACTTTGAGTAATCTGTTGTTGTCGAATAAGGAAGTGGCTCTACTGATTAATCATTTTAAAGTTGGAGCCATGAATGTCATCTAGACTCTAATGAATTAAAGATACCCTGAAAAAGTCTAACTCATTATTACGAGTGCATTGCATTTTCTCAATACAACTGAGAAGTTCTCTCCTGATGGATGCCGTCAAAAACTGACTTTCAAATTATAGAATTAGCATAGAACGACCCTCAAATGTAACCATAGTAAAATAAACACGCTGATACAAACATCTAGATTCAATGTGCTTCAGGAAACAAACATATTCACGGTTGACTGTTCTCGTCAACATATTATTCTAATATCGACAATGATAAGTTGAAATTCATTTCCGAATACTCAAAATTCATTAGAATTTGAATAATATCCATAGCATAGACTTAAAACTGATTAATCACTTCTGACATATTCCTCATGAATTAAAAGAAATCTCTTATACATCCTTTTTTTTGTGCTTATAGTAACAACAAAAATATATTGTAATTTGTCAGTTTTTTGTTTTGTTTCTTACGAGTACACTGAATAAACTCTAAAATAATTCAACTGTAAATTCTTTTTTCGAGACATTGCATGTGAAGAATCATATTCTAATTGCTCTTTATATACTTATCTTGTCTCAACATTAAAATTGAACATCGAGTTTATAATATTTCTTATTCTTTGAAATTTGCTCTTACTTCAAGCAAGAAAAATTGCTTTTTTCTTTATTTTAGATTAATTTTTTATTTCACCTCCGTTTGGTGACCATGCTGAACTCGACTGTATTTTAAAATCTATATCCGATATAAACAAAATTTAAATGAATTCTTAATTAGTTATCGTTGGATATTTAATATTTGTATCCATACGAAATGGAAAATGATACTACATCGACAAAAAGAAAATTTGAAGATAACGAAACGAATAATACAAATAACTCGACACCAATAATTATCGATAGTTCGTATTATTCTCTTGAAATAACAAAAAGAGAGAAACGTTTATTTATCAATTTACCTTTGATTTAGATGATAATGAAGAAACAACGGTAAAAAGATTAAAAACAAAAAAAAATGTTCGTTTTGATGATGTTACCGTGTATTATTTTGCACGTAGTCAAGGTTTTGTAAGTGTGCCTAGTCAGGGAGCAGTCACTCTTGGTTAGTATCTTTGAAAATTCCTTATTTAATTATTCTTTTGCTTTCTAAAAATATATTTCAGGTATGGTTCATGAACACTCGCATGTTGAGCAATATTCTGTTGCCGATTTTTCACGTCTACGCCGTGCACTACATAAATCCATATTACGCGAAAGAAAATTACTTCCACCGGAAACATCTTCAAGTAAATAAAAACGTTCAGTTAGAAAAAGAAAAAAAGAATCATGCTATCAGTTATAATAATATTCTTTACAACTACTATTACTCGATTAGAACATGCTGTTCTAAATTCGATGGATAATACATTAAATGAAACCTACGGAATTGAAATCGACCATCTAAATAAAATATTTAGATTTTAATTCTTTTCTTTTTTTTTTGCCTAGCAGCTATTGATAGTGATAATAAAGATGATGATGATGGTGACGATGAAGAACCTCTACCTGTTGATGATTATTATTTTGTTCAACCTATAGCCACACGACAACGTCGCACACTATTAAAACAAGCTGGTCTTGTTAAAATAGATGCAACTGAAAAGCATGAGTTAACATTAATAAGACGTTCGCGTGAAGTATGTGGATGTTCATGTACTCGTGAAACAGGTGGTTGTCAACCATCTACATGTGATTGTTATCTTAATGGTATTGCGTGTCAAGTTGATCGTTTAACATTTCCATGTCCATGTGCAACAATGCTTTGTAAAAATCCGTTGGGAAGACTTGAATTTAATCAGAATCGTGTGAGAAATCATTATTTTGAAACGATAACACGATTGGAAGCCGAGAAAAATCAAGAAAACTGTAGTAAGATCAGAACAAAACTTTTTATTGTGATCATTGAATTTGTTTATATTAAATAGTTTTAGAATTTCCTATTATTCAAGAAAATAATCCTGATGATCTATCGATTGTAGCATTTCTTTTGTCATCAATTATATCCGAGATTGAATTTCGAGATGATGAAATATTTTCGGTTCTTTATTCAATGGTTTCTGCTGTTGATGACTCAATAAGGATTGATGAAGAATCTTCATCAATTATTCCATCGTGTAATATAGATGCAAACATATATGATCCTCTGCAATTACTATCAAACGATTACTCAATGCAAACCCAGCGAGTATGCCATATAAATCCATTAAAATTATCTCTACGACGAAAGTTACCTTCCTCAGCACCCATGATTTCAACTGAACTATCATAATAATAATAATGAAACTGTATTATTCCTTTTGTCGATCGATTATTTTTTGTTATTTATTTCTTCTTTTTTTCTTTTTCGTTTCGTCTATGCATTTCGATAATTTTAAGAAACGTGATTGAACCAATAATATTATGTGCTATTCATTCAAGAAATAATTTATCGTTTTTTTTCTATGACAAACGACTTTCAATATTCAATGAATAGAATAAAATTCTACTGCGTGTGGTTAATGTTCTTGCTTATGAATAGAAGAGAGAGAGAGAGAGAGAGAGAGAGAGAAAACTCAAAGAAGTCATGTATCATCATTCAATAAAATTATACGATGCAGAGTATTTGATAGAAATGCTTGCGAGTCATGATTATTGTAATCTAATTGTGTTTCTTACATTACATAGTGCTAATATTTTCTCTATCGAATTCTTGACAAACCATGCAGAAAATCTGTTAGCATTTTTGCATAGAAAACTGAAAAAGAAATCAACAGCCGGGTTCTAGCTTTTGTTCAAATTCATATATCTATTGTATTTGTCTGTTCGATTGGCCAATGATATAATTATATCAGTGATATTACTAATGTTTGTGAAGTTTTTATTTAAACTCATCTAGATCCATCACTATCTTTAGAAGATCATTGGGAGTAACATACCATGTGTGCGTGCACTAGCTGAAAGTAATAGGATGTTTTATTAAGAAAGGCAGAACAGTATCATTTAAAGATATCAAGTATTACTGTAAAAGACATACTTTTGTCTAGTCTCAAAATTTTTATTAATAGTTTGCGTACATTTTTTGAGATAGAATCGAAAATATATTCATGGTTAAGCTTCTTCTGTTGCAATGAATTATTTTTTTACAACATATTCTGTTGTCGTTCGGAGATTTTCACAACACTAGAAAAAATACAAAGCGTGATGAAATTCTTTTGAAGAACCTTCTGCGTTGCTCATCAGTATAGAACAACAATAACTACAACAACAAAAAAAACGATATAATTTTAGTCGACATATATGTCTAATGTATCTTCTTCACGAATAATTGATTTCTCTTATCATCATTCATAAATCTAAGTAAGAGAATTAATATTGACATTTATATGTCACATGAACATTATTTCAACGCAATTCTCATAGTTTATTTACTTTCTATTTATCGACACCATATTAACATATGCAATACGATAAACAAATCGGAAATGAATATTTATTCTTCTCTTAAATTTTAATGCAGGCATTTGTATATCAAACACATTGTAGTTTACACTTGTTCTTCAAAATAGTATCAAGCTAATGTAAATTTGATACAGTTTATCTTTTAGAATCTTCATTGTATTAACAAAATAATAATGATCATTTTATTAGCTTAAAGATATGGCTACGATGTGTGCCTGTTTCTCTTGAATCAATAAGAAATACACGTATGCCTACGTTTGTTTATCCATAAGAAGAATACGACTCTACACTAATCCTTAACCAATTCGAATGAATCTTTTTTTGTTTTTTCCTGTTGAATGTCATGTGTACAACGACGCATTTGACTAAATAAAGAAAATGAAGGAGGTGGTTGAATCCTATTAGACATTCGAATATAAATACTTGCTTGATCATTACTTAGTTTTGTATACGAAAGATGAGACGAACAATTATGATTCAAGGTAAGCAACAAAAAAAAACATCCGCCGTATGAAGAAAAAAAATAAGAAAATTATTTTTAATTCTTTTTATAGTTGTATTGATTCTTATTGCTATTCAATTCAATTTTATCAATGCTGAAAATGTTACTGTTACGACGACGACGACGACGACGACAGAACAAAATCTGATAACAAATCAAACAATGATGAATGAATCAGATGCAACAGAAAGTCCAATAATAAAAGATGGTGCTGATGACGACGATGATTCGTCATCTACAGATATCATCAATCAGGAACCTTCAGCATCAATATTATGTGAAAAACGTGATAGGCCTTATTTTCTTCCACATAAATATCAAATAAGTCAATTTTATGTGTGCGTTAAAGGACAATTGTTTTTACTTAATTGTCCATCTGGCTTTCGATTCAACGGTGAAGCTAATCAATGTCTTCGTAAAACTGCTGACGATGAAATAGAAGAAAGTAGGTCATCGATTTCTCGATGATATTTTTATTGATTATTATTGTTTTTTTGTAGCACTTAAAAGTCCAGCTTTAATTCCACACGAAACTAATTGTGGTTGGTATTATGTCGTACGTGTTAATCCCGCAGGCGAACGTGTTCTTAATAGTTGTCCTATGCCACAATTATTTGATATTCCAACACTTGAATGTAAAAATTATACTGAAGTCAAATGTAGAAATCGTTTCGAACCAAAAGATGCTTGTAAGTTATTTAGGAGAAAAGAGAAATTATCTCATTATGTTTTTACAATAGGTGATTATCAAATACGTTCATCAGCTCATGCATATCCATGTTCATATTTGCCTAGTTGTAAAAATCGCACTGATGGTTTATATCCAGATCGTTTACGTGATTGTCGTAGATATTTTCGTTGTACATCCGAACGTAGTTCAGAATCTTATTCATGTACTGAAGATACATTACCATTCGGCGAACGATTTAGTTTCGAACAACAACGCTGCATACCGGCTCAATATGTCGAATGTGTCAATGATCAACAAAAACCTTTTTGATAGCAACAACAACAACAACAAAAATAGTACTGTTAATAAGTTTACTCATAATCTTTAAATAAATCCATTGAATAAAAAAGGATAATCATCAAACAATCTAGCTTATCATGATTGCCATTTTATTTTTCTTATAATCGTATATTTATTGATCTCCTCATGAGTATGCTTCTGAATCGGCGATTACAGATAGTAGAACAAGTTGTTATATTCTTGGAAATCCATAAGGAATATTTTCTTTCTTTGTTCTTTTTTCATATGCTACAGTCTAGATGCTCATCTTTATCGTATTTACACTTCGTAAACATATGTAGTCAAACATGAAGATGATAATAGACCGATAAGGAACAAGATAGATCTGCTCTTCTTGCCATTCCGCCAATTCAGATTAAGAGAAGAGCGTTCCTCTATGAGAATCGACGTTCCTTTGTCAATTCTGTTTGCTGTCGTGGTGACAAGGCCAATATTCTCTGTCTCTCTCCCTTGGTGTCTTGCAGCTTTCTTTTTTTATCAATAGTTATTCTAAGAGAAGATTACATACAAATCATAGCCAAACGACCTGTCTTTTGGCTACCTGATTGCCAGTCCATAAACGTCGGTTAATCATTTTCAATGAAATGTTTTTTTATCTCGTTCATTTTAAATGTGACACGAGCTATTGATCATGTAGCATTATATTTTTTTTTATCGTTGTCAACATGTCTTGAGCATACATATTATGCAAATCGTTACAATAATAAGGCATATTGAAATTAGTATGTATTAACGGTTTTTTTTCTTGACACCCACAAAATAGTCATATAAATTAGATGTTAAGAAAAGTATATACAAACAAATCTATACACTTGTAAAATGAGTGGGGTATATGAAAACAAATGAAGCGAATATTAGCGAGAATGCTTCATAAGAAAAAAATGATAAGAAAATCAAGAAAAAGAAGAACAGCAAAAAAAGTTTTTTTTCTTGAAGGCAACTTGGCATAGCAAAAAACTTCTCATTTCCCTTTTTCTTTTTTGTTACTCCTCTTGAGTCGATCTGTCCGATCACGTGGTTGAATGTTGAAAGCACAGCGACAGAGAGAGAGAGAGAGACTGACTTTTCTCAGCCATCATATTTGTAATGAAGAGTTCTTTTTTTAATAAAACTGATGGAATTCTACAAACGAGTATGAGTTCTCAACAAGAAGTAGAAATACAACAGCAAAAAATAAGATAATGAGAGAAAATTCATTGCTAGTTGTTTGAAACCTTGAATATTTTCTCTCCTCTGCTTTCTTTTACTGATAGCGTGTCGTTTAATTTTCCATTTCCGCCTAAAAGTATATCATTATCGAATGTAAGTAAGCAACATGTTTTAACTATTTTTTTCTCTCTGTTTCAAACGTGACATTAGCTTAATATATATATTTAAAAATTGAATTCTATTGGCTTATTCACGCACATGACGACATTATCTGAAATAGGGTTATTATTTTTTCTATTTAATTCTCTGTCAGATATTTCATTTCTATGGCTCCATCGGTTTATCAGTGCCATAGTAGAATACAAACTTTTGATTATGATAAATGTAGACGAGACATATTATATGCATTTTTATCAACATCTGATTAAACGAGATAATAAACGCATTTAGTTCTTGTGAAACCTTTTTTTCTCACTCCCTCTAGAAAGGTTAAGATAGTTGAACTTAGGATATCCATATGTCCACGATTGAGAGAAGGTAACCTTGATTTTATCGCTATAGTGCTAATAGAAGAGTTATGACGCAATATTCTGTATGATTATTGACGTCAAATGCTTGCCCTCTTATTCTTGTCTTACGCTATCTTTTCTTAACGCCGAACGATGTAGATAAATTTTCTATGTTGTCTAGTTTTATTTTATCATATACTTGCACCATTTGGATGCATTTTGCTTTTCCGTTCGTTGTTGAAGATGATGACAACGCTCGCATAAGTTTCCGCTAAAAATGCCGATGAAACGGGGTCATGTATCAGCTCCTCAAAATACATTTATTGATACAATCATACGAAAATTCGACTCACAAAGTATGTTTTATTTTTGTTTTTCTTTATACATATGTTTATACACTACTATGAATTAATTAGATCGTCGTTTTCTTATATCCAATGCTCAATTGGCAAATAAACCAATAATCTATTGTAATGATGCATTTTGCGAATTGGTTGGCCATTCCCGCGCAGATATAATTCAAAAAGCTTGTACATGTGAATTTTTATATGGTGTTGAAACAAATGAAAAAGCTGCAAAACAAATTCGGCATGCCTTACAAGGAAGTGATGAAAAAGAAGTTGAAATTATTTTATACAAAAGCAATGGTAGATTTTTCTTTTTGTTTTCGTTTACAAATGTTTTCATTGAATATATTAGTTTAAAAAATGATGTTTGCCGTCAAAGAAAGAAAATAATACTATTTCCACCTATTTTCTTCTAGGCATGAGATTTCGGTGTTCAGTACTCATCGCTCCGGTGAAAAATGAATCATGCGATATTATATTATATATCCTTGAATTCACAGAAAATAATGAGCGTAATCGACAACGACGAATACGTATGTAATTCGTTTTTGTCTCGGAACAAAACAAAATTTCGTTATTTTTCTAGCAAAAATCGGTGAATACTCAATTATTCATACCGGTTAGTAGGTTTTTGCGTTCTGTTTCAATCATTATTGTTCCAATATTGATAGGAAGCTTTCGAAAACGGTCATGGTTGCATATGTTCAATCCATTAGCGCGACACAAATCAAATCGATCAAATGATGTAATAACCGGAGGCACAGGTGATCTGGAAGGCTCGATGGCAACTGATACGGCTGGTTATATGGGTAAAAACGCTTCTCTTCCTTTTTCTTCTTCTTCTTCTTCTTCTTCTTTGTTTGAAATGGGCAATCGTTAGGAAAACAAATCATGAATATCTAATCTCAAGTCATTTTCATTTTTCTTTCTTTTCTTAATCAGTGCTCGTAAATGCCATTCTATAATTGAACGGAACACATTATTAACCTATTAGTTTTGTGCAAGAATTCTGAAATAGTTATATTGATTTATTTTTGAAGCTTATAATTCAATCGAGAGAGAAAATATCAAACATAAAAATCGGTGAGCTGTTTATTGCAAGGTAAGTTTTTCAATTTCAAAAAAATGAACAAAATGTCATTTTACGTTCTCTTCAAAAGAATTTTTTTACCGTTGAACTCAATAAAATCAAATACGAAATTTGTAATCAATTACTTTTCATGTTATTCATTCTAGAAAAAAGAAAATATCATGAAAAAGAAATGATCGTTTTGCTATAGTTTTTTTCTTTTCTTTTAAAATTAAAAACATTTTCACACGTTTCTTCTCAACAGAGAATATAAACGAAAAACATTATAGCACATATTATCTCTAATGAATAATTAAGAGAAAACAAACGAGTAGATATTTGTTGACTATGCTTATTGTATTGTTTACTTTTAATGTAGGATTGAATCATAAAAATACCATCACCATTCCTTTGGATGAAACACTTTCATCACCAGGAAAAAATCTCGCCATGGATTATAAATCAGGTCATAAATCCTCAACAGACTCAAATAATTTATTAAAACCTGATAGCGATCTATGGACTGCAACTAGTAATGATATTGATCTATTGAAAACAAAATCACAGAGTTTAACTAACATTGCTGGTAAATTAGAATAATAAATTTAAAGAATTTTTGATAAAAAAAAATCAATGAATATATTTGTTTTTTCTTTTATAATAGAAACTGTTCTTAAAAGAGAACAAAAAGAATCGAAAATTGCTAAACATTCATTTCTACCAAATATACCAAATCGTGTTGCACAAATTTTATCTTTAGGCGAAGACATTGCACCTGATCTTCGTTCACCAGATAGTCGTCGTATACCACGAACAATTATTCTTCATTATTCTCCAATTAAAGCTGCTTGGGATTGGCTAATTTTATTACTTGTCATATATACAGCTATAGTAACGCCATATACAGCTGCTTTTCTCATGCATGAAGATGGACCAAGTAAACCGCGTACACGTTTATCGCGAGCACTCAATGTTGTTGAACTTATTGTTGATGTTATGTTTATTATTGATTTATTAGTTAATTTGCGTACAACTTATGTTAAGCATAATGAAGAATTAGTAACACGTGCAAGTAAAATAGCGAAACATTATTTAAAAGGATGGTTTCTAATTGATGTAACAGCAGCTATACCGTTTGATATTTTATTTTCATTATTACAAACAAATGGTGGAGGAGAATCAACAACATTAATGGGTCTTTTAAAAACAGCACGTTTATTGAGATTAGTACGCATCGCAAGAAAATTAGATCGATATTCGGAATATGGCGTAGGTGTTTTAATTTTACTGACGGCTACATTTGCATTGATTGCCCATTGGCTTGCTTGTATATGGTATGCAATCGGTCGTCTTGAACGAAATAATAATGGTATGTGTCTTTGGAAAACGAAAGAAAATATTCTTTCGTGACATAATTCTTAACGATCGTTTAATTATTATAGGTACTGATGTAATTATTATGGTTTTGAGGACTTGAACGTTAGTGCTGTATTAAAAATATATTCTAGGAGTGTGCGAAAATAAGTTTTTATCTTGGCCATAGTGGCCGTAGCCAGCATGAAAGTTGCGAAAGAAAATTTTCTTTTTCTCGATACAACCTAAGATTTAAAAATAATTAGAAACGAATTCAAGAGACATGACCCACCAATGACCTAGTGTTCCATTGAGTCGATTAAAAATATATGATGAAACAAATTTGTTAGAAATTCTAGAATATTTACATCTAGATCCAGAGATCAGAGTGACAGGGAACAAGATGATCATACACTTACATAATTGAATGACTGTAGATTTACTTTGTTGGCAAAGTATTCTATTGCTCAAAGACGATTCTCATGTTTTCTTATCGTTTTGAATTAATTCAGAGCTATACATCTACAATTAAGCAACGAAACAAGAAACATATAGTTAGTTTAACAACAACAAAAAAATGTTTCTTCATGTCATATTTCCTAATAATATATTCTATTGTGATTAACAAGTGAATAGCTCTATTCGGTAGTAGGATAAAAGATGCCTTCAAAATAAATATAACACCTACTGTTGTATAGGCAATGAAAGATTAATTGGGTGGTTAGCTGAATTAGCTAATCACACTCATCAATATTATAATGATTCCGATCCAACGTCTGGTCCAACGAAAACATCGAAATATATAACAGCACTTTATTTCACTTTTTCTTCTCTTACATCAGTCGGTTTTGGCAACGTGAGGTTAGCTAGATATGTTATATTGTCGACATTTTCTTTTATTTCTTAAAATTTAATCTTTCTCTAGTCCAAATACGAATAGTGAAAAGAGTTTTTCAATAATAATCATGCTCGTAGGATGTGAGTTCTTCATGTTTCAATGTTCTGTTTTGCTTTCGTTGGGTAATCATGTGCATAAACGTTATCAATGTTGTGTTGTTTTGGTGTTCGCATAGCTTATTATTTTAGGATTACGTATAACATGGCTTGATGAATTAGCACGTATATCTGGTCAACCATATAATTGTTCAACAATATTAAATTATAATAAAACAAACTTGAATATAAATGTGTGTCACGGTGGACCTAATCTTCGTTCAAAATATATAACAGCACTTTATTTTACATTTTCATCTCTAACATCAGTCGGCTTTGGCAATGTAAGAGAGAAATATTTATAGTCCATTAAAAGAAACTATATATATAAATGTATTCTTTATAGGTTAGCCCTAATACCGATTCGGAGAAGATTTTTTCCATCTGTATCATGTTAATAGGATGTGAGAAATCGCATGAAGCTTTTCTTTAAAGCATGTTGTTGTTGTTGTTGTTTTATGTATATCTTAACATTAGCTGATTGTCATTATATATAGATTTATTTTCCTATTTTTAGCTTTAATGTATGCCAGTATTTTCGGTAACGTCAGTGCTATCATTCAGAGACTTTATTCGGGTACAGCGCGTTATCAAATACAGATGTTGCGGTATGTCTATCAGCAGTATATAATGAGTCATCCATTAGAATAAATACATTTCTATAACTAGAGTAAAAGAATTTATTCGTTTTCATCAAATTCCTAACCCACTTCGGCAACGATTAGAAGATTATTTTAATCATGCTTGGAATTATACAAAGTAATCGAACAGCATTTGGTTTGTTTCCGTTGTAGTGTTTTTGTATTTGTTTAATTATACTAGTGGTATTGACATGAATATGGTGCTTAAAGGTTTTCCTGAATGTTTACAAGCTGATATATGTCTCCATTTAAATAGTCAATTACTTAAAAATTGTCCTGCATTTAAAGGTAAATAAATATATGTTTTATTTTATGTTTATTGATTCATTATTTTTATTTTAGATGCTAGTGACGGTTGCTTAAGAACGTTTTCGATGAAATTTAAAACAACACACGCACCACCAGGTGACATAATAACACATCGTGGAGATATATTAACATCATTATATTTTATTTCACGCGGTTCAATTGAAATATTAAAAGACGATAATGTTGTTGCTATTCTTAGTATGTTGATCTGTCATGAATGTTACTTTTTTTATTCGCGAGTATTGTTTTTCAAAGGTAAAGACGATATTCTCGGAGAAAATCCCGTATTATATAGTGAACCGGGAAAATCTGCATGCAATGTTCGAGCATTGACATATTGCGATTTGCATAAAATTCTACGAGATGATTTACTTGAAGTTATTGACATGTATCCTGAATTTGCACAAAGTTTTTGTCAAAATTTAAAAATTACATTAACATTACGAGACGTAATTATAAATTTTAATGTGAGGAAAAGGAAATAATTTATAAATCTTATTTAAAAGGAGGATCTTGTTGCAAAATCGCATGAATGCCGGTCGAAATATTTACCAAATCAACAACAGTATCGAGGAAGTTAGTATTCAGAAAAAAAATATTTTCTTAGATGTACTTGATTCATTCAGGTACATCGTTTAATCGAACAGATGATGAGAATTTGTCAATAATGGGTCCACAGTTTGATGATTATCCTAGTGGAGCTGGTAAGTTTATGTAGTGTTTTCATTTTTGGGAAATTTTCAAGATGTCTATTATTGTTAATGGTATAAATATTTGCAAATTTGAATAAGCTTATTAACAGGATATTCAATCTTAGAAACATTTTTTCGGTCAGTATGAGATGAATTTGTTTTGTTGTGTTATTAGAATCTGATTGAGAATATTGAAAAGAGAAATTCGATTTTAAATCAGAAGATATTAGTTATTATCTTCTGTAGAATGTAAAGAATGTTGATTCAACACATTCAATAATCTCGCCCCTCGACACCGCCGACAGTCATATTTCTAAAACAAAATTGTTTGTGTCTAAGAATCTGAAATCGATACTATGAGTTCTTTTGGGATTTGAAACGCCGAAAAAGGCTTTTCATTAGGAATCGCCGTTCATCCGCGTTACTTCAATCATACATAGATAACCTGTAAAAATCTATGATCATCGAAGTACTATTCTTCTTTATTGTGAAAGCCACGAATTCATAAACAAAAACAATTTTTCAGCTAATGAATCTCTGTGTTTTGGCACGTACAAAGAAAAGAAGTTAAAAAGATAAATGAAGCTTTTTTTTATTTGTAATTAACGTGTTTGCTAGAATACTTATAATAGATTAATCAGGCAACAAAAATAAGTGTTGGCATTAGTTAAACTGACTATGACAAAAAAAGTATACATGGAGATTATGAAGAAAAACAATGTTTTTAAATGCGTGAAGGCTTGTTTGTATTTGTTGTTTTAGCGTTAACTTTACTTGATGTTGAAGCTTAATGAGGTGCATAAAAGTCATACGATGCTGATGAATACACTTCGCCTTTAGGTGTACCTTCATGTTGAGAATCTTGTTTGACTTCTAGAAATATAGATTATTTTCTTAAACTAGTTGTATCATTTTTATTTTCATACCGTGCTCTTTATTTTTAATATCAGACGCTAAGACATTTGCTTTATCTTTTGCTTCATCGACTTTATCTAATAATTGTTGTTTCCATTCAGCGCCTATAGAACGTAAAGCCACAGTTTCTTATAACATTCTATATAATCGAATAGGATTGTTTTACTTTTTCGTCTGCCTTTCTCTATGGCTTGATCGACCGCTTCTTCGGCTAGATAGTGGCAATGAAAAATATTTCTCCAATTATATGTTCCTTTACTTTAGTAATATGAAAGGTACCTTTTGCTGTAACTTGACCTGCTAATCCAGTAAGACTGAAGCAAGAAAAAAAGTGATAAGACAGGAACAGAGTTGCTTTAATAACAGTACCTATGAATAGCTTCTTGAGCTGAATGATAAGTAGCTGAACGAACTTCAGTAGCTTTTCCAGCGGCCTAAAAAAATCAAAATCCAAATTTTTTTTGTTAATATAAAGAAAAATAACAAACCCAATGTCCAGCAGCAGTGATTTTTTCACCAACAAGACTAGCTGCATTAACTGCAACTTCTGGAACTCTTTGTACAGTTTCAACCACCTAAATAATTATAGACATTTCACCAAAGAAGGCATCCGTTGAATCCTCACGAAGATAAACATTCGAAGAACGATGCTGCTGGTGTTGTGAATTTTCGGTAAATTCTTTTATTTCATCAATTTTTTGAGACACCGTCATTTTCCTCAATCCTCCAGAAATACAGAACTCGTATGATTTATATTGTATTAAAATGAACTTGGAGAAATGCTGTCATATATCTACTTTTTAAATTTAAAACTCCATAAGGGACTGTTTTTTGGCAGATTATAAATAAGTTTTTTTTAGTTACACTATGTCGAAGTTCTTGAACTTTTTCAACTGTAACATCTTTCGCATGAATAGCTGTGCCGATGATGGTATTTGCAGTAGGATCTTTCTTTTCATCTGTTTTCTTCGACGCACTAGCAGCCAATTGAGTATCTCAAATTCAAAATAACATCGTAAATTGATTATGCAAAAGAATTGAATTATAGATACCAGCTTCTGTAGTTTGTTCGACTTCTTTTTGCGCACTAGCTTTGATTTCGGTAACGTTTTTTAAATCATCATCCACTAATTGAGAACCTGAATAAAAAACAAATGAAATTTATGTTCTTTTGGCCATTTTTATAAGTATTCAACCGACTAATGAACTAGAAATTCTATCAGCAATTATCAATCAAATTTAGTGTCTTGCTTCTGAGAAGACTCAGTATTACTAGGCCCAACACGAGACCATGTTTATTCAGATGAATGATGTATCTCATTATGTGAAACATGTCATATATTTTAGAAATACGTTAATTCTCCTTGAAAATATGTAAGTATTCGTTTAGCGTCGTTAGCAGTTTCGAGAGAATTGTTATTTCTTTTTCTTTTGCCGCATTTTTACGTCAACACCTGCTACATTAAACTTCATACGGATCGAAATAGTCATTAGATTCTCTCTTTACTTTTTTGTTCCGCCTGATGTTTCCAATCAGTCAGTGTTTGCTGAACATTATATTTTATTGGTTCTTCAGATTGTTGCACTATTTAAAAAAAGAAGTATTAAGAATCTATGCGGAATATATTTTTAAGAAATGTGAAATGTTTTTATCTCGATTTAAGCAACCCAGATCGTAGAGGTACGGTGGAAAACGGCCGAAAAGTGGCAGCAGTATTTCTGTCGGAAATTGGCGGATTTTTTCCTATGGATTCCGGTCAGTTTCCTGTGCTTTCCGGCTGGAAAATAACCGAAATACACCGGAAAAAAAATCCGCCAATTTCCGACCGGAATACTGCTTCCACTTTCCAGCCAGGTACGGTGATTTTTCTGCATCTTTCCGGTCGGTTCCTACGGTATCCGTCCTCCGGAATCATTGACCTGGGAATAGATGATATTTGTAAAAAATCGATAGTTTTTCTGGAATTGAGACATTTAATTCCTGCATCGAACTTACCTTGAATATGAGTTTTTATACCATTAACATGAGGATCGGAAACAGTTGCATGTTTATTATATTGATTTAACATAGTTTTATCCTTAAATTAATAATAGCGAAATATCTAAAAGAAATTTTGTGAAATTTCCACTATAGAGAAGCTTCTTAAATGTAATTACAAGTATTCATTATATTTTACGACTATTTATATACCATTACTATTTTTTAATGAAATACCATCTTATAAGTCAGTCAATCAAAGTTATATTCTCTATCAAATAATTGTTATAACTGCTTTTGAATTTCTTGCAAATAGAATAGTTTCTTTTTTGGTTTCTTTCCATCATTCACTTACTAGTACCACTTGTCAACAACTACACTCAACAACCTTTCGAAAGAAAAAAAATTGAAGTTATATATAGGAAGACGAGAGAGAGAGACAGAGACGAAGACAAGCACCGCAGCGCATGACGATTAAACCAATAAATGAAAATAAGTATTAATGGAACTTTTTTTCTTTATTTAGAATAATCAAGCCAAAGGCAAAGCAGTCTGTTTCTTTTGGTTGCTGAGCGATTTTATCTTTTTTGTGTTCTTTTCCATCGTATTTTTGATGGTATGCCTATCTATCATATACATCTCATGCGTTCTTTGCAAAATAATGCCAACTACGCAATGTCCGTACACTCTCTAACTCCCAAATAATGAGTTAATAAGTAAAAAGCTCTTGTGCATATATACGTATATTTATTTGGAAAACAAATAACAATTATTAAAAAAAATTTTCATTTTTCAATTTAAGAACCTTGAAATTGAGGTTCACGTTTTTCTCGAAAAGCGTTCCGTCCTTCATTAGTATCATTAGAAGTTCGACATGCATCTATTGCTGCTTGTATAGCTAACTTGTCGTCTCCGCTTTCAATCATTGTTTTAATTGAACGTAATGACAGTGGAGCATTAGATGATATTTTTTGAGCTAAATCAAATACGTATTTATCTAAATCATCATGATTATGACATAGATATTGAATCAATCCTATGGAATGAGCTTGATGAGCAGATATTCGATCACCCGTATAAAGGACCATTTTAGCACGAGATTCGCCAATTAACTGAATCAAACGATCAATTATATCTTTTGGACATGCTAAACCTAATTTAACTGCTGGAATACCAAACTGAGCATTTTGAGATGCAATGCGAATATCCACACTCATTGCCAGCGCAAGACCGCCACCTAAACAATAACCGTTGATTTTTGCAATAATAGGCAATGGATATTGACGAATTTTAATGCGTAGATTTGGAATTGCTTGGTCAATATCTTCAGGATCTTTTTCCGATAAATCCGCACCCGAACAGAATGATATTTGACCATGGCCAGTTAATATTAGTACACGAATAGTTTTATAATTAAGAAGACAATCATCTAATAAATTTGATAAACCTAACCACATTGTAATTGATATCGCATTACGTTTTGACGGATTATTTATTGTAATACATCCGATATGAGATGATTTGTCGAGAATATCGAACGAGATAAGACCAGATGCATATTGTTTTGTGATAAAAACAGATTCGTTCATTTTTTCTATAATATTAAAGAATTATTTTCAAACACATATATATATATATATTACTAATAACGAACAGTATTCTAATTAAATTATTTTTTTTTAAAGTATAAAAATAAGATATGAATATTTTATTCATAGGTATACTTGAATTTAATCCTCAATTAGCCGGTCAAGATATAACTCCAGCTAATCTTGAATTCGATTCAATAGCATCTCGTCGTCGTGATCGTCGAGGAAAATCTTTTAGTGGTGCATCTGCACTACCAGGTAAAATTGAAAATATTTATTTGTATCTTCAATACTAATTTACAATTTAGGTAATCAAGTTCCATATTATTCTCATCAGCCATCATTATTTACAACAGTTAATGATGAATTAACTCCGTTGGTTTGTATAAGAGAATAAAAAAGACGAATCGAAATCCAAAAGTTTCTCCTTTTATTTTCTAGGCCCGTGACACTCAATCACTTGATCCATATCAATCAAGTGTTGAATATCGTTTACAAGAATTAACTAAGTAATTAATTAGTTTTTGACTTTCTTAGAATGGTACGTTTTAATTGCTTATGATATTTAGACGGTTATCTACCTTGGAAACAAAATTATCAGAAGATGTATCTACTGTTCTTTTAATACTTCGACACCAATTTCCAGCAAATAATTTATCAACGTCTTTATCATCAACTGATCTGTTAAAAAATAATGCATAAAAGAAAAAGAGAAAATCTTCTGTGATAATTTATTTCTCTTTTTCTTTCACCTCATGTTCTTTTGCACATTCGAAAATCTTGAACTAATGAAAAAACAAATTAATTTATCTCTGTATGTTTGTGTTTATCATACACTGGGTACTGAGTATTATACTTGGTACTTTTTTACTTGAAAATCTTAAGTACAAAGTAAATTTTTGTAGTACAAGTAATTTTACTTTTACTTTCAAAGTGTACTGAAGTACGACTTTACTTAAGTACCAGTACTTAGTACAAATGTACTTGAATGTCGTTGCTGATTGCTTATATTGATTTTTCAGTGGTGACTTGGGGCACAGACAATGCATACTTAGTACAGTACGTGGTACTTTAGTACTTTTTTCTTCGAAAACTGTTATCATGAAGTAATTTTTCGCAGTAGAATTGAAATTACTTGAATTCCAAAGTAAATTACGTTCTGAAAAATTCTCTTGATGTTTGGCTAATACTCGAATTCGAATAAGGCAAATTTGTCTCTGTTCGTAATTCGCCGGTATTGTTAACTCGTAAACAAGTATCTCACTATTGTTGCATAGAACTTTTCTTTCTCATTTAGTTTGCCCTTAAATGAAATGTTATTCTGCCGTATGATATTTTTGTCTGTACAGGCATACGCAAACGAAGTATTAGAATTGTTTCTTTGTGGATTTAGTTGATAGAATAGGAGCACTCATGAATCACTTATTCATTCAGGCTGCCGAAAAGCTCTTTTTATTTTGTCCGCAAAAATGGATTACACTATACCAGATGAGCTTCAATGTGATTTATCTTTGGTTGCATCGTCTTTGAAAATGTGGTGCCTACAGTTATAATTGTTTATTAGAAAAAATTCAATAATTTGAAAATAAACACAAAAATGAAGACTAAATGTTTGATTTCAAATAGCATGTAACAAAAATTGATAAAAACCAATGAAATGATTTATAACATAGCGAAAATTAGTTCGAAATAAACTCTTCCCTGAAGCACTTGTTCACTTATATTTTTACATTCTAATGATGTACCGAGATAAGCCTGTGGAAAATTGACTCGGCATGTGTAAGTAAGTGAACCTCTCAATGACTTCAGTTTTACGATCCCAGCGGTCTTTTTCTATTTGTGATTATTATTATCATACTTAAAATTGCATTGTATCAATTAATTGTCGGAAATAAAGTTACTCAATAATTCTAATTATTATTAATCATTTAATTTCGATTACAAACGTTCTCAGATGATCAAAATAAAAGATGTTCAACTTCAAAATGTTGTAATTAGCATCTGTATATCAATTTGTACTTGAATGCTGTACTTAGTACAAATACTAGTAAAAAAATGTACTGCAGTACCGGTACTAAGTATATCGTATTCAAGTAAAGTCCGAAGTACACGTGTTAAGTAAAAACTACTCGTCCTTTTACTTACTGTACTTTTACTTGTCCAGTGTCTGGTGTTTATAAGCTCCGTCCTTTTGTTACCCCCTGTTCCTTCACGTCGACCGATAGAAATATGTATTTTGTTTTGTGTATTAAATAAAACAATTACAATATAATACACTTATCTCGTAACCTTCAAGAAACAAATCTGATTGTGTTGTAGAAAGAGCAAATACAGATTGTTTTGCATAGAGCGATATCTATAATGAAGAAATTTCTTACTTCTTATTGGTGCTGAGTTGATAGACCAATCAAAAACGTTTTCAACCGGACAAAGCAAATTTTCTTTTTTTATTGATCGAATTTGGAATGCCTATTTTTTTCGTCGTAATTGTTTTATATCACTAGTGAAACTATTTGGAATATATTAAAATAGGTATTTAATTAAGTAGCAGCAAAATATGAAACAATAGAGATTAATGTGAAAAATATCTTCATGAATGAATACAATAGCATGACATGAATCGAGTGTGTGTGTGTGTGCATGAAGCAGAATGACTAGTACGATCAAAAATTGATTTGGTAAGAGATAATTGTTTGCATCAGTGGATAGTTTTCATGCAGGATGCGTCGTTGTTTTATCGTATATAAACAATATTTTCTTAAATCCTACACGAAATGTTTTGTCACGTTCTAAGATAGTTATTTTACTGTATTTTAGATGATTAAATATGAATGTTAGTAAATAGCAAGATGTGAATTCAAGATCATCCAGTGTACAAGTTGCTATGATATTTCTTGGTGAAAGAAAAATATGATAAATTGTTGCTATGCAAATAAATGATGAAACCAAAGTATTATTTTTCCATACGGGGATTAATAGGTAAATGTGTAATGGAAATTTGTTAGTTAACGATTACAGGGGAAAAGGTTACGCTAAAATGGATCCGTACTTGTGTGTGTACTATTGTAAAGTAAAACTTGTTTTTAATTCACGTCACCTTCAATGGGGAAAAAAATAAACCTTTCGGTTAAACTAGAAGGATGGCATGCAGTTAATCACGTCACTGGAATGCAAAAAATGAATTAAGTATTTCGTTGCAGCTTTCTGAATGTGTATAGCGTTTGTTTTATATAGTCTAAAGAGTCCACTGATTGATTTTTTTGCTAGATCTGAAGAATTTACATAGTAAAATACAAATTTATTAGGGTTGAAGATTAACAAAATGGTTCCTGCCGTTTTTTAATGACTATGATACCGTAGTTGTCAGATCAATACATATCTGAATTCAAGTATTATTTTTAGATTATGAAAAATTTAAGAAAAAAATTAGTTATCCGTTAAGGAAATGCGGAAGCGCCTCTGTTTTGTTGAGCAAATATGTTCTATTGAATATGTTTTCACACATAGTGTTTGAGATCATTCAGCTCTTTTAAAATATTTTAATTATTTGTTTCTAATTGTCATTTTTGTGTTCATTTGTTTAGATCTAAAAATCATGTGCATTATACGAATGATGTTTCTCATATTAATGTTCGTTGACAATCAAATACTTGGTACATCTATGCTTTGTCAATTATAACAATAACTTCAATATTTGATGATGAAACAATTGATTTAGCTATTGAAATCTGAACACATAACTAATTAACATATTGCTTCAATTTTTCAATAAAAACAAATTCTGTTTTTTTATTACTTGATAAAAATAATAAATTTTAATTTTCTTTTAACACATATCTATTTATTACAGATATGAACGATCAAGTCACAGAAACTTCCTCGACAACCCAAGAAGGTGAAACAAAAACCAATATATTTTCCTTTATTCTCTAATTAAATTTCTTAATTGCTTAGAACAAAATGTTCTTCCGACAACGAGAGAACCCCAACAACAACAACAGCAGCAAATAAATGTTGTTGATGATGCTACACTTCAAGCTGTACTTAGTTCAATGAGTGAAGTAGAAATGAATGCTTTTCTCGAAGAATTAAATAAAACAGGAAAAGCCTGTAAGACAAAATATATCTAATTCTCTAATGATTAAAATACGCGCCATATCTTTTCAGTTTTACCTGGCATAGGTCAAACAATTGAATTATTGACTGTTGCTGCGCCAGTTGATTTACCAACAACGACAACAGCAGCTCAAACGTCAGCTGAAACTCTTCTTCAAGAATTAACAACTCTTATTCAACAACCACCTGTTGATATTGTTCCATTGAATATAGAACAAAAAATGACTGGTACAACATCACGCACAGGTAATACAGCTGTTAAATCAACAATAACATCCCATAGTAATGCAACCATACGTAAACCAATGCAACAACAAATGACTAATGATGAAAGAATGTTTTTTGGACGACCAACAACTATTGGACAAGGACAATACCATAATCGCACTGGATTAATGTCAGGAAATAAACAACAGCAACAGCAACATCATCAACAACAGCAGCAACAACAACAACAACAACAACATGCGATGCCATCTCAACAACGTCGTCCAATATCTTGGTTTCAGTAAATATTTGAATCTTGAAAATGAATAATGTTTGATTTTTGTTTCCTTTAGAAATCGACCTCGACGTCATTCGTCAGATGATGATGATGATTCTGACCGTGATTCATCACCACCAATGAGTAGCAATGATAGCTTAGGACCAACACGTCGTTCAGCACGTGTACCGAAACCAAAACAAGATGCTGATTTCGTCACATTTCCTTTGTTGGATCGAGATGAAAATGGAAATCCTATACCACCAACACCATCATCAATGCCATTAAACAAAGCTGAAGATGATGAAGATGATATACCATACCGTCTAATGGATTATCCACGTCCACAACAACAACAAAATCAACAATCACTATTATCAACAAGTGGACCTGGACGTAAACCACGTACAACAGCTGAAATTCGTAGTTCAACGAATATAAATAAAAAACAAGCACGTTGGCCTGATGATGAATTATATCATGTTAAATCTTTTGTACCACTTATTATGCCTCAACAAATAATTAATCCATCGATAATGAAAAATAAAATGACTCTATGTAAACCATTAGTATCCGAACGTGAAGTTGAAGCGAAACCAACTAGATTCACTATAGCTACGCAAACAGGTTTGATTTTATTGACATGAAAAAGGCAGCTAATTTTATTTGTTTCCATTTTTATAGAAATGGAACATATGATACCGGATGTACCTTTAGTTACATTACCAGTACCGATTTATCTTCCATCACCAACTCCTAGTTATCGGTTATTTAAACCAAGAGCTGTGCCAATACCAGTACCTTTCTTTGTACCAATAATGATACCTGTACAACGGAGTACTTTTAAAAATATACGTGATTATCTTCAAGTAAGAGAGAAATTAATTTTTCTTTATGAAAAAAAGACCGTTTTCAATATTTAGACACAACGTGATCTATTACCGGATGATCCATTTGAAGCAGCACTTGTAATGCATGCTGAAAGTCTTGCACGCGCAGAAAATCAACCACAACAAACAATAACAACTGGACATGAATCTGTCATGATGATGGATTTAACACGTGATGGTTAGTTTTTCTTTCTTTTTTTAAATCTTTGTTTGTCATCACGTTTTTTATTAGACTCATTTTTGACAACTTCCCAAACTATTGAAAATTTACCGGAACTTGATCTTGAAGCTCATTACATTGATCCGATTACATCAAATGATCCTGAAGTTCAAAAAGTGATATATTTGCATTGTTGTTGACTTACAACGAGATAATTTTTTTTGTAGCTTCTTCGAATGTTACCTGATGCAGGATATCGTCTTAAATGGACTTATGGTGTTGAAGCATTTCAACAATGGTGTGCACAGCGTAATCGTTCGATTGTCACAACTACACCCGAAGGTAATAGATTGATTATTGAATAGATTGTTGGTTTTTGTTATATTTAACATTTTTCTAGAAGCTGAAATGGCCAAACAATATTATGTTAAATCCGATTTACTATCATATGTAAATGGGGATGAATTACAACAGGTTATGGATGTATTTATAGGTGAAGTTCGTCGTCCAACAGGAGAACAATATTTACCTGAGAGTATTTATTATCTTTGCTTGGGTAAGTTCATATGAATTCAATTGCTGTATTCTTTTAATCAACGCTATTTTAGGTATTCAATTTTATTTGAATCTAAACAATCGCCAAATTGATTTATTTGATCCACGTTATATAGAATTTAATGCAACATTAAATCGAATTCTTCAAACTTATACACCACGTGTTTTACCTGATAGTAAGTTGAAAATTTAAACAGAACAAACAAAAATTCTGAATAATTTTTTTTCTTAGCAAATACATTTGTATCATTAATTGATGAAGATTTATTATATGACGTTCAACAATTAGGTACATTAACACCATGGTCATTATTAACAACACTTCTCTATACAAATTCGAAATATTTCAATTTGAAAACTGTTGAATCACATATGGCTATATCATTTGCTAATTTTGGTAAATATTCCGAATGGGTTCGTTTATCAGCTAATTCACAACAAGCGCAACAAATGAATTATTTAAGATTTTATGCTCATAATCCAGGTAATTTAAAATTCATTATATTTGAAAATAAAAACATCACATTTTGTTTTTCGTTTACAAAGATCTTAAGTCATTAGTAAATTTACCAATTTTTTATGAAATAACTGAACAAATGAATGATCCAGTTCGATGTCCAATAAAACAATTTGATTTTTATGTATCAAAATGGTAAAATACATTTTTATTATATTTAAAAAAAAATTAAAATATCGATTTCTTATTAGTCCTGAGGAAATTCGTGGTACGGCCGATGTTTTTTATTTACGTCCAGCATCAGAACAACTCGTGGACAATTCAATATGGTATTCAAATGAATCTTTATCACCAACGATAATTGATCAAATATTAAATAGACTTAAACTAGTGTCTGATTTTTATAATCAAACAAAACCAGTCGAACAAGGTTCAACACCATCAAATGGAAATAATACGGTTACACCAACAACGACCATAACAAATAATTAACATGTTTTATTAGTTATTCATTGATTTGTTTTGTAATGCTCGTTGTTGAGAGCAAAATCGCATATGTTTGTACAGAAATTCCTTTTTCTTTTTTTGTTGTTATTTCGATCAGTTTGGTGTTGTGTTATATCATATACATGGGTCTTTGTATTATGTGTTTCATTGATAAAGAAAAAAAAAAGCAAAGCAAGAAAAGCCAAACGAAGATTTATTTGTATAGAATTATTCAATGTAACATATTAAATACGCTTTCTCGTTCAACATAGAATTACATCAGAGTAGTCAATAAATGGTAAAATTTATGAATTGTGTAACATCATAATTGACGAGAAATGATAGGACGGGAAAGCTCGTATAGAGAAAAAAATTTTCGCGATGATATTGTTTTCGTGAAAGAAATTCAAGATTACCTTCAAGGATATATGGGATAAAATAGAATAGAAGCCATACTTTATTATTCACAATTTTTTAAGTAAACATATTTCGTCAAACCACTATTACTCAATACAAGTGCATTTTCTTTTCATCCATTGAAGTAAATTAGTTGAAACTCATCTTTGTTGTTAATAGGAGTGGTGAAAATACAAGATGATCACAACTTTGAATAGTTCAAAGGCCAAATTTTTTATCTGATTATGCACCTGATAATATTTCAAAACTTGAAAGTATTGAAAGTAAAAACTTGATTAAATGAATGCGTTGAGAATAATGCAATATTTCGTGAAACTAAGCAGTTTTGTTTGTCACTCAAAACTTTTTGCCCATTTCTACTGACGATAAATAATCAGAAACAGCAAAGTGTTCGTCGCCTACTCGAACTTATTCAATGGTTCATGGTGCCAGAGCTGTAAAATATTCTATTGCAGATATGTTTCAACATATAGTTCGAATTAAGAAATTAATAGATAAACATTTTCTATGGAATTATTTGTCACAACAAAATGCTCCGACGAACCCCTTTTTATTTGTTATTACGCAGCACGAGTTTAAATATTTTTCGAAGTCAAACATCTATTAAAGATATGAATTCTTTTTTTCTTTCTTTTTGTTTATTCAAGAATAAATAAATGAGCTATGCATGAATATCTTTAACGCATTCCAAAGGTTTTCTTTAAAATTCACAAGACACACATAGGCGATTCAAAATGAAAACGTGAATTGAATAAATATTTCGATTACTTAATCAATCTTTATATATATATATATATAATGAAATACGAGTAAAATATCGATTCTTCTTTAAACTTTGTAATAATCTTTTTTTTCTACATATGCTTCGACTGATTGTTCATTTGTACAATGAAAAAAAGGGTGATTTTTATAAATCGATTATGATCCAAGAGGAAAGAAAACAAAGAAAAAAGGACTTATTTTGTCTAATTCTTTTTAAATATTTCAGTTTAAAATTCAGCAGGCGAGAAAGATAATCGCAGGAGTTTGTCTAATGCTTAAGTCAATATTTTTGTTCGTTTACTACCGGCAGCACAAACATTTAAAAAAAAAGAATTTCATTATGCATTACCTTCACCCCTCTCCGTCTTTTTTTCTTCATAAACACACGACTATAAGATTTGTGTACACGCAAAATTCATTTTTCACTTTGTACATTAACAATTTTTCTGTTGAAATATTCAGATAAGTAAAAGCAAAATGAGCAGACTTCATTCGGCTGCGGCTCGTCAAACACTAGTACACCCAAATGCTGTTAGTCCAACGGTGGACCACAACGACCCTCTTTTCTCACAAGGTGCATCACTTCGTGATCCGTCGACTGCATCAATAAATGATATTGGATTTTCAAAAGTTCTAGGCAAGGATGGTGATGTACAAGAACATACTGTAATGCAAGTTGAAATTGAAAATGAACCGTTAATGCAACAAGAAAAACGATCAAAACTAGCCAGTAAAAATGCACTTTTAACACAACGATGGCAAACAATACTAGTTGTGACTGTAGTCCTTACAGCATTAGCTGCTGGAATCGGTAAGTAAAAATTTTTTTTTTCATATTCATATTAAATTGAAAACACTATTGAAAGGTGGTCTCGGCTATTGGATATCGATTCCAAAAGTCATTACACAACCTTTTTTGCTCTATGGAGCATCATGCTATATGAATTCTCGTTCGTGTGATGCAACACGATTTCTTTGGTGTCCAGCTGGTACATGTGTATGTACAGGTAACTATCAATGGAATGTAACAGCACAGAATTGTTCATGTGGTGTCTATCAAAAATGGACTGGTTTTAAATGTCAAGATTATGGATATTATGGTGATCCTTGTAATTCAGTACCTTGTCAACCGACTTTAACATGCATGCAAGTTATCAATCAAACATATACCACAAGCCAAGATATTTGCGTTTGTGATAGCGTAACTTATTTAGAAACAGTTGGCGTCAATAGTGGAACTTGTGTTTCTCAATTAACATATAATGCTTCTTGCCTAACAAACTCCGATTGTAAATCTGCGCTCGGTCTTTCTTGTGCCAATGTTGGAGGAAGTAAAGTTGCATCGCTTGAAAATATTTTTTAAATGAATTTTTTTTTATCACAGTACTCCAATGTCAATGTTCATCCACAGCTTATTGGAATGGATCCTATTGTAGCTCAAGTAAAATCATTCAAAAGTGATTTCTTTTTGTTTTACTATTAAGATGTTATTTCTTTGCATAGATGCTCTTGGTGGACAACCTTGCAGCGTATCTGTGCCATGTGATACTAAAAGAGGTCTAACTTGTACAGCAGGTATTTGCGAATGCGATTCATATAGTTATTGGGATAATGTTACAACAGAATGGTGTCAAGAAAAAGTAAGTTCATGGAAATTATTTTATTTATCTTTCAGAATTTTTTATTTTGATTAGAAAACTTATGCCATTGGATGTCAATATAGTTTTCAGTGTAATACAACAGTTAATCTTTCGTGTCCATCTACGCCCACAGGCTGTGATTGCCCGACGGCATCATCTGCCGGTATGTGCGATTGTGCATCGACTACTTTCTGGGACGGACAACGATGTTCAGCAAGACATTCATTCAATGGAACATGCCCAGGACAATATGCTTGCACTGCAAATCTTGTTTGCTATTTAGGACATTGTATATGTCCAGGAAATATGGTATGGAATACTCCGACGCCTAATACATGCGCCTGTTCCCTAGGGACTACTTGGAATAGTACCACTAGCACGTGTGCTTAAAAGAAGAAATCGTTTTGAATGGGACACGGTCTTTCTTTTCTTTTCAAATAATCGATGCTAAAAAGTATCTTTTCTTTTTTTTTTCTTGACGAGAACTATGATTTTTCATGATTTCACAAAATGAAATTGATTACGAGGCTTTTACTTTGAACAAATTTTTATACTTATTAAGATTTTAATTGTAAATTTGAAAATAAGAGCGCCACCTTAATTTTGTTCAATAAAAAAATATCTCTATTTGCGAGCTATCTTTAACACTAGAAACTTCAATGGCATTCGGAAAAAAAATGTCCTCTTTATTTGTATCTTTTTCCTCTTCATATTCTTGGTGCATAGAATATTTTGTTGTCAATAGTTCCCATAGTAAAAATAAAATAGTAAATACAAATTATCAACGATGGAGTTTTGCAGTTGCATTAACTTGAATTCAATGACTAATAGAACTGTAAAACTTTTGCTTGTTGCTACCACATTTATTAGTTCAGACGAACATCAGGTGAAATGTATCTTTCTTTATTCAACTCATTAACACTACTCCTACATATAACATACAAAACAGAAAAAAAAACATCAAGAATTATCAAATGTTCGCAGAGCTACTTTTCTCATCTGACTAACATAAATTTTAAAATAAATTATATCCAATTAAAACATACGAACAGGTGATATGTTCGCTTGTTGTTTTATTCTATAACCAATAAACTCTTAACAGTGTCATAATTATTCTTTTCATTTCTTTTGTGATCACTCGTTTGATCTCTTATCGTCCTTTGACGATTAATTGATTAATCCGATGAGCTCATTTAATCATTTTCAATATTAATCGAAGCATCAGCCAGATAATGTTCAATTCGTCACAATGTCATCTCAATCGCGACATGTCTATACACGTGAAGAACGCACTATACTCGAAGCAAGTTTTGCTTGCCAATCGCATCCGAATATTATGGAAAAGGAACGTTTAGCTAAACTTCTCAATTGCAATATTATTCAAATTTCGAATTGGTTTCAAAATCATCGGGTAAGTCAAGAAATCAGAATATTTTTTTAATGAAAACTGAAAGATTTTCTTTTAGCGTCGAATGAAAAAACAGAACAAATCTACGTTATCGAACATTTCAACAAGCATACATACAGTCTCTGCTGATTCTCCCATGTATCAGCCGCCCTGTGCTTATCATCAATCCCAATGTGCATACAATATCAATGCTGACAATTCATCGTATTATTACTATTATCATCCGCCAACGTCCCAATATATCTATTCTCATGAGCCTGTTTACATGCAAACGACATATTTTGATCCACTTGTAACTTATGAACAATAAATTGTATATATTTTTCTTTTGATTTTATGAAATAAAAAAATCGATAGATGTAACGAAAAAAAAATATTCGATATTTTCGTGATATAGTAGATTGGCGCTTATTCAAATTACTAAAATTATTTTCTTCTTTCAATATATACATCATTTTTTTTTCTTACTTTTCTTAATCTTTTCATCAATGAAAAAAGTCGGTTTAGTACAACGTCGTCGAACAGAGAAAGCTATCATTGATGCTTTATTAAAAATATCTGAAATCGTTCAGAAAACAGAAACCAATCGAAATCGCCAGAAGTTACTCAATGCACATCAACACTTCAAAAAAGCCATTGGTGACGGGGATTATAATGAGTTCGATGACGAACAACAAAAAGTACCCGTGCCACCTTCTATACGTAAAATTGATTCATATGTGTCAGGTTTTAATCACGAATCATCAGAAAAACCTTTGAACTCTAATCATCTATCAACATACAAATCGAAACACAGTTCTTCATGGCATTCACAAGAAACAGGTAGCTCGAAACGCGACATTATCTAGATCTATATTACTTTTTATTCGTTTTCAGATAAGCCACATAATAGATCATTAGAACAAGTATATGTACATTATAAAAGTTCGGAACATGCTAAAAAACGTTATCATGATAATTCTTCTTCGACATCATTATCATCAGATGATAATCTCTATCGAAAGAAATCTTCGAAACAACATTCAAGCCATAAATCAGTTCAATCAAATAAAAGTTTACAACCGGTACGAGATATTCAATAAGCATTAAAAACAAAAGAATTGAGCGTACATTGTTTTTGCGTTCAGGTATGTCAAGAAGCAGAAAAAACTGAAAATCAACCAACCATAACAAGTTTTACTTCTCCAATGGTTTCCTATCATGCTAATTCTGCAGCTACAACACTTCTTGATGATCCGTCATCGTCTTTAGCTATGGTACACGTGAATTCAGCTCCGACAAGTTCATCCCCAATGGCTAGTGAACAACAACAACAACAACAACAAGAGCAGTCAATAGATTTAAATCGAATTCAAATTAAAGACGATCAGTTTTCATCTTCATCAAATCCATTAACTGATTTTGATATATTTTTTGATCAACAATTACAAGCAACATTAGAAAAACATATGAAGAGTCAAACACGATTATCAACAAAACAGGAAAATATTCGAAAGAAACGAAAAAATCGATTAGTAACTTTAACAAGATCAGAAACAGGAAAATTGATGAATCAATTAGATCTGACGAAACAAGTTTGTAATGTTGAACACTATGAAAAACAGGTTAGATGTAATTCATTTTGAAGGACCATCTTGACTGACTCAACGTCGGGTCACCGCGATGAATTTATCTTTGAAATTGAAAATATCTAAACTTGACTTTTATTGACTTCTAGCGTGAATTAGCAATGTTTGCAGCTAAACAAGGCAATTATTCTTTATCGTACTCTATCTACACAAAGCTGTTACACGATACTCAATATGATTATAAATTAAAATCCGAAATTCTAGCATCACGTGCTGCAACATCGTTATTGGAAGAGAAATGTTTCGAATCGATTGATGATTGCACACAAGCAATAGCATATCATGAATGGAATAAATTAGCTTATGTTGTTCGTGCTGCATGTTGGATGATCAAACGAGAATATTCAAAAGCTGTTGAAGATTATTCAAAATTATTTCATTTTTTCGATCAAAGTCAACAAGTGTTAGATTTATTAAATTTAGCTTATGAAAAATTAAAATCATTCAATTCTGATATTGATGATGATCAATCGACAAAAAACGACCATAAGACTAGACAACCGATGGCGTCACCCAGGGATACAAGTGTTGATCCTACTCAGTCTCTTTCTCTGGTTTCACCAGCTGCTTCTTTTATGCAACCAGCTGTCTATCTTTGTTATCCCTATCAAGCGTATCCAACTTGGAATAGTACAAATAATGAACAACAAGCAATAAATAGAGATGAAATTCAGCAGCCAACCTATATGAGTGAGTGAAACAAGAAATTTTGTTTTTGTTAGTGTCTACAATCATAAAGAGAAATTCTTTTTCTTAGTTACAAATACTAGTTTTACTTCACATCCATCTCGAATCATTGATCAGTCGCCGATTTCTTCTGAACGAACATTTCGAAATTCAAACGAAAAAAAACATAAATCATGCCAATCAATTCATTCAAATAATAATGCAGTTATATCAGCAATAGATCGACCATCAACTGTTGAACAAGAATCAACTTCAATAAATAAAAATTTACGATCAAATTTATTGTGGATTAAAAATTCCCGTTGATCATTTTGACTTCATTGAATTTTCATTTATTTATAAATATTTTGCTTAAATAAAACATTAATACAAAACAACGACTAGATGAATTTAAAAAAAATGATTCTTTTTTTTATCTTTGACTTAAGAATACGAGATTCCTCCAAGTGACATTTCCATTCGAGTTTGTTGGCCAGCAAATGCAATCCAATCAGAATTATATGTTGGCAATAAACCCATCGATTGACATTTATATAAAGCTAATGCTAAATGTGTGAGATTACCTAAGAAATACATTATTTTATGTAACCAGATATTTCCAACTAAACCTTCTTGTTGCAATGATGAAAATGCTGAGCTAAGTGAAAATATAGCCTAGAATATTCAAATTGGATTTTAATTCAAGAAAACAATAGCATATTAGAATACTTGTATAGGCTTCATAAATAACATAACAACAATCATAATTGACATAAGTGAAAATGTATTGCCAGCCATCCATGCGAAAATAACATTCATTGGCAATTGTTTTATTGGTTGTAATGCAATATCCCATGAACGTTTTGCTAATAAACGTTCATCATCTTCTTGAATTAATAAATCTGCCACTCGCTGATCGCTGTAACCAATAGGTGATACTAGAAGTTTATTATTGTTTGTAGCTGACATCGTTGTTGAACTATTTTCATTAGGTGTATTTGGTAAACGTTCATTTCTACGAATTTGTAAATCAATAAACCATTTACGACGTGAAGGAATTGCACGAATGGAAGCAGTACTTGTTGGATGTTGACTAGACATCTGAAAATGAAATTTCATTCGTCTCTGGAATCCTAGCAGGAGTTCAGAAGAATGCTCCTCTCGCTCTTCTACCTTGATGTATCGCATATTTCCTAATGATAGAATCAGTAGTTCGATATCTTTCACATGTTTTATCTTAGTTATAGCATTCGCATTTAATCAAGTGAGTCTTCTAAAAACACTAACTATTCACAAGCGCGCAGTTGTGTATCGCAAAGTAATCAACATAGTGTTGAACAGGCGATACGAGTAGAAGATTCATTAATACATTGCCCCGAGAGTCATCTTAATGCTGCTGCTACCAAGTGTTATATGTAGCAATGTATCAAACTGAAACGTTAGCAAAACTACAGATAATTAGAAATTTTCTACTATAATATATACATAAAAGCTCTATCTTCAGAACAATATGTTATCTCACGGTTCGTAAGTATTATAATTCTATTTTTTTTCGCTTTGACATTACTCATGCGAATCAAATCGTATAAAATACTATTGGTTTCAAAGTTCGTTATGCGATAGGCACAGAAAACATCTACATGGTATGCGAAGTACGACTCACAAACTCTGAAAGGACACAAAGTCGATCCTTAGAAGAACATTTCATATGTAGAAATGTTGATTGTTTTAAGAAGAAAAAATCATCTAAAATTAAAAATTAAAAAATATCACTTTTGAAAGCAGACAATCACTTTTTTTACACTCAAAACTTCTAAGATTTCCTCTAGAAAAAGCTCGACTTCCTGAAATCATTTTTGTCTAAGAATTCACATTTTATTTAATGAGAATTCTTCTACGGCGTCGAATTCGCTCTGCTTGTATTTCAATCTGTGCATATTTTTTTATTTAATGAATTCCCACTCGTGTTACAGTCCTATTATAAACTTGATCAAAATGTACTGATAACGTTTTCAAGGTGCAGAGGTTTACCTTCTGTTCAAGAGCATCAATAAGAGAATGCTGTTTTTCTCTCTTCTTTTGGCAATCACTCAATTAGTTTATGCATGATGTCGACGTACAATAGACTCGTTCTTTTTTTAATATGCTTTCGATTATTCTTATATTGTATTCATCGGATTGAAATTAATATTTTCTGAGAAGATTAAAATTTTCATCCTCTCAATCTTACCGTTCGTGCAGGTATTTAGTAGTGTCATAGATTTTTCTGACATGAAATTCATACAAAAAATATCAATAGTTTTTTGTTTCTTAGACAAAAATAAGATGTTCTGCCGATGCACTTCTTCGACTTGACAATTTTACTATGAAACCATCGAACTAAATAATGTTTCCTGTATCTTTTCTTCCCATTGTTTATAGATAAATTTGATTGTGACCATCGTCTTACTATTTATAATAAATGATATTGTTGTACCATGAATATAATTATAAATATTATTGTTAGATGTGTGTTTAGTAGATTGGTTAAAATAAAATATGGTTATGATGTTAGTAATTAATAGGATTTATCTAATTTTTAGAAAATAAAGAAGAATTGAAATTAAGTTAAAAAAAGGTGTTTTTTTAAACTCAAACTGTATAATTTACTTAAAACAAAAAGTTATCGATATACAAATAAGAGAAAATGGAACTTTAAATAATAGAAAAGCAACAGAAAAAGAAGAAGAAGAAGAGATTAAAGTATATAAAATAATTTTCATTTTATTTTGGCTGATCGTTCGGTAAATTTGGATCTTTAACGGTTTTTCTCATAAATCGACCAGCAACATGAATGAACGGATTATTAAATGGATTATGTTGTGGATCATCATTTCGATTTACATATTCATTATTGTCACCTCGAGTTATATTATATAAAACAGTCATAATTGTAATGAAAACAAATAAAATTATAAGTATCAAGTAAATTATATAGCGAGTGTGTGATATTGATGTTTGGTTAAGCGCAGTTTTTTTTCGATTTGTTGTTTGTCGAGAACGTAACCATCGAGCAAACCATGTAAAAACACTACGACGTTTATATTTATCCTCGTCATCTGGATCACTTTCTCCTGCCTAAAAATTGCAAAAATAATTATTTCAAAAGAGAACATCAAAACTAAAAGAATTTATGAAATATCATTTTAATACTCACTATATGGCATGATAGTAGAAATAGAATATTTTATTCTAAGTCATAAACAAGTTTTTTCAAATTTATTCTTCATCTACAAACAGTGTGATCTACTTAAGTCATAAATTTATTTATATTCCATAGCCTCAATATGTAACAGCTTGTCTTTAAGAATGAAAAATAGTATTTTCCCTAGGTATACAAGAACCATCGAAAACTGAGTAGCTGTCGATTGAAAGTACAAATTCGTCTTCGCATTTAAAGCACGATGAAAATTTATTCTGGTTATGATAATTGATTTTTTTGTGATAGATAACAATCAAATCTACATACTTTTATTGTTACCGACGTAGATTGCTGAGTCGTATCAGTAGCTCGATTTGGATGATGTGATAAGCCACTGGTTCCTACTAGTGTTTTATTTCCACTAGTCGTAGTTGGATTAACAATAACATATCCATTTTTTTCTGTTTCTGTTAATAATTGTTGTTTATCTTCCTCTACTGTTGATTCATTCGATGATGATATCATTGGCAATCGTGCTGCCCAATTAGTTGATGCAAATCTTCTTCGAACTTGATCAGCAACAGGCGAAACAAGATTGGATGGTGGAAAAATACATGCATGACAAGTTGGACATGTGTAACCATCGGGAGCTGTATGTGATGGGAATGAGCGACAATATTGATCAAGACATGACCAATGAAATAAGTCAAAACAAATAAGTCGTATTGTCTCTTCATCAATATCACTTAATGAACGATGACATAAAGTACAATTTGGATCATAATCATTATCTTGTAACCATGATATGTAAGAACGAACAATACATTGTGGATGTTCACTAACAAGGCATGATTCACAAACATTAACGTGATGTTTAAAACAAAATAAAGTCGACACTTTGCGTTGTGGACATCTGCAAAGCCCCATGATTTTTATCAATTAGAAGAAGAAAAAAACTAATAATCGGATTTTGAAGGCTACTGGTCTAGATTGTCATTGGACTGGAAAGGGTATTTATTGGACACTGAAACGACCAATGAAAAAAAAACAGTCACAAAAGAGAAAAATAGATATTTTTTATTATTAAATCATTTTTAAGATAAAAAAATATATAAATATGTATGATCATTTGAAATATGTAAAATGAATTGTCCAATAGAAAATTATCAACAGCCTGTGCATACGATATTTCATTCATCATTATTCAATCATAGAAAAAGGGAAAAGAAACTATTTTGATGGCTGATGGATCATCATCAGTGGCAACTACAAATCAACGAGTAGCAACTAATCCTTCATTACCTATCGAATATCAAATTCGTCCACCTTCTCTTCCGACTCCACGAGAATCTCCATTAACTGGTCTTGCTTCACATCCGTATCGTCCACGTTCGATCTGGTACGAACTTTGGAAATCAAAATTAGCTTTTATACTTTTTGTTACATCATCAACATTTATTTATTTCGATTATCAACGTACACAACGTTATAAAATACAAAAAGCTTTAAACGCCGCTAGTGAAGAAAACGAAATAAAGCAAAAGAAGTAAAACATGGCATTTGAAGTCACTCGATTCTGGCTAAAAGAAGTGTGTATCAGACGTTGGTATATATTTCCATTTATTGCCTATTCAATATTTGTTCATAAACATGAAAATCTTCGACAAGATTATTTTAGAAATCGAAGTCAATTAGTTGGCGGAATGAAAAAACCAAATTGGTGAAAACTAAACCAAATCCTTTTTGCATCAGTTTTCCTTCTTCCTACTGTTTTTCTAAAATAAATTCATCGTTAACATACTACTTCATTCTTTTATTTCTTTTGTAAACAAAAATAATAGAATGATAGAATGAACAAAAGACAAGAAAAAATCGAAACGATAATTAGAAATATTAAAATAATTAGTTTATTTCTTTTGAATTGAAACGATTCTGGTAAAGTTAAAAATTCTGTTACGGCAAAATTTTTTAATCGATGTTCATTAAACCAAATATTAAGTCGAAATGATTGATGTGCTGGCTGACGATTATTAAGATAATTTTCAGCAAGACATAAATAATTTCCTTAAAAGAAAAATAGTTTTTTATATTTAAACAGCTTCACATATTCGCTATGGTTTCACTTGATGTGAATCCAATGACGTGAACATGCGAATTGATACTCGTTTTTTTAAGATTATATTATTTTAAAACCCATCCGCTACAAGCGATTTGTTTATTTTTTTTCTGGAATGAAATTGAATATCTCGCAATATAGCCTAAAATTATGTCTATAGTTCAATAGTTCGTGTAGAAATGAACCCTTTCGTAATTTAGCTATTCGTAGTAGTAAGAATCGTTACCTCGATTTCGCCAAGTAGCGCTGTCGATAACATATTTCCCATGTTGTGTTTTATTTAATAGTGTTCGATTTTCTCCATTTAACATCCATATGAGTGTATACATTGGTTTTGGATTTCCATAGAATTCTTCACAATTAATTTCAATTGATGAATAACTATTAAATGAACGTGTAAAGTAATAATTACCATATAAATATGCTTTATATTGAATATTTAACACATCGGGTAGAGTAGCATTGAGTAGAACAGTTGGTTTTAACTTCTGTTGAATAAGTGTACAAAACACTGTTTGATTATGATCATTTTTATTAAGTTCATAGTTGACGAGATAAGCTGTGTATGAGTAAGAAACTGATGTTGATGAAAGTAATTGATAATGATCAGCATCATTATTATAGATAATCATATACCACATCGATGAAAATAAAGAGCCTATCTGTTTAATGTAATTAGGATCGGCATATAAAGAAATTGAACATGTTAAATTAACTGATTGCTCGGCACGATAATTAACTTGTTGAAACGATGGTGGAGTTAGAAAAAGTGACAGATTTTGTATGAATAAGACTACCTATGTGTCAGAAAAAAGTGCATGTATTTAGTATAAACAAAGAAATCGTACATGATAAATATATTGTTGATGGCTGTTTAACTCCGAAATGATCTTTAATGTATAAAATCCTTCGTCACCAATTGATGTTTGTTCAATTGCAAGTATTGTTTGATTTACTAACGAGTATCGTGATCGATTTGAAACATTATATTCGACTGGTAAATCGTAGGAGTTTATGGATGATTCTGAATTAGATATCAATGGTTTTAAATCGGTAATACCTTTGTACCAAATAATTGTTTCAAAATTTTCATCGTCTACGAACTCCTTGATCCCTTCAACATCGAATTTTAGCTGTCTACCAATGACCGATGAAATCAATATAATATTGTCATGATTATGGACAGCAGCACTGTAATGCTTTGCAATAATCAAATTTAGAAATACCAATAGAAGGAATAGTATCCGATTGTTGAATATCATTTAACGCGCCTGACATAATAAGCATTACTAATCAGTTGCAATGCAGCTGTATATGATTTCAAATAAAACTGTTACTAATTTAATTGCTCTACTAAAAAGTTGCTCAAACGTTTTTTTTGTCCCGTTAATGTACACGTTTTTAATTATGACATTCGGATTGTTTCTTTGTCTTGATAATTATGATTCAATTTTTCATGCCTAATCCAATGATACATGAGTAATATAGAAAAGTTATAAACAACTTCGAGCACGATTGCAAATTTACATACGACATAAGAAAAAAACTTTTGCTTCATATCAGTCGTAATCGATAACATGTTTCGCCCGTTATTTAATAGGAATCACACTTTCGTCTCTAGAAAAATTAAATATCAAACATCAAAATAATTTATTTCCATGATCTTTTAAACAAAACAGAAAGAAATAATTCCAAATAATACATTCTGAGACGAAGATTACCACCGTCACAACGAACTATGTAACCTTTCGCACGATTTAGTACGACATTGTACTCTCACAAGCTTTTTCTACCTACGCTAAATAAACACATTAAATATAATGCGTTTTCTTTTTAATAGCTACTGAAAGTCATGGCTGAATCGAAAACGCTGAAAAGTCGCACTAGATTTGTGCTAGTCAATGAAGAACTAAATGTACTCTTATAGTCCAATCGGAGATTATAATCGTGCATATTATTCATCATTTTTATTGAAAGTATTGCGTCTTATACGACAATATGATGCTTCGAAGTATTTTTCTTCGCCTATGGATATATCAGTCCGATGAGAGATATAATCATTAGATGAATTCAATTCATACTATGATATAAGTTGCGAAAGAGATGAAATCCTTTGTATCAATACATGCATGCGATTGAATATTATCATTGCCGTTCTAGTATTTGAGGTAAACAAATGCATAGTAAATATATCTTAATCTTCTTATTTTATTGGACAAATAGCAATAAAAAGCAACGTAAATTTATCTTACTAACAAATAGAAATTAGACATGTTTTTTCTTGGATTTACAATATAATTAAAACGAGAATAAAATAATAAAAAAATATCAGCGGACGAGTTTACAAAAAAATAGCAGCTGGAATAATTCAATCGATCATGTCTTCTTATGACTACCATCACTACGGGTTCGATCTTCGACTGGCTTGATCTTGTCGATCATCGTCATCATGCTGTAGAAGATAACCGTTGGTTTCTTTTTCTTTAATTGCTGCAATTGTATCTCGTTGAAGTTTAGCAAAATCAGCTGTTGAATAACCTTGTTTCTCTGCGGATTGACGCTCTGCGTGAATGATCGCTTCTAGCATGAAAAACAAACTAGAAAAATCTTAGTATATATAAATGCTATTTCTTACCACTACTTGAAGCCACAGTATCTAACCATTTTTTTACTTTACGTGTTTTTAAGTCATCAACTGCTTTGTCTAAAGCTTTTGATGGATGATGATCACCGTCAGTAAATCTTATTACACTCGTGTGTAATAATCGAGACGAGCTCTTTGCTAAACACTGTTGATTATATACAACAGGATAAATAAAGCGACTTAACATAGTGTCAAACTAAATAAAATGAATCTGCAACGAACTCGCTGACGCTTATATACTAAACGATCGTAATTGACTAGGGTCACATACAAAATCATACTCGAGCGTGTTTTTATTGGCTAGTAGTAAACCAGTAAAGAACTGCGATAGCACAAGTACTCTACTACCCTTCTTTATTTCGTTCGTTGTTCATAGCTAAAAACTAAGTCAACTAATTTTTTTTCAAATCATAATGATACATTCACAGAAACGCAAATATATTGTGTAGCCGAATCAATTTCTTGGTTCATTGACTTTCATTGACGCTTATACTACTTGTATAGATAGTTTTCATTCGTTATTAAAATCGAACAGTGTAAGATATTAATACCAGACTGGTTGTATATCAACCAGTTAACGGAGAAAAGAAGAAAAACGAAAAAAATGCTGCTAAACAACCAGCTACGGGTAAACGTCTGCCTCTATCATGGATCTTCACATCTTCTATCAGTCGTTATTCATTTTTGTTTTAGATTTAATTCTTCTTTTTTTCTCTCTCTTGTTGTTGCCTTTCTCGTTGCTATAACACGACACACTCTCAAGACATATTCATCATTTATTGTTGTCCATTCACATGAATTCGACTCCTCACGACGTAAATCCAATGAGTGAAAATCGGTAAGATAAAAAAAAATAATTCGTCGAAATTCTCAAATATAGATGTTCTGTTAATCTAACAGTTCAACACATCGTGTATCTAAGCCATCATCATATACTAATTCAACGAGGGCCAGTGACAATCATGAACATCATCTATTAGCAGAATCATTTAATAATATGAAACTAACACCAGAAGTACATAATGTTTCGCAAGCAGTTCCACTGCATACACGTGAGGAAGAGACGAGACTTTATTATATTTGCAATATATTATGTTTACTTAGTTCATGATACAAAACGTTTACGAACACATTCACAACCAAAAGGAACTATACCATATACAGTACGAAATAAGCATAATTATTAATTGTAACAGACGAATTTGATATGTTCAGGTTACTAATCATGATACAATAGAAAAAGTGGCAATTCATTTTAATTTGACATCCTCGGAATTGCTACAAATTAATAAACTTAATTCACGTATGCTCTTTCCTGGACAAGTTGGTTTCATTTTGTTTTATTATACTTAAATAAAAGTTTTGTTCGTAGATACTATTCATACCGGAAGCAAGTGTATCAGAAGCTTCAAATCAACAATCGTCAACTGTCGATACAACAGATTCTCCATCGTCAGTAAAAACTGTAGATAGAAATAATGCATTTACTGTTCATAAAGAGCCTCATACATTTAATGACTCTTCGTCATCACATGCTCTTCCTTTAAATCATCCATTACAAAAAGATGTTGGTTCTGTGATTTGGTCGATTGCTCGACATGCAACAGCACGACCAGGTCATGCTGAACGATTAACAAGTGATTCTAATACTGACGATGACTCCTTATCAACAGATGATCATAGTAAAAATATCAAAATTTCAAATAAATCTTCATCGTTAAATCGCATTCATCACGTTGACAGCGAAAGACTTCAACGCTTTATTAAAGTTAATGTACGATTAATGACTGAAGATCATGTAAGTATTTTTTCTCTGTTAAATGAAATTAATCAGTTTGTTTTAGAAAAAGTAAATGACTATCAGCACAAAAATCTATTGTGTAGTCTTTCAAGGTTTTATCGAGACAGAAGCTTAGAAATCGTATGTGAAAGTGATTGAAGTGAATAATAAACGAAAATATGTTTTCGTTTACTGCTACGAGACAAAAGAAAGTCATTTATGAATACTATTAATCATGTACACCTGCGCGACAAAAATCAGAATGTTTTCTATTTTATTTTTGTCGTGAAACAAGGAATAAATGATTAAAATCTTATCCAAATTGAAATCAATCTGATACCAAGCTAATACTTACGTTTTAAAGCGCACATTTTTTCATTAAGAGTAATTGATAATTTATAAAAACAAAAAAAAGGAGCGATGATAGCTGTAAATCATTCCTGGAAAGTCACGTGTATCAAAATAGGAAAAAAAATTGCAGCTATTAATTTAATAAATCTATTGTCATTTAAAAACAATTCGGTCAACTTAAATATCTACTCAGAAAGGCTAAAAAAATCTTTAGTCATAGGAATTTAGATTTTTATTACTTTCTGCCATTGATGAAGATTGTAAATCTACTAATATTTGTCTATAGTATACAGGAACAACTGATTGTTATACTCGAGCGCACAAAAAGAAACGCGTTTAAACTTAAACTCAACCACGTTGTTACGTTTTTTTACGGCCATAGAAAATGCTTCGATTAAATTCTTTGTATTTTATTTTAGGAAAGTATTTCCGGTACTTTAATTGTTACACCTAATGCCATTATGTTTGATCCGGATGTTCTCGACCCATTAGTTCAAGAACATGGCAGCGGGAAATATGGATTGATCGTAAGGTCAGCTATAGGAAGTTCGTATAGGTCTTGCAACTGATATTATTGAATGAAAAAGGAATAGTAGACTTCTAATTAGAAATAAATTTTATTTTAAAAGTTTTCACTTATACAATGACTGATACAAGGCAGTAGAGAAGAAGCCCTTTATTTATCTTAAATATCAAGTGACTAAGCGGATAAATTATCAATCACAAGTTTCAATAGTGATGATAAATTTCGATTGATTTTTTCTCATAGATTATAATTGCTTTGTCAACAAAGGATTAGCACGCCTGTCGAACAAGTCGACATGATCTTTAAGAAACTCAAAGCTATCTATTCTATGACATCAGTTTTGTTTTATCTAAATACAAGAAATTAAAATACTTGAGGAACCATTTTGAGAACAAAAATAAATAAATAATTGTGTGCTATCGAGGCTTTCTCTTGTGCAATATGAATATCTATTGTACGAAACAGGTATATCTAGTACATCGATAACAAAGATTACGAGGGTCAATTCTGAACTTAAGATAGATATTGCTTCCATTCTGAATAAGAAATCATGGTTTTATTGAAAGAAGTAGTATCAATCTTTTAGCCCTTATTAACTTTTCGTATTATTCTATGATTAGAATGGAGTTTATTGCTGGTATTGGTTTATATGAAGATTTAGCAATGTACGAACATGAAGCAACTTACTTGTAAATATATTTTGTTTCTCATTCTCTGAACGAACACTTTATTGTTTTAGTGATGAAGAAAAGCGAAAAACGTTTCATTCAATCAGTATAAAAAACTATCAATACAATCGAAAAATTTCAGGATTAAATACCGATGACGAAGAAATTCGTGATTTAATGTCATGGATGTTAGATAAAATTGATAAAGAATTAAAACCTTCGACGTCCAATGATGAATGTTGTGTAATATTTGATGCAGCATCAACAATAAAACGTCATATGTCAATGGATTGTTCGGATAGTAATTATAATGATGATCCATTTCTACCAGCACCAACGGATGCTTCATTAGAAAATTTAAATGATTTATTTCAACCAATTGATGATTATAAACATTCACTTGGAATTTTACTTGACGATGATAACAGTCATACAAATACAAATTTTCATCAATTACCATCACGTAAGTTATTTGATTATTTTCTTTGTTGCTCAATTTAATAAGTATGTTATAAAGAAATTTCCTATGCCTTCGATTGGACACGATTCAGGCGTGCTGTAAAGATAAAGCGTAGGTTCTGCTGCTCAGTGCTTATTTTGGCTGCTCATTCGTTATGCCTAAAAAGAATTTGTGTCGTCTTGTTTTTAGAGGGGTGTCTTGTGAAAAATCATGTGCCACGTGATCAATTTAATAAACGCTTTGATGAAATTGACGGTAATTACTATTTTTTTATACAATTTTTATAGAAATTTTCTGTTTATAGCATTACTACGCAAACAACAAGAAACATATTTTGGACCACATCATATTGAAATCCCTTATTATTTATCTTTAAAAGCAAGCATGCATGTAAATGATGTGCCATCGTTAAAACCAAAGCAATACAAACAGATTAGCGAAAAAGTTAAAGATAATTTTTATGGAAAAAAACAAGTTAACCAAGAATATTGGTTTTCTGTACCACAAAACAAGTAAGATATATGAATTTTGATTTTATCTAAAATTCTGTTATAATTTGCCAATGAGGAGTACGACCACTTCATATCAAGTTCGATCATTAATTTAAATAATTCACAGGGAGATATTCCCAAGTGGTAGCACCAAATTTCAAACTGGTATTCTATCTTTGAGCTAGTCGCGCAAATGTTAGGAAACAAGTTTAAGAAAATTTATATTAATAGTGTGTTACTTGCCACTTCAGATCCATTTTATTTAGATTTTATCTTGAATGACTTTCTATAGAGATAACATCAAATTGTGATCTTAAGCCTGTCTGATGCCTCGATTCAGCGGCATTCAAAATGTAGTAACACTATCAACAGGAAGAAAAGAGTCTATCAGGAGACATTTCACATGCAAAAAGAGAATATTATACGTTGTAAAATGTATTCGAGGGGTATCATGCTTGTCTCTAAATACCATATTTCATTATGGAATCAGCATTTGATTTTGCCCTATCGCATCCTATTAATAGTTGAGGTCTCAGTGCGGCACAAGTACATTTCGTCGCAATAAAAATTCGTTGCGATAAGTTAGTCGGATATAAAGGAGATAGTACATTAATTGAGTTAAGTGATTTTGTTCAATATGTTATTCAGTTAATCACGTAAACGTACACTCTATGGAATAATAGCTAGATTGATATGATGAATAATAGATTCATTTTGAAGAAAACATGATCTATTTCTGTACAAAAAGTACTGAAAAAATGATTTAGTTCTGTAAAATTGTTCTGTGACATTGCAAATAGTCTGCTATCAAATGAAAGTCAACTCAAGTCTTTTAAGGAGACGATTTCTGATGAAATCTGGAGCTAAGAAAAGTCAAGAAGAAATGAAAGAAAAATATGCTCTCTCTTGAGCCGTATAATTCATTCAGTAATTTCTAGGATCATTTTCTGTGATTTGCAAAGTTACTCGACTATTGGATGAAGTGGTTTTGGAAACTTTTGAAATGGAGTTTTAGGTTTTCGATACTACGAACATTAAAAATAAACAATCCCAATAAATTCTGTAAGTCAATAGTCTTCTTTTGATATCATTTTTGAGAGGTAACACATTTTTATTTAAAAAAATTATTAAGACGAGAAATAATTTTTTAAATTTAAATTTAAAAAATGAATTGTAAATTAACGTTTTTGCCATTTTTTGAAAAAAAGAAGTTGTAGTAATAAAAGAGTGCTATTATTGTAAAGGAAGACATTTGTGGCGGTGATTAATTGAATAACATATTGACCAAAATCACTTAATTCAATTACTGTACTCTCTCCTTTATATACGACTAACTTATCGAAACGAATTTTTATTGCGACGAACTGTCGTGTGACGATGTGTGCGGTCACCCAAATAACTTGTAAATGTTACCTAATGAGTTACTATCTATTTTGATATTTCAATCGATGGCTGATGGCAATTGCGATGATACACATGAAAAATATTGACATATGAGCTTAAAATTAATTCACTTGTCAAAGTTTACTTTTCGACAACGACGAAATCGCAAATAGATTTTGAGTCATGCTTTAGCACACCTCTTTATGTCGGTTAAAAACATCAATTCGTCCCATCAGACAATATGTATTGGCAAAATTATTTGTGAAATGATTAGTTCTTACGAAATTTACTCTAGGCATCTTCGTGATCAAACTTTCTTGTAATATAATAGAACGCTGTAGCCCTTTAATCCTATGGAGAGGTTCTTAAGTGTTACTATTTAGTCCTCCCACATAATAGAAAAAAAACAATTCAATACACGTGGATTCATTATCACTGCCTCTACAGTTTGTTTGTTTTCTGTTCTCTATATGTTATCGTTATCTTTTTCTCTCGTAAGCGCCTGAAAAAATTGTACTAAACATCACAAAAAAGATAGGATGTCACGATTACATAGAGCGAAATTTAAAAGAAAAGCACATAATTCCTACTAAAAATTTCTAATTGTATGCATTTGTATAAAAACTATTAGTAAATAATAAAAAGTTGCTTTATTGTTTTTCTTTATATTACAGTTATAGTCAAACTAACAATTAAGCATGATTTCCCTAGAAAACATCTAGAAATATTTTTGATGTCAGGCCATATCTACAAGATTGTAAGTAACTTTTATACTATTTTGTCTTTTTTTCTAAGATAGAAAAATTCCTTTTATTGGACTTCATTGTGAATAATGAATACATTAATATCATTATAAAAAAAACGAATTAGTCTATAAATTCTTTCTTCATTAAAAACAAAAATGCCAAATTAATTTTACTTTTGTATTTAGAACTGCAGCTTTATATGAGTTTTTCCGTCGTTGGACTCCTGAACGTGCATTAAATCCATTAATTGATGATGATAAAACATCATCAAATATTCATCAGTCAAACCCAAATAATGAACCATCGAAAAAAAGCTTCGTTCTATTACCTGATGATAACAGTAAATTAGCGGAAGATTATTTAAAATCACAAAATTCAAACAACCAAATTAAAAATAACGAGTCACGAAAGAAACCTCATTATCTCTCACGACAAAATACATTGCTCAAGGATTGGGAGGTAAGATGAGCCTGTTTCAGCTGATAGAAAGATAAGATTTTATTTCTCAAAACCTCCAGGACAAACAGAAAAACAAAAAGATTTAGATTGAAATATCAAAAGGAAATCTTAAAATAGACAAACGAGAAACAGAAAAACATCGAGGTATTTTAAAACTATTTGCTATTTAAACTAGATAAATTCTTCAAATAGAAAAATGAATAATTTATTTTTTCTTGTGAATAGTAAATCCCGGTATCTGTCTGTTCTATGATGTTTGAACCACTAGGCTCTCTCGTATAAATAATAAATAATACGAATTGTTTCCTTGCTTTGACCTATTTTCTCATCAGCACGCATCATGATATTTTCGGTACATTTTATTTGTCTGGCGGAAATAAACTTGTTGAGACAAAAAAATATTCTTTTGTTAATTGATCTATTGCAATAAATATAAAAAAAAGAGAATAAATTAAAATATTTGAGCAGTTGATAAAAATAGAAGTTTTGTTTCAAAATGAGAAAGAAATTCTACGGTTAATCTATATTAAGATAGGATCTAATATGACTGATCATGATCAGTTTAATGAAAAAGAAATTGTACGGTTAATCTATATTAAGATAGGATCTAATATGACTGATCATGATCAGTTTAATGAAAAGTCATTGATCGGTCGTAAGGTTTTTTTCCTTTTTTTGTATCGTTAACATTCATACGATAGGTCGATGAACGTGCTTTTAATGAAGTATGTTGATGGTTGTTGTAAGAAAAAAAGTGTACTATGGTGACAATGATTTGTTAGTTGTGAAGGATCAAGGTATTTTAGAGTGAAATATAACCCATGAAAGAAACAAGAATATGATTGACAATGTTCATTGTTTTCAGATGCACATATAAGTACAACGTATGACCCATTTATTTGGCCTAATAATCGTGTTTTTCTTGTCATTTGGGAACTTTTGATATATCTCACTATTTATTAATGTATCAACATCGAACGAAAAGAAAATTCCGCATTTACCTCGCTTTTTTCATCGTTTTACTTTTAATCTCTTTTCTTTTTTCTTCTTCTGTCTATTCAACATAATCATGTCTGTTCTCTGATGCAGTAGTGTAGTGATGGAAGACGCGACAGTAGAATAGAGAATAACATACACACAACAACTACTACTACTACTACTACTACTACTACTACTACTACTACTACTACTACTATTCAAAGGATCGGTAGAAACATATAGATAGGACGAAGAGAGAGGGAGCAGCTCAAATAGTTATTCTTTCTCTTTCTCTCTAGCACTATGTCTTTCTAGTTGTAGTGCCCTATAACTATATTAGTATAACAATAGAAGAACAAATCTAAGTATGATTCGTACTGTACCTACGGCTTCAACAAATACTTCATGTTCATCTGATGAACAACAAACACCACATTCATCATCTCGTACACGTCGTTTTACTCTTCATTCATTGGCGACACGCTTATCTGATTCAAAAAAAACTTTTCTCGAACAAATTCCTCACCATCAACAACATATAACACGTTTTAGAAAGCGTGCTAGAAGTTTTTTAGCATCAGCATTAGTCGAACATCCAACCGATATTAAAACATCACCATCCAAGGAACGAAATTCAGCTCCTGGGGTAGATATTATACATCTATATACATAGAAATAGGATCGTTTTATTGAAGTTTATTTTATGAAAAGATATTTAAAAAAAGATTATTTTATTTATTTAGATAATCAGCGTCGATGAAATTTACCGTCGGATTAACTCAACACAATCACACAATGCATATGAAAATGATCTTGGTTTTCCAGCACCTACACTTCTTCAACCATCGATACTTATTAATGAAGACCAATCAAAACAAGTATATCGAATAAATCTAATTTAAAAAATTTTCTAATAGAAAATTTTAAGATTTTAATCGAATTACCAGCACGGGTGCATGGTCTTAATTGGTTTATGATATTTAGTACAGAAATACATGGATTTAGTTTAAATCAGTTATATCGTCGATGTGGAGAAGTTGATCATGATTTACCAGCGTTAATTATTGTTAAAGATGTTGAACAAAATGTAAACAAAAATAATCAGTATTATTTTTGTTTTTCTGAAAAAAATATTTTTCTTTAGATATTCGGTGCCTTTACATCACATCAATTAATGATTAGTGAAGGTTTTTATGGTACAGGAGAATCATTTCTTTTTACAATCCATCCTGATTTTCGAGTAAGATTATATTTTTAACAAAAAAATATAAAATTCGACGTAAATAAAAACAGGTGTGACAAGAAAGAAAGAGAGAGCTACTATCCATACATACTAATTGGTATTGCGACGTTTAAAGCCAACCCTTTCCGTTCTTCAGACATGCTGATCTTATTTTATTTTCTCACGGAATGATTCTAAACTTAGATTTTCCAGAAGAGAAACTCTTGAGTGTGTCCCCACGATACATTCAGTAAGTAAATTGACGTGCGTAATTTTAATAACGGAATACTCATGATATTCTCGGAAACTATTGTCTTAAATTATCACTTTTGACATAAGTATGAATCTCCGAGGGTTAACTATGTACTAGCTAAAGACAAATCAATAATATAGCGTAATTATTCCAATGACAATGTGTCCTTTCTTTTTTTGTGACTGTAATCAAAACAAAAATATATAAAGTAGAAAAGTTCAATGACATTATGATTTTCTAAGACGGATAAACGTATCCTTTTCCTCAAGTAAACCACTGTTTTTGTCTACACGCATAAAATATATGATGCTTCAAGACATAATTGTTCACTAAGATTTTCTGGCATGTATTAACTTTGATTTTCGTGTGATTTGATATGTCATTGAAAACAAAGTCAGCTGTGTCTAATTATCAATGAAATATTGAATTTTTTCTTTTCACAAGATTCATTTTTGTGCCTATGGTTAAATCTGTTTTTTTTTCTTCCGCTGATATCATCTCTTTTGAATTACTCTTTGCGGTAAAAGATCATAATCGACGAAGAAACTATGCTGCTTTATTGACCGAGAATAACTGTACGTTGTTCGTTGAGCCTTCATCAGTTCTCTTTTTACATGTCTGAAAAATGATATTATTTCTGGTTTATTATAGGTGTTTAATTGGTCAGGCCATAATGAATTTTTTGTCAAAGGTGATCTTCATTCTATAGGATTCGGAAGTGGAGAGTAAGTATTGAGTTTTGATTAACAGTATTTCTTTTTTTATCAACTATCCTTTTTTAATACTACTTTAGAGGTACATTTGGTTTATGGCTTGATGGTGAGTTATATCATGGTCGTACTTGTCCAACTAAAACATTTGATAATGAACGATTAACGCTCACCGAAGATTTTATAGTTGCAAGTATTGAAGTTTGGACATTTATTGATTAACAAGCAGTTCCATCATTACTTCGTTTTTTACGTACATCCACGAATCTGATCATGATAGAAACAGTATCGCATTTTTCTTTTGATTATCAAATACTTGTCGGTTTCTTTTTGTTCTCGTGTTTTCTTCTTCTTATTATCATTATTGATTTCCTTCCAGAAAGTAGAAAGTCAATGACATGGAGAGAGTATGTTTGTACTTCTGTTTATGTTTATCTGTATATACCTATATATATATATTATTAATTATGGAACAAATTACTCCCGGTCGTTTGGTTTCTATCGAGACTGAATAAGTTTTACTATAATTGGAATAATTTACAGAATAAGAAAAATAGAATATTTCTTTTTGTGAAGAATAAAAATAAATAACACCTTCACACTAAAGATTGTCTCTTGATTTTTTTACTGAAATTAGATCGGATTGAAAGACCATATTTAATTAGAATGTTCTCGTCGATAAAACGTATCGATGAAGATTTACACGTTGCAATCTAGTAGATAAAATTGTCTGAACCGGACTTACCAGCTATCCGGATAGATTACGACTACTCGTATGTTCATTTGCGTTCTGTAATTGTAATCTAATATCCACAATTACTTTTGCGGCAATTGAAAAAAATACAACAAAATGACCTAAAATATATCTAACTGTTGACTATCATTGAATAATACTGATAAATTCTTCTATTTATTCGTCGAAAGACGATTTTCATGCGCAAAATTTATAGCAAACAGCTAAATTAAATGTATTTTTAATTTCAATTTTATGATAATCATGACGCACTTTTATTATTATAGAAAGATGTTACACGTCGAAGAATGTGTAACGACTCCTGATTTTTTTTAAATCCCTAATCTTTCTCATGATTAAATTGAATAATTCTATACAGTCTCAACTAAATGATAGTGATTAAACAAAAATAAAGCATAGTAATCAATTTTGTCACATACGAATTATTACTCTGCAAATAACTTAGAAAATAATGGGAAATAGTGCTTTACGAGAAATACTATTTTTCTATGTAAACTTGTTTATAACGGTTTGCCCCTTGGCACAGATGTCTTTTTCCCTCAATAATCTAATAATGTTTTAAGATTATTGATTCCAAAAATGATTTCCCGCTTTTAAACAAATTAGTTTTTCTCGTCTTATTGACGATTTATTATGTTGATCAATTCAAAAAATCGGCATTCATCTATGGACAGTTTTTATAATTCAAATTCTAATCATAAAATTTCACAATACTATCTTTCAATTAATAATAATCAGAAATATCATAGATCGACATCATCATCATCATTAAGTTTATCATCGATTTCTTCGTCGCTTATTAATCAATCTAGAAATCTATTGAAAGTAAACGTTTTGAAATCTATAATTTTTCAATATATCCCTATTCGAGTCTAGACGATGGCAATACGAAATCCTTGTAGAACAAAAGGCAACTCATTATCGACGACATCATTGTCTTCATCAATGAGTATAATACTTCATGTATTAAATAAGAAAAATCGACAAGAAGAAAAGCCACGTCATCGAAAAAAATTATTTAGCAAAAAGCATCATTCAAACTATCAAAATAATCCTAGTAATAGTTCATCATCGAGTTCACTGCCTCGACAAATAAGAAGAAAAAAGCAATTATTGCATGAATCAAAATGTTCAGAAACAAAAATGATTCAAAATCCAAAAGCAAAAAGCTATAAAAAATAAACAATTCGAATTTATTATTCGATGCTTTTTATTTTAGAAGAAATTAAATGAGAATCAATATCTAATTCCGAAATATAATAAAGAACTCGACACATCTCGGTTATCACAAAGATACAATAAGAAAAGTAATTCCTTTAAAATTCAGGTGACTGTTAAGAAAAGAAAATTATCAATTAGGAAAATCATATCGACAATCTTCAACTCACAGGGACAATTCACTATCAAACAGTGCTTCGGATTTCGATCATAAAAATAATATCGATAACGAAGAGAATATTAAAAACTTTACTGTTCATCAAAGTATTCAATCGTGTGGATAGATTTATGAAGTCAATTTTTTAAATATTTTCTAGCACATATATCAACAAAAGGTACACAAACTGATAATTATTCATCAATAAGACAACAGTATCAATACGGAAATCTACGACGAGTTAATAGTGATTTATTAGATTATATTTTTATTTCTATTTAAAATTTATTCATGGAAAACTAATCAACTAATTTACATAGAACAAACACCAATCTTCATTTGTTGATTATTGTTTAGAAAACGTTATTTTAATTTAATTTTAAATAAATTCAATGTGAAGTTTCCATATAAAGTTGTAGCTCTGATTTGACAGTGACTGATCGGCAGTCTGTAATTTATTTTTATCGAGAGAGAAAGAGAGAATGATAAAAGAAAATAAACAATACAGTCACATTAACTACACAGCGATACAACGATATATATATATATATATATATATATATATATCTATGCTATAGATCATTTTGTGTCTTATACGCGTGCGAACAAGATCATAGATTATAGACTTGTTAATATAAATCGAACAAAAACAAAACAAAATACAACTAATGCTTTCAACAGAATCCAATAGTTCCATTGATGGTTCTTGGAGTGAAATTGAAGAGTATTCTGAACCATTAGAAAGTGATTTTGAACGTATAGGAAAACTTGGCGGAGGTAAAAAATTTAATTTAATCGAATTTTTGAATGGCCTTTCTTCAGGCACGTACGGTGATGTTTTCTGTGTTCGTCATCGTTTGACTGGTGAAATGTTTGCTCTTAAGCAAATTCGTGATGAAAATGAAGTTAATGGAATTCCAGCAACAGCCATGCGTGAAGCAGCAATTTTAAAACAGCTTAATCATCAGAATATAATCAAATTATACGATGTTTTTTTAACTGATGAACGATGTTACTTTTTACTGGAATATATGGATGAAGATTTGAAACGTTATTTAGATAGAAATCGGCCGTTAGATCGACAGATGATTAAAGTAAAACGATTTTATAAAAAATTTCTATTTTGTTTTCTATGTAATCTCTCTTGTAGAATTTTATGTATCAATTATTTGATGCAATATTTTATTGTCATAAACATCGAATTATTCATCGTGATATAAAACCTCATAATATCTTAGTAAATCATGAACATCAACTTAAACTATGTGATTTTGGTAGGAAAACGCATTGTGCCCATTTCTTTGTAGTTTACCTTTTGTGCTTTTAATTATAGGTCTTGGTCGCGCGTTTAGTGTTCCATTAAAAAGTTATACACATGAAATCGTTACATTATGGTATCGAGCACCTGAAGTTTTACTTGGATCGCCATCATATGGCACACCTGGTTAGAATAATAATTAATTTCATCTTTTTATCAAATGCGATTTAAGACCAGCAGTGAACTGTAGGGATAAAAAGAATGAGAGCCTCGGACAGATTGTCAATAAATAAAGTTTTTAAATAATATATTAAACACATCCGAAAATAATTGAAGTCTCTATGAGATTGGAATAGAACTTTTGATTTTCTTCTAATTTTCAGTTGATATGTGGTCGTTAGGTTGTATATTTGGTGAAATGTATCAAGGCTGGCCACTGTTTCATGGTGATTCTGAAATTGATCAAATATTTCAAATATTTAAGTAAGTGTTGAATGGCATAGTTTCTATTCTTCTGAAAGACACTCGAATTAACTAGACTATTGGGTACACCAAGTGGAAATGATTGGCCAAATGTATTTTTATTACCACAATTTAAATCATCATTTCCAAAATTTAAAATGCAAAAAACTCAATTAAGACAAATTGTGGACAATGACGAAGTAGCCTATGATTTACTCAAAGTAATAGAAGAGAAAAACGCAGAAGAAAATAACTAAAATTTATTATTCTATTCTCTAGCGATTATTAATTTGTGATCCTACAATACGTATGGCTGCTCGATATGCTTTAGAACATAGCTATTTTGCTGGATATGACCCTAAAAAAACAGTATCCTCGATAACAAACGCTAAAACCAATCATATGCAATACGATGAAAATAATAATGTTATTTAAAACACTGATAGAAATCAAAACAAAGCGCTCTTATAGTTCTATTTTAATATTTATTTAACTTTTTTCCTTTTATCTATGTATTTGTCATAGTGAAGTTTCACCAGTTGAAGAACGTATTTCCGATAAGATTAATATATAGTAGTAAATTTTCAGTTTACAAATTATCATTGTAGACTCCTATTAGCCACACAAAATTCCTTCGGTCATAAGATAGATCTCTGAAAAAAGTCCATGTCCTGGTTTAAGAACAATCTAATTGAATTAGTATGGGAGAATAATTACCTCTACATTTGTTTCTAATCAAGAATCATAGATTTCATTTTAAAATTAACTTCAAGTATATCTATATCAGTTTACATATCATTTATTCATCGTTATTTAGTAATGAATTAATCTGACGTACTTTTCGGAGACCAGTGTAATTTCACTATGTTAAAAATATCTTTATGTATCGTTTATATTAATTTATTATAGAAAGTGTATTTTTAATAAATCAAATATCTTCGAAATATTGAAACATGAAAGAGCTGCTCGTAAAATATATTAGAAGTAGTACATGACACTGGCTACGAGAGACAATCAAAACAAAAAACTATTATATTAATGTTTGCCGGAGTAACGTCAGTTAAAGAGATTCCAATTTCCATGTCTCTATCTACATCAATAGTACATGTTTTCATTCGTTTCTCGCTGTTAGCTAAGATTGAGAAATCTTATTACCGAATGGCGATGGAAAATAAATAAAGCTTACAAATCTATCAAGCGGCAGTTTATTAGAAAAATGAACCTATTACTACATCAATTATGAATAGATTACAATTATATCTCAATATTCCTTTTATACCTCGAGTTGCTGCGAAATAATTTTGATACATCAAAGTTCTTTCAGAATAAAATAAGCAGCTCCAACCGAAATCATGCATGTGTCTGCTCTTACTAAACTACAATTAATAATCGCATTTTTGATCATTGTTATATTCCAAAGTGATTTAAAGATGTAAACGAAACTTTCTTTTTCTGGTTTTTATCTAATAAAAGCCAACAACATCGAAAAATATATGACACGAACACGCATCTGAGTGAAGAATTCTCATAATTTTATATTATTTCGTCTGATAGAATCCTATAGAGAATTTCAAGCTCATAAGAAAAAACAATAGACATGATAATCATCTTATTCTGGTTCATCACTATATTGTTAGCAAAACAAAGAAGTGTGCGCGAAACAAAAATAAAACAATGATGTCTTTCGCCATCTCTCGTCTTGCCTCTTATTGGTTTTAGATTTTTTTCCAATGGTTATAGTTCATTTTTATAGTGTAATCCTTTTGCATAGTCTTATCATATACCTGTAGGAGTGTTATAGTGCCAAATTTCGCCCTATCTTCTTATCTGTGTTTCTTCTCTTCATTTTATTTTCTAGTATTCATTTCGAATCTAACATCATCTAGATGCTACATTTAAAACAATGACGCACAGCATACCAGACAATCGTGATCTTTCCTGCTATCATGTAACTAAACATTCATGGCGTGGGAAATATAAACGTATATTTTCCATTGGTACACATGGCATAACTACGTATGAACCATCGACACTTGGTCTTACTAATTCTTGGCCATGGGATCAAGTCGTCTCGTTAACATTATCAAAATCTTCGAATCCACCTGATAAATCTCAACAATCAATACCGAATTCTTCACCAGTAGCCGAGTTTATTTTAACATTTCGAACAAAATCAAAAAAAAATGATTCAATGCGTTTTTCGAGTGAATATCGCTCTGAAATCATAACAGATGCATTGCGTTTTCATGCATCATTCTATCATCAACAGCCGTTAGGTCAACCGAAACTAAGACAAGCATCGAAAATTCATTGGTCATCTCAACGTGTATCAATTCTTTTACGTATTCAACCCTATTGTATTGATCAAATCGATGCAGCAACAAATCGTTATTTATGTTCATATGATTATAAAGATATCGAACAGTTAATACCATTGGTTAGTGAAGGTGATGCAACAGTACGTGGATTTCTTATACAAGATAAACAATATTCACGTTTACATGCGTTTGTTACACCAGAAGCTTCCACATTATTTCAATCAATCATCGATTTAGCTCAAACAAGTATTGGCGTACAAATTCGGTTATCGAAAAAACCCTATACACTTAATGATTATAGTCAATTACGTTTCGGTCCAAATTATTCATCCGATGAACATTTAACATCGTTCGCTGAGTTTCTTGTTTACAAACATTCATCGAGACATGTTGATCATGTTCGACGAATACTTTGCATAACTGAAACATGTTTAATCGAACGAGATCCTGCTACATATCATATATGCACATTGAAACCATTAAATGAGATATTTGGTCTCGTAAGACATAAAGATTCATTACAAGAATTTACTATTGAATATATAAAAAATGACCCATCAAAAGCAAAATGCAGATACACATCAACTGAAAGAGATATTTTATTAGCAACATTGCTGGATAGTGTACGTTCATCAGGAAACAATGATTGTTGTGTCAAAACAAATCGAACGGACAGAGGTAAACGTATTGCACCATTTGGACATTTAGTTGATGATGAAGTTGAGATACAGCATTTGAGATTTCTTATACAACCACCGTCGGGTATGCATTGTTTTTTTTGTTTCGAAAAAAAACTTATTCAAATTTTTTTTTGTGTAGGTAAATTGTCTACTCCACAAGATACAAATAATCCATCAACAGCACAAGCTGGTATTTCATTTAGTGAAATTCTTAAACGATTCAATGCAAATGTACCCTATAGTGGTCTTATCAATGCGGTTACTTCAGAAGGTATCACAAATTTTTCTATATCTTTATAAGACAATGACTAGTCATTCATGATTTGGTTCCTATTAAATAAAGTACAGAATAATTCATAAATAGTACTATGATAATAAATTCATATCAGAGGCAATAGGATCATTTGAATAGTAGGTTGCTGTTTTGCATTTAAAATTACTATAGAAATCTTACGCATCGTCAAAAAGGACAAATAAGAAGAATTTAGTTTATAAAAAATTGCTTCTTATGATCGACGAGAGAATGCTAAGAAGAAGCTCATATGCATCATACGACAAAACTCGCCTTTTGGAGTACTGAACATTTTATCCTATAATTGCAATGTGCAATAGGATTTTTTCGTTCAACATGAAACTATCGAATAGTTTGCAAAAAATCAATGTTCTATGTTAGAAGTTTTGTTGCCGTTGTAGGCAGGTAGTGCGAAATTATTATCTATGAAATGCTACACGTGCTTTTCTCCTTTCTTTCTTGATAACAGCTAAGATTGCTTACATAAAAATAGAAAAATAACACTTAATAGTAGTATTTACTTACCTGATTCATACGAATACGAAAAGTTCTAAGTAAACTCTTACTGATAGTAGAATGATCAAACAATTTATTTTAATTGATCTTGGCATATTTCATTCTTTTATCTCAATGTTATTTATGGCATTTCTTGCATGTTTATTCAAACTTCAATAATTCTTTTACTTTTTCAGAAAAATTTTTTCTTGCTTCTGTGATTTTACATTAAATACAAGTAGCAATTGAGAGTCTTTCTTTTCACTACCACCACATGTGTAGAATAAAACGATTATAGTGGAGAATGTGGATATCATTAGCAGTGCCTTTATTGACACATCTCAATATGCACACGAAATCTACACCCCTCGGTGAAAATATTCAAAAGGATGCATGCTTACAGTGCCAGTTTAAGCTCGTTTTAACAATGTGCTAAGGCATCTTTCATTATCTGAATAAAGTCACATCATTTTCAACTAGGAGTTTTCGGGGAAACTAAAAATCATTTGACATATCAATGGGCTTAATAACAGATCGAAAACTCATTATTTGACTTATTAGTACACGAACGCAAACTCTTTTCGTTTTTTCGCTAATCTTAAGAAGACATCCTGTTCAGTTCAATATCAATACAAATATTAGATGACAGTAGGCGAACTTCCCTCGATAGTAAACAAATAAGATAAATAGACACGACAGATAATAACAATCAATCGTTCAGAAATTTCGAATATACTAATATTATTGGATTCTAACTTTCATCCGGCCTTTGTTTTGTTTTGTAGGTCTCTTTGCTGAAAATAAAGAAAAATTAATTCATTCAGCATTAAACACTCTACTTGATAGTGATATAACGAACAATGTTGCTGATCTTGACTTACTCGAAGATCAATTTCTAGCTTTTCGTCGCTTACTAGCATCGAAAGCTGGCTTTCAAGCATTTACTCAACTGCCTAAATTTCGTGAACGTATTGGAACTAAAATAGTTCGTTCACTAAAATTGAACGATGACCAAATAACATATTCAGCGTTAGAAGTGTTAAACACATTATTACAGCCAATGCATTTAGATTATGACTTACGACAAGAGCAACAGAATAAATCAAGTATATTATCATCAAAAAAATTTCTCGAAGGTTTATTAGATATATTTTTAAAACATGTTAAACAAAATACGGGTTCATTGATAATTTCATCATTTTTGGATTTCTTAACGTATACTCTTTGTCCACCATTTTCAGAAACCACAGGTAAACGAAAATTTTTTTCTTCGATTTTGTAAATTAAACAAAAACTGATTTTAGATGGGCAACATTTTGATGTTCTTCTGGAATTAGTATCATCAAACGGGCGAATCTTTTTTAAATTATTTCAACATTCATCATTTACAATTGTTAAAGGTGCTGGATCAATAATGAAAGCAATCATTGAAGAAGGTTCACCAGATATTGCTGCACACATGCAAGATTTAGCATTAAGTGAAGGGGCATTACCAATTCATCTGTTACGCGCGTTATTCACATCGTCAGGTGATACTCGACTATTACCATTAAAATATCTCAGTCAACAACTACTGGGTTTATGGTCAACTGGGCATCCAACAACATACGGATTATTGAAGAGAATATTCCCGCTTGGACTTATTGCTTATTTAGATTCCAATGAAGAACCAGATAAAGATTTTGGTATGATACTCGATTTTATTTTTTACACATTCTATTTTAATAGACTTGCTAGTGCTTTAGTTTTCTATTCAAAAAGAGAATAGTTATTTCTACAATAGCATACGAAATGATTTTCTCCACAAACTATCTAGATTTTTTTACAGATATCAGTTTTAAATATAATGAAAAAGAGAACACATCTCACTGACAGGTATTCTTTGGCTAGATTTCTTTTGTCTATGAGTAGCTCTGTGCATGACTTAAAAAATGATTGTGTCCGATAGGTGTCGGTATCTATGCATAGCTATGACTCAGAGAGGAAATATCATTTCTCAAAATACTAAAATGACGCTTTTTGACTGGAAAATTTATAGGTACAATATCTAAAAAGTATGAAATCAAACAGAAATCAACTTACTTTTAATGAATATACTCTCGATTAGTTCCTCGTTGAGATTCATTACCTATCATAAGTTGTATAATATTTCGAAAAGTTCGTCTACATGCTGTACTTTCCATCGGACTAGTAATTAGTATTAGGACTAACGAAAACTATAATATAAACCTTTATGAAGGACAAATAGTAATCGTTTCCATTTATCTTTAGACGAATCTTCTCTTCTTGGCCGTGATAATCTTCGTTTAGCGACAGAACAGCATGCTCTTACAAATAAATCGAATGCTCTTTCAACGTCAATAATTAATACAGCCAACAAAATACGTAATGCTACACAAGTGAAAATTCTTGAAAATCACGTTCAAAATGCTTTTCAACATTGGAGTTTAAAATTAAAACAAAATAATAAATTTTTCGCTTCTTCAGATAGTTCAAATGGCTCAGGAATAAATGTAAATAATTATTCCAATGATAAACAACAGCCTGTTGTTTTACGTAAACCACGGCAGCGTATTCGGGCTGAAAAAAATTGGCGTTTATTTTATCAAAGATTTGCTATGGATCATGCACGACCAACATTAATATGGAATAATAAAACACGCGATGAATTACGTGAAACAATCGAAAATGAGATAAGAAATTTTAATATCGATAAAGATCTTGGTCATGGGCATTTAATATCATGGAATCATAATGAATTTGAAGTTTTATATCAGTGTTTAAATGATGAAATTAGAATCGGAAGTGTTTATCTACGTTTACTACTTGAACAAGGAGATTTAACAGCTAATATTGATGCAGCCTCAGGTAATTGATTAGATTTTATACTTCGTTTTTTTTTTCATTATTGCTGCTATTTTTTGTTGTTAGATGCTTATAATCCAGCAGAATTTTTTAATGATCTCTACCATCGTTTTCTACTCTCTCAACCAATTAATCCGAAACAGTCATCGATGAAATCAATGTGTTTGCAAGCAATGACAATTGTTTATGCACGTCATTATGAAACTATTGGCCCATTTAATGATACAAGACATATTATTCTTATGCTTGATCGTACAACAGACAAATGTGAACGAGATCGTTTAATTATGTTTATTAGCAAACTGATATTGAATCATCGAAATGTTCGAGACATAATTGATTGTGGCGGAATTAAAACTTTTATTCAACTCATGTGTTTAGCACATTTACATATAAATCGAGCACAAGTACCGTTAGCATCCAATGTAATAGAATCATCAACAACAATGTCACGAGAAAATGAAAAAGAATGGTACTATGGAAAACAAGATAAAGAAAAAGTTGGACCATATAGTTTTAGTGAAATTAAAGATTTATATAAAGAAGGAGCTTTTGATGTTAAAACACGATTTTGGGCACAAGGTAAGTTTTATTATTGATATCAGTTAGATAAATGATAAGGTGTTGTTTAAGTTATTTTTTGAAATATTTAACGAAATTGATATACAGTTAATGTTAAAGTATTCTTAAAAAATACAAAACTTTATAGATAATCATTTGATCGTATCAAAATTTCGATTAAGAATTCCAATACGCCCACTGTAGCACGGTGGTGATGGGATGCTTTTCGGAGTGAAATTCACAAATAATTATTAAGTGAGTGACTTGAGCCATATCTAAACGATTCATTGCGATAGTTATAGTCAATTAATTAGAATAAGAACAATTAGGAAATACCTCAATTATCAGTAATAACCGACAATTTTCATCAGTGTTTTTTAACAATATGAGAATAGAAACTACATATCGATCTGAGCTGGGTAAGTACGGGCTTTCTCGAGTACGAGTACTAATACTAATTATTGTATCAGTAAGACTAGAAGTTTTCAAACTAATTTGTAAAAAATATATACTTAATCAGGGGTGTCGTGAGCAAACAAACACAGAGGGGAGGGGGGGGGAGGCGTAACTTATAAAATCCTACTTTCCAAAAATTTTGGAGAATGAGTGACCAATGTTGCCAGATCTTTCGGATTCTGAAAGTTTTTTGAACTTTTCCGGATTTTTTTTGCATCTTTTGAGGATTTCTCGAATTCTTTTCTCAATTTTGAGATTTAAATTCCGGATTTTCGAGTTTAACATCTGGCAACATTGGAAGTAGCTTGACATAGTATAAGTTTCATTTTGTGAAACAACGCAAGACAATTTTTCGAATACTGGAGAGGGGCTCATGTCTCCATCCTTCCGCTGTCGCGGCACCACTGGGCTTAATGCTCTGGAACGACTAAATATATTTGTATGAAACGAAGAAAGAAAATAGACTGGTGTATGGCGATTATTACGTGACTATATGTTGTACTAATCTTCAAACATGTTTGCGCTGATCGGCAAGAGAAGATATCAGTGGTGTGCTTGTTTGTTCAACCAACCTTATTGAGAAATACAAAGAGATATTCGTGTCATAAAATATGCTTTATCTCAAATTCGGAAAATAAAATTTCTAAGCACGCTTACCTGACCCTTCGAGCACGTGTACTTCGAGTATTTTGCCCACCACCTCCGATATCGATAGAATCTTTGAAAAAATTTAAACCCAACTTCTATTTTTGAATGAAATATATCAACTTAGCAGAATCAACTAGATGAATAATTTTCGGAGTTACTCTACCTAAGCTTGTGAAGAGAGAAGCATGCGTCCATCGATGAATCCGATATTCTACTACTACATTCTTTTCTCTTTACATAAATGGTTTTAGGTCTTGACGGTTGGAAAAATATGGACCGGATTCCTCAACTAAAATGGACATTACTTGCTGGTGGTCAGTCTATATTTAATGATAGTGAATTAGCAGGAGCCATTCTTGATATTTTAATAAGCATGTGTGCACTTTATCCATCTCGTGATCAAGTAACAGGAGCCATCATTCGACCATTTCCAAAAATCAAACGTCTATTAAATGATCCAACATGCTTGCCACATCTTGTACAATTACTATTAACATTTGACCCTAGTCTTGTAGAAAAAATTGTTACATTACTCAATACACTTACTCAAGACAATCCATTATTACCACAATTTTATATGACTGGAGTGTTTTATTTTATTTTAATGTATACAGGATCGAATATTCTACCCATTGGACACTTTTTAAAATATACACATTTAGCGCAAGCATTTCGTTCTGATGAACAACAACAATCATCGGGCGAAAAAAAGGATATCTATTTTCGTTCTATACTTGGTCATCTTTTACCAGAAGCTATGATTTGTTACTTGGAAAATCATGGACCAGAAAAATTTGCACAAATGTTTCTTGGTAAATAATTCACCGAAAAAAAGAAAGCAGTATATGAAATGAAGACTTTGCTTCAATATTTTAGGTGAATTTGATCAACCGGAAACAATCTGGTCAAATGAAATGCGCCGTTTAATGATCGAAAAAATTGCTGTTCATTTAGGTACAATCAAATTTTGCCGTTTTCTTTATGTTTCAATAAATAAATTTTGATGTTTTATTTTAGCTGACTATTCTCCACGTTTAATGTCAAATATTTCAGCTATCTATTCGTACTGTACAATACCAATAATTAGTTATCCACAATTGGACAACGAATTATTTTGTAACACATATTATTTACGTCATCTATGTGACGAACTTAAGTTTCCTGAATGGCCTATTCGTGAACCGATTGCGTTACTTAAAGATTGCTTAAATATGTGGAAAGCTGAATTAGAGAAAAAAGGAAGTGACATGAGCGTTGATGAAGCTTATGAAGTATTGGGTAAGTACACTTGCAGTTAATATATTATAGATAGAATTTATTCAAACGAGAGAAAATTATCTACATACCAATTGAAAACTTCGCTTGAATTTAGTGAATTTGTTTAAAAATTTTTCCTCTCGTCTATTTCTAGGTCTTGATGCAAAAAAAGGTTCGGATTCATCAGATGCTCCAGCTACTAATGGTCCACCTAATGAATCAGCTATTCGTAAAGCATACTTTCGTCTTGCTAATAAATATCATCCAGACAAAAATCCAACTGGTCGTGACATGTTCGAACGTGTCAATAAAGCATATGAATTTCTTTGTGCTGCATCTAAAATTCAGCAAGGTCCAGATGAATTTAATATTTATTTATTACTTAAAGCTCAATCAATCCTTTATCGTCGATACAAAACTTTACTTTCCGAATATAAATATGCTGGTTATCCAATGTTAATACGTATACTCGAAACAGAAGCTAAAAACGATCAATTATTCTCTACAGGCAACACAACCAAACCTACGGCTCTATTACCAATCGCTATTGAACTACTTTATTATACACTGGATTGTTCAGAATTAAATTGCGAAGAATTAAGACGAGAAAATGGTTTAGAAATTCTAACACAAGTATTTCAACGTTGTTCATCTGTCATTACAAAATCATCCAAACCCGAAGATTTTGTTGTTTCTGTTTGTCAATATTCGGCATTATGCTACAGCGTTGCTGGACATTTTGAAAAATCACGTGATCTATTTGTTGATCCCGAAAAACTTCAATGCGTATTAAGAGAACTTTGCCATTGTTTAAATTATACGCATTTAAAACAACTATGTTCATGCTTATGCAAAGCTGCTATTTCATTATGCGAGGGCGATATTCGTTTAAGAGATTTATTACATCGTCATGGTTTATTTGTTTATGCATGCCGAGGTTTATTTAACTATGATTATACTTTAGATGTAAGTATGTTGGAATTTTTCAGTGCATCAAATTTGAACCAACCATTTTTTTCAGACTATAGAGAAGCCAGATACGTCATATTTGATAGCGAATAGTTTCTTGTATGACAGATATTCATCGAGATTAGAACTCGGGTATTATCACAATCGTTTTTTTTTTCGATGTAAATTCACTATCGTAACACTATAATAAATTAGAATACTTAGATAAACTGAAGCCTTGGGCATCTCTTCACTAAACAGACGGATCAAAATAAATAGTTTTGATACCTTTCAGAAGATCCTATCTGTCATTGTTCATTTGACGAATGCTCTTGCCAAAAAGATTTATGTTTATTTCTAAATTTTTATTAGGAAAGTGGTATTGCTGATCCAAGTAATAAACAATATGTTGACAATCAATTAGCTTTTGATTATTTACAAACTCTTGCATCGCTTATACCAAACAATCCACAAGCTGTAATGGCTGCTCAAACATTCTTAACGCCTTACATTGCAACTCAATTATGTGATCGTATGGTACTTAAATTACTTAATTCAAATCAAGAACAACCATATTTAGTATGGGATAATTCTTGTCGACAAGAATTAATAGATCAACTCGATGCAACACGTGATTATTTAGTTAAAAATGAATACAAATTAAATGTGGAAAAATTTGGCAATCCATCAGAATTCGTTTATACAGCACATAGAAGTGAATTAATTATTGGAGAAATATTTGTACGCATTTATAATTTACAACCAACAACAGCTTTAAAAGATCCAAAAAGATTTTGTTCGGATTTAATTGATTTCTTAGGAACAAGTTCTCAATATATTAATACGCTTATGGCCATGCAAATACAACATGAACAAGAACAAAAGTCAGCTGTAAGTAGATCAATAAAATTATCTAATTAGTATGAAATAGTTACTTCGAAATTGTAAGATATTTTCAGTTGGCTTTTATATTTGATGACTAATTCATCCTATGGGCATTTTTTTCGAATAACTGACTAAAAAAGTCGCATAGTATTCAACGAGTACATAAAAAAAGTAAACATGTTGTTAATTAGAAAATGATTGTGTTTGCTCGAGCATAGCTGAGCAATACCTTTGAGATGGAAATTTTCATGATATCAATCAAGCAATGAATTGCAGTTTTAGAGGCCCGAAATTAGTTCTTTTTTTCTACTCAATTTCATCATCTTCTACAAGCAAATGCTTTTACTTCATTCGAATAAAGCAATTAAGACTTCTAAGCTCCTCTAGAAACAAATTTTTTGACCAAACAATTGTTTTAAATTCATATAATCATGTAGGATGATAAAAAATCAAATGATGTTCTTCATCTTGAAAAACAACAGCACATATCTCAAGCGCTTGAAGCATTAAAAAATGTTATCCGTAACAATATGGGTATTGAAACCTTATGTATCGGTCATTTTAAATTATTATTTTCTCTATTACGCATGGAAAATGTTGGCCGTTTGCAACAATATGCATTAGAATTAATTCTTCATTTAAGTGGTTCCAATGAATGCGTTAATGATGTATCGCAAGCAAATGTTATTGTTTATCTACTACTTGTTTTACGTTCATCACTATCAAATCAAGAAACCACATTAGAAATTTTAAATGCTTTATCATCGAACGTTAAAATTGTTCGTGATATTGTTGATAGTGGCGGCCTTCTTTATCTATTAGATGTATTTTCTAATGGGCAGAATTCAAAGTTACGTGAATATGCAGCAAGTGTTTTTTCAAAACTGATGAACGATCGTTTACATGGTCCACGTATACGTTTACAATTGATAAAATATTTGCCCAATTTAGTTGTCGATGCCATGCGTGAATCATGTGAAACATCAATACAATTATTTGAAACAACACATGAAAATCCTGAATTAATATGGAACGATCATACACGGGAAATGACATGTGAACGTATAGGAAAACAAATCAGTGAGTTTTATCAACGGCAACGTGCTGCACCGACAGAAACAAAATGGTCACTTGATGATGCATTTCAATTACTAGGCGATGATGAAGAAACACAACGAATCAAACAAAATGAATTAATAGTTGGGGGAGTTTATGTTCGACTGTTGATTGCTAATCCTGGCTGGGTTGTACGACGACCAAAAGAATTTCTTACGGAATTACTTAGTCGATGGACAACGCACACAAAGTAAGTTGTGAATGAATATTAGTCCGTTTGTTTTTAATTTCTATTTTTTTAAAGACAACCGGAACAACTTTTAATGTCACACACAGATGAATTTGAAATGTTAACACAATGTTTAATACAATTATTACATGCACAACCAACGCTGTGCGAAAATTTACCATCCATTGGATTTTTACCATCGATCGTTCAAGCATTAGAAGTTAACAGTAACGGTGCTATTGTTGCATCAGCCATTAAAGTTATTTTCGCACTGTGTAAAACGGATATTTGTTTACAAACATTTTCAACAAAATGTCCACAAATTATTAGCGGATTTAAACAAGCTATGCAAACAAGACGAGATCATCTTGGTATGAAACTTTTTATTCATCTAAAAATCTGTTCTTAAAGATTTTGACTACGAGCAAATTAGATATCCATTTTGTCTACCAAGAATTAGAATGAGAAAAACTTTCGTTCAATTTTTTTGGTTATAAAAATCTTGTTACTAGTTCAAAAATACATCAAAAAGTAATAGTTCTTAGCTGTTAAAAAATCGGCTGGCCGTTTGTATTAGACGAAGGTATCATGTGCTACCATGTATCTTTAATGAACCATGAAAGAAATGCACTGAGGATAGTATGATATGAGCTTGCAACTCATCAATCTCTGAAATAGATTTTCTTGCCTTTAATTAACAAAATCTATGATTAAATATGTACTTTCATTGATTTCATTAAATGACATATAAATCAATAGACTTCTATTTCCTCTCACGTCACATTAGTATTCTTCGAGATTAGAAAATATTCCAAAACAAGTAAAGATTCACTTTTTAAGTATTAAGTTTCAAGTTAGAAATAGAACTCATTTAGTATTATTTATAAATCCCTAGAAATTCAAATACTAATGAAAACTTGATTATAATGTTGTTTTTGTTGTTGTAAACATTCTCAATGTTCTCTTTCTTTTAGGACTTATGGCTGAATGCTTGCATGATTTATTCCGTACTCCAGCACCTGGTACACCCGATGAATTCATCAAGGAAGCATTACGCTGCCAATTGATTGACCATATTCTTACATTACTTAATCAATCGTTAAATGATGTTGAAAAGCCAGGTTCATGTAAAGCACATCTTGTTGATTCATGCAAATTAATGGCTGAATCATTAGTCTATGGTGAACAAGTCTCGCGTATCCTACAATCATCAACTGTATGGAATGATTATAAAGACCAACGACACGATTTATTTATTCAAACATCATCACATATGCAAGCATTAACAGGAGGTTCAGTTGGCCCACAAATTGCTGGTTATTTAACATCATCTGCATCATCGACAACAGCCGGAAAACAAAACATGACTGTCCCACCACCTTTAGTTGATAATTAAAATTAAAAGAAAAAATGAGATTTTTTTTCCAACTTTAGATAAATTCATTTTTTCTCGTTTCTGTGATAGATTTTTCATTGCAATATAAATTAATTTCTTTATTCCTGTGTAACATGTACGTACTCACTGATATCATTCATTTATTTATAATCGTTTTCTTTTCCTAGCACACTATTCATATCGTATAGAAAGTCTTTTCGTTTTCTCCTTTTGTCTTGTTCTGAAAAAACCTAACCGGTAATTCTGCTATCTTTGCGTGTGTTTGAGTGCGTTTGTGCTTGATTTTTCTTTTTTTCCTTTGCATCAAAAAAAACATACGTTAGATTGTGAAGTGTGGTGAATTATACAATATAATCTTTATCTTTTTCTTCCTTTTTTTGAATGATTTACAGAGTAATTTACTGGGCTCTGTTTAATAATACACATTCTTTCTTTTTTTTTTATAATCAAAAAATGAAATATTTACAAACATCCATTAATGCCTAAGAATATATTTACAGGAATAATTTATTAAACATAAAATATCGAATTGATAATATTCGTTTCTGGAACTAACGAACAGAAAATTTATAATGTTAATTTAGTTGAAATCTTTCTAATGATCAATATTATATAGATTATCTTTGTGTATCATTTATTCTAATCTCATGTGTATATATATATATTTACAGATCATCATGGAAGTGATCATATCAGAGCCTGATATGGTGTCAAAAGGATCTAAATTTGCTTATAGTGTTGGTCATGTTTTAAACGATCTAACTGCCTCAATGTGGTTTTCATATTTGCTTGTATATTATCATCGTATTGTGAATTTTTCAAATGCATCTGCGGGCTATTTGTTACTAATTGGACAAATAGCTGACGCCATATCAACGACATTCGTAGGCTTTGAATCCGATCGCACGAGAACTGGTTTATTTCATTATGGCAGAAGAAAAAGTTGGCATATTATCGGTGTTATTTGTGTACTTTGTTCATTTCCGTTTTGTTTTAATTTATGCGTTGAGTGTAAAGATAGTGATTTATGGGCACAATTTATTTATTATACAATGTTTATTATTATTTTTCAATTTGGTTGGTCATGTTCACAGATTACGCATTTGTAAGTGTAATTTCTTTTTGTTTTATCGAAGAAAGAAAGTAAAGGCAACTTTCTATTTTAATCAGAGCAATGATAAATGAATTAACACATAAAGATGATGAACGTGTTGCACTTAACTCATATCGTTATGCTTGGAGTGTCGTATCAAACATATTTGTTTATACAATTGCTAGTATTTTACTAGGTTTTCATCCAAGTAATGATGAAACAGATATAACATCAGTTGATGCGCCCATATTTCGTACATTATCATTTATTGTTGTTGGTATTGGTTTTATTTGTATGATTATATTTCATGTTTTTCTGAAAGAATCTCAACAGCCAGCTGAGGAAACTGAACATCGTTTACAATTGTCATTAACATCCAGCGGAAGATTAAAACGAATGACATGGATACGTTTCTTACGCGAAAAACAATTCTATCAATGTGGATTCATTTGGATGTGTGCAAGAATCATTCTCAATGTTACGCAGGTGATTTATACTCCTAGCTATTCGAGTCTATACTTGTTTTCGCGGACATAAATTATCGGAAAATTGATGCTCCTAAGTTTTTCATTCATCCGCAACTGTAGTTTAGTAATTTAAATTATTTTTCTCTTTTGTAGGTATTTCTTCCATTGTATATAATCGACACAATCTCGGTATTAAATCGAGTATATGTTGCTATTGCTCCATTATGCTGTTATCTCAGTGGTCTACTTGCATCTTTTCCTATGCGGGCAATAAACAAAGCATTAGGTCGAAAAATAACAATTATTTTTGGTCTTTGCTTTATATTAGCTAGTGCAATATTATTTTGGTTTATTTTCGACTTAAAAGATCATCTACAAATTGAAATAACATTAATATCAGCTTGTGTTTTACTCGGTATCGGAACATCAACAACAAACATTTGTTCGTTTTCATTAGCATCTGATTTAATTGGTTTAAATACAGAATGTGGAGCATTTGTTTACGGAATAATGTCATTTGCAGATAAACTTGCGAATGGTATCGTTATTGCCACTGTTCAACAGTGGAATCCGTGTACATTGGCTTCATCGACTACGTGTGCATTGTATTATCGATACATATTAACATTTATACCGATTGGTGTTGCTATTTTAACGATTCTAATGATATTAAGCATGTGGAAAACAAATATTGGCGGTAATCGTCATGAAGTAATTCAAGAAGAACAAAACAATGCCGAAAGAACAAATGCGCTTTCACATGAAAACGAATGCGACGAAAGGAGTTCATTAATAGCATGAACTTGACATTTTCCTGTGAAGACTAGTCAAGTGGATTAAATAATGTATTTTATGCTGTTTTTCATCTTTAAAATATGAATTTTTTATTTCTTGTTTTTTGTGTTTGTTTGATACAATTGATTATCTAGCATTCCAAATTATCTCGTACAGGAAAATAAATCTGATGAACGATCTTGAAATTAATATGATATTAATTTACGGAATTTTATTCTAATAGTTTCACTGTAGTTATCTTTCCTGAAAATTCGATTACTGAATAGAGAGATGATTCTTGAGTTGTATAAATGTTATCTGTATTTGTTGAGACCATTCTGTGGCTTGCGATTAGACTTGCCTGCTAGATAATTTCCGATACACTGATTAATTTCTTTGTCTAGTAAGTCATTTTTCATTGAAACAATGTTGTATTTTTTTATCCGAAAAATAACAGGTAATGGTGCCTGTTGATATTTTTTCTGTTTTGCATGATAAAAAAGCTTGTTAGTGCAGCCCCTTTGGGACTAAAATGTGGAACTCACATATATCCCTTAGGCTTACTAAAATAATTCAAAATAGTTCATCTGACAAATTTTCCAAATCCTATAATTAGGTCATTACCTATTTGCTTATGTCTGTAATGGGATATTAATTGTTAGCTCGTATATTGAACAATGGCAGAGGCTAGTTTCTATGGTCTGTAATGACTCGAAGCTATATTTTTCTTTTTGCGAAAGCCACAATTTTGTTCTATTTACTTTAGTGAATTTTTTCCCTCTCATGACGAAGCGAAAGCAGTAAGAGACAGAAAAATTCATCAAACATGGTTGACATATAGAAGCATATTCGATGCATTACTTATGGGCAAAAAATGGAGAGAAACTGATCTTCATATGAAAGTTATGTCCTGTAGCCTTCAGTTTGTTTGTTTTACGCGTTCTGTCACATGTCTCACTACCTATTGGTCTCATAAAACACTGCATGTGGAACAACGTGAAAGAAAAATTCACGAAATTACTGTTTATATTTAAAACTAAATCAAGTAGATGAAGCACAGCTTAGCATTGCAATTCAACTATTTGACGATGCATAAAGAAAAAAGCATACCATTGGTTCAAAGTGCTGCTGAAATCGCCTCTTTTTTGAGCATAGTAAATTTCAATGTAAAATTAAGGGCAAAACAATACATTGCTAGAGTTTCTTGAAATTGCAACGTATACTAAATCCTTGAAAGATTTATTATTCTATTCTTATTTTTACGAGTGTAGGTTGCTGCAATTTTCATTTGTATATACTTGAATTAAGTTTTAATTCTTTTATTTTTCAACTCTCCAACAAACGTGTATTGTAATTAACATTTTTTTAACCTATTAGTATAAATTACTTATATTTGAACATGTGAATAATTCCAGTGTTGTTTTATATTCATTTTTCATAGGAAATTATTTTCTCGGAAACTTGGTCTGTATTGTGTATTTAATGATTATGCAACATGTCATGCGAAACGCAGGTACTGCAGATACTTTTTCAATTTCTAGCGAAAGTACCTAGAAGGAGGCCTATCCACCATCCATAAATAAAAAATAAAGTGGAATTCACTATTTAGAATACTCACATCTGAACTGTATGTGTTAGTCTTTGTAGCCCAGCTATTGGGGTGTAGCTGTGACAGTGCTTCTAGCTCTCTCGTTATACAATGTCTTGAATTCTCAATCTCTGGATGATAGATGCTGCTGAACAAAAATGAGTTAAATCAATTTTTTTCTTTAGTTACACAAGGCGATTAATGCTGAATATAATGGAACAATTACTTGTAAGATACATTAATACCTAGATCAATACTAAATGTGAAGACATTTTCTACTCTTATATTTTTATTTAAGTTTCTGATAATAAATCGAACCGAGCGCAATTTATTTGTGTACCACCGGATGCTTCTGTTACTCATGTTAAGAAATTAATGCTTCGACATTGGTGTAAAGATGTACGTATTATTATTGTGATACAAGCAAAAAGGCCAGATTATATTTTATGATTTCTTGTGTATTCTAGAAACCATCACTTGTTATTTCGATTACTGGTGGTGCAAAAAACTATAATATGTCAGGAAAATTATTAAGAGCATTTCGACGTGGCCTTCGAAAAGTGGCAACGACAACAGGTATTAAAATTATTTGTCAGTTTATATCCACTCTAGAATGATGAATTAATGAGATAAACAATTGAAACTGTTTTTTGAACTTTTAGTATTTCAGAAGGAATTTCCTATTCTCGTCTATGATTAGTTTTAGAAGAAATCTCTTTTAAAAAAGCGATCCTACTTACAATTCTGTTTTTTCTCAAAGTGTACACAATAATTCGGAAAAAAACAAGTAAAATATATAGAAAACTATCGTAGCTTATCTATTCGTCTAGGATGAGACCTAGAGAATTTTCTTAATTAGATTGCAGAATGCAGAAAAGCTTGCCTTAAACATCATTAGAAGAAGACGAGATGAAACTAACGAGAATATCTATTGTCAAAGTAACACAAAATGCTTATGATGTGTGCGTGATACATATCTATAGAATTTAATAATGAGATTTTTGAGTACGGGCTTTACCTAAATTTTTATTAATCTCGCTCACAAAAACCAGTTTTCATTTCTAGCACATATCAGCATCTAAATATGTTGTCTAACTTTTAACTAAATCTAGCATAATGCAAATACTGGAGTGATAAACTTACAAAATATTTTCTACTGGATCAATGTAGAAGTATTTTTATCGATACAATGTATGTCGTCACTTTTTCGAACCGAGGTGAAACAATTTGATTTCAGACCTCTACTGCCATATTATGTAACATTGTCTGAATTTCTAGAAAATATGACAAAGCAATTAGTGTGCACCGAAATTGGGCCATTGCTCATGTGCTGACCAGAAAGAAAAAGTTGCATGCGTATACTTACATGATTTCGATCTGACATCACTCCTATGCATACATAAAAAAAAAGAAACTGTTTAAGATGCCCGTTGTACAGATGATGAGTGGCTGAAGTGTACTATCACTATCTGTGGAGCAATCGGTTTCGAATTCTAGCTCTCCACTTTGGTATGCCCTTTATGTATTATCTCAAGATATTTTTCTAGGCTAAGCTGTGCGGTCTATTGTGAGGATTATTGGATAGTTATGCGTCACATCTCTAATTAGGCAGTAATGAATCAGTCATAAAACTCTCAAAAAATCATTTTGTTTGCTCTTATCCCCATTAGAAATAGCTAATTACTTTTTTTTACTTTCTCTGTTATCAGACTTCCGAAGGAAAAGTATTGCCAGTACTATACCACTGATTCATTTTACGTTTTCTAAATCTGTATTCGAAAATGCGTAGGCATGTCCTGGGTTTATATCGATCCTGCATTTAACAGACGATCGGGAAAACATAAAATTTTTTTAATTTGTTTAAGTAGAGAGGCTTCTGATTTTATTTGTATTGCATTAATTATATTGATGTTATTTTCAGGAGCTTGGATAATTACAGGAGGTATGAATACAGGAATCATGAAACTTGTTGGTGACATCGTTCCAACAAATCCAAATAATTCGCGTCCAATTCATATAATCGTAAATCATATTTTCCTGAATTCAATTTTTTTATTCTATATGATTATATTGATAATAGGGTATTGCAACATGGGGCTGTGTATCGAATTGTGATCAACTACTTGTACATGGAAGAAATGTGCGTTATTTAGAGGCCCGTTCTGAAGAGAAAGGTCAAGCACCACTTGAACCTAATCATACTGAGTTCATTTTCATCAACGATGGGACTAAAAGAAAATATGGTGGCGAAATAGTGTTTCGCGCGAATCTTGAGCGAGCTATTGCAGAAGGTTTTTTTGCACCGCAACCTTCACCAAATCTAACGGATTCCCTTCGATGTCCATCCAGAAGTATATCGACACGTCCAGAACCATCAGGTCAGAATCATACTTAATTAAATATATAACCTTTGTTTCTTTTTTTTTATATAGATCCAGTACCAGTGGTCCTACTTGTTGTTGAAGGTGGCCCAAATACTGTTCGAACAGGTTCATACAGATGTTCATTTTACAGGAAAATACTAAAATTAATTCTATTTCTGTGTTCTATAGTTCATGAAGCTGTTGTTAAAAATAGCATCCCTGCTGTTTTTATTCAAGGAACCGGTCGTTGCTGTGATTTATTTGCTGAAGCATTACAAGTTTACGATAGATGCCTTGCACAGCCTAAACATAGCGCAGCAACTAAAAAGTAATCGGAAAAAGAAGTTTTTAGAAATTTTCTTGAGTTTCGTAAAATCAGTGTAAGCAACAGTATTTGAGAATTTTCGAACTGAATACTAATCAAGTAGCATACTTCTGTTTAGTTGAATTCAATAGTATTCAAGTTATATATAGACAGGTTCACTGAAATCAAGATTTATCTAGTTATTTTATTGTAATATCGACAACATACGCAAAGAAAACCTTTCATGAAAGACTATATGCACGAAATATTTTTCTGTTCAGAGATGAAATCTCTTTTCTTAATTTTTTGTATTTCCGTTTGTAAATAAAAACTGAAAAAAGAAACTTACCTCATTATGAGATGTAGATTATCGATCGATTTCGTTTTCAATAGATAAAGTTAGGAGTGTTACCACTAAATAGAACTGTATCTATTTGAAATAAATTCTACTGTAAATGTTAACCAAGAAGAAATTCTGTGCGAATGAAAGACTGAACTGTTACATTTTGATCTTATTGTCTAATCCAATAACAAAATCGCACTAGATTATTAGATAGTTGCAGCTCAAAGATTTATATAAATGATTTTGAATTATTCCTAAGTTTTTATCATTACTGAAATATTTACGCGATGTCACTAACCAAATTTTCATGTGAATCCTAACATCGTAGTGATTTCTCGCTTTCACCATATAAATTTGTTTTAATGACTTAGTACACAACCAACGACTGTCCAAACAAATAATGATGAATTAAGAAATAAACTTCAAAAAGCGCTCAAAGACATTATTTCGGACATTAGTGGTGAGTCCGGTGCCAAGCCTGGCAAAAAAGCGCAAAAACCTACAGTTGAATTGAAGCAACGTGAGTCTGTAACAGTCGATTATTTCGAATTGGTTTATGAATGCGTTGTGACGCGAAGGAATTTTCTAAGCGTTGTCAGTCTTAATCCGCGTGATCCGGTTGAGCCTGATATTGATGTAGCTATTTTAAAAGCTTTATTAAACGGTAAATAAAAACAAATATGATTCATGAGTTTTTTCTCTGAAATAATTTTATTATTTTTTTCTTCTTGTTAAGCTACTTCGAGTTCTGAATCGGTTACGACATGCAACAACCGAAAATATGAGCAATTTCGTCTAGCTTTGGAATGGAAACGTCCAGATATTGTGAAAAACCTTATCATGACAGATGAGGAAGATTGGAAAGTATGAAAAATAAAATATTTCTTTTTTCGTTCATGTTGTATCGTATTTTTTTCTAATCAGAATCCATTGTTAACTGATTTATTTGAGAAAGCACTCAATCGAAAGCAAACTGACTTTGTAAAATTATTTCTTGACCATGATTTTCCTTTAACAAATATATTTGGAAGTCAAAGTAAACTTCTATTACTTTATGAAAATAGCATGAAAATAGTAATGTTATGCAATTAATTATTCGCTCATTCCAGTTCGCTTTTTTTATTTGATTCAATAGCCTCGTTCAATTAAAGTTCTGCATGATGCTCCATTATTTACAATTTACAAACACATAATTCAACCACTAATAGGTGATTTATTTGATATTGATGCTGCTTTAAACACTGGAAAACAAGCGTCTGATACTCGTTTAAATATTCCTGCACTATCTTCTTATTGTGTACCATGCGGAAGAAATGCACAACGTGAAAGTGAAGCTGCTTCTGAAGGTATTGAAATTCCACCAATAGAAAGTCAGTTTTTTTCAAATAAGTTGAGGTTTATTATTCATTGAGTTGATGTTCATTATTGAATTGATAATATAAGTTTTATGATCTGTTTGAGTGAGTTTATGGAACATCAAAATTTATTGCATAGTTTACTTCTAACGAGTGACTATCTATTTGTATCATGTGACATTAAAGTAATCCCTATATGCGTAATATATTTTTATCCGAAAAGTGAAGATATAGGAAACCGAAAACGGCACAGAAAAGGCAAGAAACATAACAAAGATTCGATTACAAATCTACTGGTTTTTTTTCGTTACAGTGTGCCTCTAACACTGGAAGACTATTATTGTAAACAATTGAAAATTTTATTCATGCAGTTATTCGTATTAGTAATATAATGAAATAGATTAGCTTCTTAAGTAGAATTAGCTGATCAGATTCACGTATCTCTCAACTGTGAAGCGTCATAGTGACTAGAAACTTTCTACTGAAGATTAGGAGTCTATAAAAATCAAATAAAAGCACAGTAACTTGGCCAGTGTCCAAAAAAATATGATATAATGACCAGCAAACCTTCTCGAGTGTTTTAATTGAAACTGATGATATTTATAAGAGATGAGTACGACAAATGAATCCTCTTCATGATGCAGTATGTTTCAGGCGAAAACAATTTCCTTGAATGTGTTATTTATAGAAGACAGTTGCTCTCAACAGATATAAAATTAAAATGTTTTGTTTTCTTTCATTGAATCAAAAATAGATCATTCCGATTGCCATATCGATGTTGACAAAGAACTTTTTATCTGGTCTGTAATCACAAATCGACATGAGCTTAATCTTCTATTTTGGGCACGCTGTAAAAATAAAATTTGTACGTAAGATTTTATTCTTTTTCTAATATGAACATGAATATATATGAAGATATTTACTTAGGCGCTGCATTGGTTGCAGCATTAGTCTATCGAAAATATGCTCATAAAAACCATGACAATCGCTATTATGAAAAAGCTGATGAATTTGAAGGTTGGGCTGTAGAAATACTTGATCGTTTTCATCAAAGTGATCCATATATTTGTACGGAAGCGATTATAAGACAAACGCCAGCGTATGGTAATGTCACGTGGTTAGATTTAGCTATAAAAGCTAATGCTAAGCAATTTATTGGTCATCGAGCAGTTCAAGAAGTCCTGAATAATATTTGGTATATTCAAACCAACTTTTCGTTTTCTAATAAATATCGAACATTTTAATTCAGGTTTGGCTATATTGATCAAGAAGAGAGTGGGTTGATGATCATTTTGTCAACAATTATGCCTTGGTTCAGTGGTTTTCTTCATTATCATGACAAACTAGTTAAAGTCACTGAGCAGCAGACTTTGCTAGAAGTAATCTCTCACTATCCTTTTTCTCTATCGGCCATTCATGTTTTTTTAAATATCTAGAACTTACTCAGTACCTCCGATTTTTTGGAACGAACTGAAACATCAGATTCAACACATTTGTCTTGCAGGTAGTGTCTTCTATGCAAATTTCTTTAGATAGACGATCCCCAGTCTTCTTTTATGTGCTGCCGGACAGAATGGTTAAAGCTGTACACAAGACTTGATAGTTCTGAAATCGTATTAGTTTAATTTTCTAAACTTGTTTTGATTTAAAAACTTTGAAAGCTAGACATATTTTTATGTAAGTATACTTATTGAACATTTGATTTTCTAAGAAAGGAATAAACAATTAATATTTCTATGGCGCCTACTGTTCTTTTCCTGCAGCTTCAATTATTTCACTCACTATTTATATATGACTACGGCGTAAATAATGTGTCATATCGAAACGTACACACTAGAATTGTATCTGCTCTTCATAATGCTTAAATTTCATTAATTACAATTGTTCATTCATTCTTCTCTTATAACTATTATTTTAGAGAACCAGACGATGTTACATCAGGTTTAATCAATGATGTTACAATCAAAGAGCCTCGTCCTGCAGATTCCAAACATGCTGGTCGTTTTGAAAAGTAACAAACACAATAATTGATAAACACTAACGTCTTCTATTTGCTATAGAATCAATATTAATTAACTGAACTAACGCTTGAAATATTTCATAATCAAAAAAATAGAACCATTCAAATTTATTACAAAAGATTGATTTATTTCTATTCTTTAATTCTAGGACCACAACTCGAGTTAAGAAATACTTTGGCGATATTTTTAAATTTCTAAGTGCTCCATATGTTAAATATCTATACAGTTTAGTAAGTATTTCATTCGAATATTTTTATGAAACACGATTTAAATAAAGCGTTAAAATATAGAAATAAAATTAGCGACCTCATCAACCCCCTTTTGTTATAAATACTGATAGTCATAGGTGACATACAATTACAGACTAGCTATCAATGACATATAGTTCTAGTTTGTAAACTTCTTCTCATTTCAATGTTTCGAGGATTAGCTTAGAATATAGTGAGTATTTGCTTTTGAGAAAAAGATAAAATAAAGCAATGTTATTGTGATAAGTAATTTTATCTACATTGCGTTTCATATTTTAATCGTGTAGAGATTTGACCAATCGCTTTGTATCTGAAAATTAATTGTCTTCTTCTTTTAGTATTGTCATGTGGCATTTTTATTACTTTTCACCTATCTATTGTTATGTGATTTCTTCCCTCTTTATGATATTCCATTCGATTCATGTGGAGTGTCCCATGAACTTGAAAATGTCGCAGACTTGAAAAGCGTAACTAAAACTCAATCGAATCACAATAATGAGACTAATATAAAAACAACAGCTCCATATGGACTTCAAAAACGTGGTCAACCAGCTGTTAAGGAATACATCCTTTTCGTTTGGGTTTCAACATTACTTGGGGAAGAATTGCGACAAGTAATATCAATATTTCTTTATTTAATTTAACATTTTTCAACGCCAACCTTTTATAGCTGCTCACTCAAGAATCACCGTCGATTTATAAAAAACTTACAACTTATTTTAGCCCATTTTGGAATAAGCTCGATGTTCTAGCTATATTACTTTTCTATGTTGGTTGTGTTCTTCGATTTCTTCCATCTGGAGAGGGCTTTTGTGCAGCGCGCATTGCTTTATCGGTCGATTTAACCCTATGGTTCATTCGTTCATTAGATATATTTGCAGCTATCAGACGACTGGGCCCAAAACTTGTTATGATTGGTGAAATGGTAATTAAATAAATCTTTGAAACTGTTCTTTTCGAATTTATTTCTTTTTCTAAAAATTATTTTAAGGTAAATGATTTGAAATCTTTCATGCTGATATTGAGTATATTTATTTTTGGATTTGGTGTATGTTTCCACAGTCTTATCTACGGTACCAAGATATTTAGCTGGCATATACCTCGCGACATTATAAATCTCGCTTATTGGCAAATGTTTGGAGAATTAAATTCATTGGAATTATTTGAAAGTAAGAAAACAAAAAATAGTACTCTTGTTTTTTGAAGAAATAGAGATTCATCTCTTTTCAGAAAATTATCAAGCCAATGGCTATACTCTATTTATTTTGCTCGTTGTTTATATGACAATTGTTAGTGTACTTTTAGTCAATTTACTCATTGCAATGCTCAGGTATTGAACGAAAATGTTCTTATAGAAAGGCTACAGTATTCTATCAAATCCTAGATGACACTTACTTTTTCAAGCAGATTTTTCACGATTTTGGAAAAGTTCTACAATTAGTTTACAATGGAATTTAGGGGATAGCCCACTAACGTGCGTTGCAGGCGGAATATTTTTATTTCTAGTGTTCTACTATTCTCAATCAGGTTTTTATTGTAATAGAAGAAAAAAATATGCCTTTTTTCTATTCATGAACATATGACGATTACGTATCTCTATTTTAATTATTAGATGTATCATAAAATGTAATTAGAATTCATTTTTACTTTAAAATTACTTGTATATATCACAAATGCCGAATGAATCTACTAATAAATGTTATAAAGAAACCCATTACGATCAGTTCCATAATATGAAATTGTTTCCTGTGACATAGAATTATCAAATTGAGTATGTTTTGTAGATATGATTGCAGACAAAATCCATAAAAAAAATGCTCTATCTATACTCGCTCCTAATGTGACCATTAGACAAAGCTTCCATGTATTGCTTATTTTTCGTGTCAAAACTGCTCTCACCTCTCATGTTGAAGCACTCCTTTTCGGGCAGCTAACATTTAAAATGATTCATTCATTGGAAAGTATTTAGATAGTCTGTTGCGAAGAGAAGATTTCGAAGTTGGTAAACAAATCTATATATCATTTGATCGAATGATCAAACACTCTTCCGAGGTCACTCTGATTTTCTGAGAAACAGATTTTTACAAAATGCCTCAAACATCAATTAGTCTAGTTTAAAATTCATATTCTCCAAGTTTTTAAAATTTTTTCTAGTTATATCTTCGATCGACTTCATACTAATACCGATCAAATTTGGAAATTTCAACGATATGAACTAATATGCGAATATTTATCTCGACCATCGTTACCACCTCCACTCATTCTTCTGTCTCATGTTTGGCGATTAGTACTATATACATTGTTAAGATGTTGCAGATTACATAGTTTACAAGAAATATATGATCAACATACAAAACGAACTACATATAGTGATATAAAATCTGTTGTTTTGTATCGATTCTAATTTATTTTTGTTTCTTTCCTTATAGAGCTAAAGTACAACGAACAATCTGCTTCTGTTATCGAAAAAGCTGAAGATGCCTATGCTGATGATTATTTTAATCATTCGAAACTCAGCGAACAATTAAACGAAGAACGCGAAATTGATGAAGAGCCAATGTAAGTAGATTCTTCGGAAAAAAAAGTAAATTCTTGTAATGTATACCTTCGATCTATTTAGTAATAGTCCACAAGAGGTTGTGCTAAAGAAAATACAAATACTGGAAAGTCAAGTGCAAGTAATTCGTGATCAAGTAAAAGCGACACGTGATGAAGTGAGTTTTCTCATTGGTTTGTTTTATCATATTGAAACATATGTTTTCAGCAAAATCAAATTTTAAACTATCTTGATTGTATAATGGAAGGTATCAAAAATATGAGTGGAGTCGATGTTAGAATGCCTAAACGACGTCATGTTGAAGCAGACGACTCCAGTAAGTTAACAATATATTAAATCAAACAAAGTTAATGCTTTATGTCGCTAAATAGTTGATGACACATTCAATAATAGCTATTATTCGGCATACGAAGTTCGACGAGATTCGCCAGTAGAACAAATACATGATTCGACACCTGCCTTTCCATATGAGCGCTCATAAACAGCGAGACCTTGCTAAGTATCTCTTGGCAAGTAAATAAGTAATTTTAACAAGGGGGGAAAAATCTCATTCCGAGCCATTCGAATGGCTAGGAATGACTAGGAATGCCCGAATGAGTTTTTTCTCCTCGAATTTTAACGTTTTTCATTGTTTATATACATTAAATTCATTTCAATTCTGAATCATAGAATTTAACTTTATTATATAATTCTTTTCTTTGCAGAATGCACCCGAAAGACCTGCTATTATGGTAAGCAGAATTCAAGTCATCACTTTTAAATTCAATTATTATGTCGATCAGGAAACTTGAAACGATAATACACTTTAAATTTATTGCTTTTCACATGTAGTACTGATCGCATTTATTCCACTTTTATATTTATTTGATTGATCTTGTTTTGCTTTCTGTTTTACAAATAAAACATACGTATGTAGAAATAATAGATAAACCAATCGCTGATTTACATCGAGCTCCTAACGGAGATTGGGACGAATGATACAACTTCGATTCGATTCGACAATTGTAATATTTAATTCATTTTTCGGCCTCGGCAAGTAATCTTTCATCTTTGAAATTGGATACAACAACAACGACATTTAATTCGACGATATCATCACAACCACCATTACTATTTCAATTGTATAGCAAAAGCGCTTATGTGACGTTTTAATAATAAAAAAATTGAATACAACAGAAATATAGTCAATTGTTCTTGAAGAATTCAAACAGTAAAAATCTGTTCTCAGTAATGAACCCCGTTTGTATGAACAGTTAAATATGGCACTTTATGATTGAATAATTAAAAACTAATAAAAGTCGTTTTCGATATACGAAAAATAATAATGGCTGCCCTACCATTGTTTAATTATCTATCGATTCAAATATCTACATGAGTTCCAATAACGTTAGTCATAATCATCCAACAAATCCCTATGATCTTACGCTTTTATGAATATTAAGAAAAAAGTAATAAAGGAAACAATAGCTGTTACTAAATCATTATTCAAGATGAATATTTGAAGTATCAGTTAGGTTGTTGATACTCAACTTAGTTTTCCACAATCAAATGTAAAAGGTAAATTTTGCGGACGTATACTGGTATCGTAGCTGATTTATCGGATCCTAGAGAAGTTTACAATACATCGATTTTTTTCCTTTTGTTTTACCGTCAAAATTTGATTTAATACACGTACTGTAATACTAACACTTATTTGAAAATCACTAGATCTTGATGTGTCGAAATTATTTGCAATAAACGTTGGCGATAAGCCTTTTCTTAATGTTTAGTTTCACTCATGAAAAGATGAGCGATAGAATAATGATGTTTTCATACCAAGTTATTGGTCAACATGCTTTGAAATTGTAAGACAATGCTACTTGATCGTACATTGAAAACAAGTACTATTTTATTTGCACAAGGTTTTATCATATAATGGGCAAATATAGCTTTTAATCTTCTGTGTTTTATTCAGATCGAATTGGATGCTTCTATGTATTTTTATTTATTGATTTTTTTAGTCTAGTATTTTGATATTGATATGAACGTATACAACATATGTATACGAATAAATATTTGACAGTTGAAAGTAAAAAGTAAGTGATTATAGTTTTAATCTTGAATAGTAAAATAAAGTGTGACTTTATATTTTCGTACTGTTATTTATTATTCAGACGTTTAGAAGATTCGATAGGCGGCCGGTTAAACAGAAGCTATTGTTTATGATCCTATTAGTTGTTACAAAAGTTCTTCAAAAACAGATTCTTTTGATACTTATCATTGATTTTTAGTTTCCTGATATTTTAATTCATGAATTCTGATGAAAATTTTGAATCAATCTTTCTGTCAAAAAACATAAAAAAATTGGTTAACATCGATCGAAGAAAAATAAAAAAATTTCAAAACCAGACTGCGAAGGTTTATTATTTTAAGATTGGTAAAGCATATTACTCATTCGATGCTGCTGTCTAGCTTTATGAAATATTCTGAATGAAATTGAATTATACGTGTTTCAGTGAAATATAGAAGTATAGGACCTATTCATCTGCAATACGCTTACTCTATTGACAATATGATATAAATAACAGAATCAACTTCTACATGAAATGATACGATTTTTTCAAATGATAACCTATTACATGTATTGTTCTTATTCTTAGCATACAATAGTCGACTACAACATCGGTACAATAGGCGTTCAAAATGAAAAAGGTTATACTCTTTCTCTTAATGATTAAAAATCATTTGTAAAGGTGAAAATGAGAATAGTACAAGTACGAAGTGGGGATCATAGTTGTAATACCACATCATTGTCACTTGATAATATTCTACTGATCCTCGTTATATAACGGAGTATCTATAACAGTACTGTAAAATTCACGGTACCGATTATCAATCATTCACAAGCCATCTTTCCATTTTTGCAATTGGTCCAACAGTGGTGTTAGCTCTTCGTACAACAAAAAACATATAAAAGACAGTGTTCGTCAGAATTCTACTCATTTTTTATTATGCTGCAACTCATAAAGTAATTATTCCGGATGTATCTCTTTGTCATTCCAAATAGATCCTTAGAGATTTTCTAGGCTGACGAATCCAATTTCTTTTGTAGCATTCTTCTTTTCATAAATGCATTGTGCATTTTTTCATATCGATAGCTGATATATTTCCTAAGCAATGTGAAGCAAATCTAGATTATCCAAAAAAAGAATTCGAAACTATATAGACTTGGCTTCATCAAGCTGTAGGTCCTGTTAGTTAAATGACCGATGAAAAGACAAAAACGAATCCATGAATGAACGTATCAATGCTTCTAGTTTACTTTATTTATTACCTTCTTGAATAAGTCGAATTCGATTTTATCATTACATACTTCCATTATAAGCTCTATTTCTTATATCTTTCAATTCACAAACAAACATGAATTGTAGTGAATTTTTTTATCTACCAATTTACTTGTCTATGTACACATTTGAATGAATTGTTTATTTGTTTTATTTTGTTTTTTTCTTAGAAAATGATCATCTGGTAAATTTAGTTTCTGTTGTATATTTAATGATTACATAACATATAATAGATATTAAAGAATGAATCAATCCAGTCTAAGTATACTTTCATTCAATGTTTGCTCATCAGCAGTAATCCGTGATATGGTAAATTGAGCCTCAGTAATAGGTGACGAGGTCATGTTTTGGATAGCTGAGCGTAATTGAGTCACATTTTGATCTCAATCGAACATATGTAAAAATTTTCAGATAGATATCTCACAAGAACAGAAAAAAAAAATATAAAACAACAATATGCATGTACCACCAATTAACGATTTAATGAAGATGAAGATGAAGGTAAAATAAAAATAGAAAACGATTGTTTTCTCCTTTACACTAAACCAAGAGAGCACAGAATGAGAAACTAATATTTAGGTTACGATAAATATCATACTGATATATAATTCTTCCATAAATTATACAGAATACAAGACTACATGCTTCTTCGTTTCGACTTCGACGAGGGGATGTACTCCATTTTCATAGTAATCCTTGTTTTTCAACATAAAATGTAATCCGACAGTAATGCACTGGTATTTACTGAAGAAAGTGAATTCGTATAAAAAATAAAAATGATGAAATAAAATGAAAATTGACAAGAGCTATTTTGATGACTCATCCATCATCAGCTGATGAGTCACTTCTACGACTATTATGGACGGCTGGTTGTGTGATGAAAAGAAAATGAATTTTGACGTTGAAGAGTTCATGTTATTTTCGAGTATGATAAAATATGCATATACACGTATATATACAAATGATTTTTTCAATTCCAATTCCTAAATTTTCCATCAAATAATCTGTGAAATTAGCGTTGAAGATTTCTTACCGATACAGAAACTAAATAAATAATTACATTTGATATAGATCAATTCTATTTCAATATACTGAATGCATATGTTGGAGCGGAAATTAAAACCCTAGTCAACTCTCCCTAGAAGAATCCCCAGGGAGTGCCTAGGGATTTCGCTATTTTACGGGGACTCCCCGGGGAGTCGCTGGGGGAGAGTCGATTAGGGAATCCAGGGCAATTTAAATTTCCCCTAGGGGAAATTTAAATTTTAATCTCATCTAGGGCAAATTAAATTTTTTTGTATTTTTTATATAATTTTCGATTTTTCTGAAATAGGTAGAAATGTACTGTTTATGTGATGGTGTGGGTGGATGTGGGTCTATATGTGGGTGTGGGTGTGAGTGTGAGTGTGGAAGGATGTGAGCCCGTACTAATCAAGCCCTCACCCTCACCCGCACTTATATTGTGCATTCAAACTGACTTTGTACAGCTACACCCACAGAGATGATGGACATTCGCACAAACATTCCTGTCTAGACCTCAAGATGAATATTCATTTTTACCTATTTCAGAAAAATCGAAAATTATATAAAAAATACAAAAAAATTTAATTTGCCCTAGGTGAGATTAAAATTTTAATTTCCTCTCCAACATATATGTCTGTTACTAAAAACACTATATTTATACTTCATCTACTTTTCTACGTATTACTACTAAATAAAATCTAGTTTCGGGTTTGAAAATGTTCGTTTGGTTTTTTCCGAAATCAGTACACTGCGTTAATTGATTTTATCTATTTCCCAATTCCGATAATATTTAAGCAGGTCCCCATGTTTTTTATGTAATGCATCATATGAGAATCGACTAGTCTATTTGTTTAAATAATTTTACGATGCAGCACATAAAATACATTAACAAGCAGCAAAAGAAAGAAACAATCATATGAAATCGAAAATAAGAACAACAACAACAACAA